CTCCCAAGGTCCGGCCGTCTCAGCAAGCCTTGATACCTTACAAGGCGTTGCAGGGCTTCCATGCTTCCAAAGAGGGGCCTCATGTCTGTCAGCGATTCCATTCTTGCCACCAAAGGTAAAAAAGGAGGAAAGCTGTTGGGCCATTTTATCAGGCTTCTGGAAAGGGATATCCTCCTCAGCATCTTGGAGAACCACCATTGGAGTGGATAGTGCGCTTGTGCTGGAGGCCTTTGCAGTCGCCATGTCACCTTCATCATCAAAAACTGTGTTGATGGGACCGCGAGCATCATCAGAAAAACCCAAGAAGGCTGCTGAAAATGGGCAAGATTGGACCATTTTTGCTTGTTCTTGTGGGACAGGATAACTACTGATATAATAGGAATCCCAGTTTGCTTTCTGACTGTGCGGCGTCTTGTTATCCTCATCATCATCAGCAATTTCGTCGCTGTCATCGTCGTCCAACAGACCCAAAAAGGCAGAAGCATCAAATGGGCAGATTTTGTCCACTTTTCCACGTTCTTTTTGGACAAGGCTTACAGGAGCGATAGGAATCGTTTTCGGATACCCTTTGTGCCCTGGGGCCCTTGCCTGTCTTTCTTTTGCTCATCTTGGTCCTTTGTTTTCCAGTTGAAAACAACCTCTTTTTCGGCGTCGCTACGGCCGCTCCGCACATCATGTTGGCTTTTGCAGTGTTGTTGGCGATGCTTGCAGCATTCAGCTTTTTCTCAGCACAACAGAATGCGGGTATGTACGTGGAAGCAGACATTCAAATTTAGTTTGGAGGTGAGGTTCTGCACTTTCTTGGACTTTTCAATGGCTGCTACAAGGCTGCCAAGTCATCCGATGATCAATTCTCTGGGCGATTGATGTATGAGCAAGACGGTTTCTCAAAAGGCAGGAAGTTTGGGTTCTGCTCCGACTTTGGAGAAGGCGATGGTGGATGGGCCTTCTTCACTGGCGAGAAGGGAAAGATATGTGGGGCATACATTGTACGATCTGTCGAAAAATTGACCTTTAGTCTGCTGGAAGCTGCTACGGCCAAGTGGTATACATCCGATGAGGTTCCATTGGATCACTTAGAGATTACTGAATTCAAGACAGCATCTGCTGAATGTGGACAGTCATTGCTTTGTACTACGATTGATGCTTGTCCATCCATCTTGGCTATTGATTCGATACCGATGTTTCATATTCCGCTGAATAAAGATGATGTGAAGTCTCGATCTGTTTTGGATGCTTCAGTCTCTCACCCAATCTATCACTATAACAAGACCAAAATCAGAAGCTTTGATTTTCTGTTCTTCACTGGCCAAAGATGGATACGAACTCAATCCGATCATTTTGCTGCCCTCGTAAACGAAACAAGTCTGCCCGATTTTCATGATTTCTTTGTTGTCAATGATGGGCTCTTCACTCTAATCGACGATCTGAAAACATCCCCGGACGATCGATCCGAGTGGGTGACTGCAGTGAGTGAAATTGTGGACGCCAAGATAGATCAAGGATCACCTCTTGGGCTTCAGTGGTACGTTCCTCGCTACAAGACTACCGATGATGCAGACAACGAAGGCAACAGCCGGGGTTATCTCCAAAGGAAAATTTTCGTCAGCTAGTCTTGCCAGACCAATTGATTATTTTTTTTTACATGTCTACTACATTGCAACGATGAAACGAACCCGTGGTGTCTATACGAGGGTGTGTGCGATAATGGCAGTGGCAATTGTGTTTGCCAACATGGTGCTGATGGTGATCTTTGTCAAATACGGCCACTTGGAAATGAAGTTTGCAATGTGTACTTCAACAGTAGTGCGGAACACCAATACGATGGGGGCGATTGTTGTGCTGGGATTTGCGTGGGAGCACAATGTGGAGAGGACGATCTATCGAATGTTTTCTTGGATGCAATGCGTGTGAGCAACCCTATAGGCGGTACCGAATGAAACCTTTTACACCTTTCAAAATGTGACAGAAGACTGGAAAAACACCTATCGTGGACAAGAATTTGGATTTGGAGTGGATATCGTAGGCGACGATATCCCGCTGCGGTACAAGCACTGTGACCATCCAAACAGAGCATTACTTTCATTTGAAGTCCGTGCAAGTTTTTTTGCATTCCAAGGCATCTTATAGTGCGATGCGTGATGGCTCCATGCATCTTCGAATCCCAGAATTCATTTTTAAGGAAAGGCAGGATGCTGTCACTTTCACAGAAAAATGCAGTGTCCCTTACTACGGAGCAGGTTGCGATATTGAGTTCCTCAGCCTTGCATTTTTCAAGGAGGTGTCTATTTTTGCGCAAGACGACGAGTTGGTGCCGTTTCTGCAACAACGAAACCAAATGGTTTATTCTCCTGGCCCAAGAGCAATCAGCTTTTGTGTTCCATCATCAAAATGTGCATGGAATTTGTTCTTTTCAAATCGTCTCTCTGTTTCGGAAGTAGTAATAGAGTAATTTGTGGTTGATGTAGACAAATCATTTGGTTGCAATGAGTACATGTCGGAAGATGACTATTCCAACTTTGCAGAAGGTGGACAGTTGGATTTTTATTTGTGAAAGAGATCAGGGTGAAGTGTTTGATCGGTATTTACTGTGGAAAATTGCAAATTCGACTTCTATGGATTGGTCTCAAATGTTTTGCTGGCCACATGTGTGATGGTCTATGGGAGGGTGTTGTGTCTGTGACTGATTGCAGAGGTCGGCGAATCAGCGAGCTTGAGGCAGTGATTTTGTCAATGGAAGCTACTCAGATTGATGGCGTAATCAAGTTGTTGACTCACATTGACACGTTAGGTACAGTCGCAAGTGACATATACTATGGCTTATCATTTTGACATTACAGATCTCAGCATTACCGTTTCTTTCCTTTTCTTGTGTCAGAGCATGTTGGTTTCATTGGTATTGGAAATGAGATACAACGAGTTGTGGCTATAGATGTGGTATCAAGGCTTATTCGTTTTTGTTTGACAAGTTTTGAATTGTCGTCTAAAAATGATGATGTGTTGACATCTATCCCATCCTAGATTGCCAAGTTGACATCACTTACATACAATGTTGATCTTAAGCTCCAGTGACTTGACGTCTCTCCCCTCTGAGAGTGGTGATTTGAGATCCCTGACATAAGTTTGCACTTCTTATGGAACGATTTGGCTTCTCTCCCATCCGAGATTGGAAGATTGACATCATTGGCAGACCTGAACTTGTCCCAATAACCAATTGAGATCTCTCCCTTCCGAGATTGGAAGTTCGACATTATTGACAAAGCTTGACTTGCGTCAAAATCCGATAGAACCATCAATGGATTCTGTTCCAAGCGAGATTCAAAGACTGATATCGATCATTGGGTTTGTATGTATGTATTGGTAATGACACATGCTAGTGAACCAACAACATCAGTGTATTATAATGGATTTGTATTACATTGAAGATTCCAGTGATCCAGTATGGCAGTTCTAGCGCTCACTTCTTGTTTTGCAGAGTAGACAAGTATATAGGTACAGAAGTAGCGTTGCATGCATGAATGTATGCATTGAATTGGATTCCTTCGACCACTAAAACGATGGTTTTGAATACTCAGTACGTGTACGTGTACGTGTACGCGAATGGTGGTACAAGGTCTACGAAAGGATTCCAGTCACTCACTCGCCCGTGTGTCTTCTGTCACGACGCATTGCTTTAAATTATATTCCCAATTGCACCCTTGTTCTCTTGGTTGCCATTTGCCATTTGCCATTTGCAACACCGGTACATCCATTGCAGCAATGTCGTCCTTTGAACAAAGCAACAATGACTTCTTCAACAGTCCTTTGGTTTCTCCACCGAAGCAATCGACTCGACTGACTCAGCCAAGAGCTGCAAACAAGCCAATTGCTAGTGCAACAACAACAAAGACAACGAATGCCGCAAGACTGGCCAAGAGAACTGCCACTACGGCTCGAAGAGCTCCTCCACCGCCACCAAACAAGGCAGTTGTCTCTGGCAGCAGTACTTCTAGTAGTGTCCCTAGCGCAGCAGCAGCAACAACAGCAGCAACAACAGCAGCAACAACAGCAGCAGCATCGTCCGCTTCCACCAACAATAAGGCAATGAATACGAAAAAGCCAGCTCGAAGACGACCCAATCGACTTCCTGCACCTTCGGCTCAAACCTTGCAGCCCTCTGGTGGTATGAATGCTTCTGCTACTGGGACTGCCAATAATAATACGGGAATGGGAGGAAGTGGTTTCTATAACTATTCTTCTTCGTCTGCTACAACTACTACTAGGACGCCGTCACCAGGGTTGGTAGCTTCTACTACGGGTAGAAGTAGTACACCTGAAGCAGGAGACAATCAATGGGATTCTTGGGCGTCGCCTGCCCCTGCTGTTAGTACTACTAATATGAATCAGCAGCAGCAACAACAACAACAACATCAACACCAGCCTCAAGTCAATCAATGGCAAGCGACTCAACCACAAGCTGCTACTGCTGGCATTAGTAATTCCAATGATTGGTATTCGGGTGGTGCTACCATGGATCCAATAAATCCGATTGCGGCTGCTCCGGCCTTTAATCAATGGCAGCAGCAACCACAAACCATGCAAGGTACTATGGACAATGCCGGTAGTATTGCAGCTCCAATGCAAGCAGCAGCAGCAGCAGCAGTCCCTCAAGCCAGCATGTTTCAACCCACTGCCTTTTTCAACAATACTAATTCTACTGCTGCCGCAAGTACTAACAACAACGACAATACCATGATTACCGATGCCGAAGATGATTTTGAAAATGAAGCTCCCTTGCTCGAAGAATTGGGAATTCATTTTGATCACATTCTGCTCAAGACCAAGACGGTCTGTTGGCCGTTCAAACGGACGGCTAGTCTACAACATTCTACCACCAACGAAATGGTCGATGCCGTGGTCCAAGATGCCGATTTGATTGGACCCATTTGTTACTGTTTGGCGCTGGGTGGTGAAATGGTCCTTACTGGCAAATTGCAATTTGGATACATTTATGGATTTGGCTTGTTTGGCTGTGTGGCCATGACCCTCATTGTCAATTTGACAGCCCCCAAGGATGCAGTTTCCTTTTGGGTCGTTTCTTCCGTATTGGGATACGCATTGATTCCCGTCAATATTTTGGCATTGGTCAAGATTGTCATTATCAATTTGGCATCCCTGCAAAAATTGGGACAATTCTTGGGATTGATTACGGTCTTGTGGTCCACAACCGCTTCGACGCGACTCTTGGAGATTGGATGTGGTCTAAGGGAACAACGATACCTCATTGCCTATCCGATTGCACTCTTGTATTCGGCATTTGTCCTCATTACAATATTCTAGATACACTAGTAGAATAGTCCTATGCTAGTAGAATATTCTACAGTAGTAGAAAAGAATAAAATACTATATATAATAAGTAACTACTATTATATTATATATTTATGATCACTGCAAGAATCACTTGAATTTTCCTACGCGGTTATTGGAATGAATTGATTGGCGTATCTACGAGTACCTACATATACTTGCGATAGCTTGAAATTGTAGGTCGTCCTACACGTCTATCCCAGTCCTTATTATCAGTGGTAGTCCTATTTTAAATAATACTTTGGCTGCTACAGTTTATAATAGAATGATTCCTTGAATGCATTCCATCCGATTGGCAATCATCGTTTGTGGCTCCGTGCCAGCAATCCAAAAATGAACGACTGGCTGAGATATGCTCATTTGATCGTACAATATATATATAAAACATATTACCAGTCGTGGCATATTATTGGTGCTTTAGGATGCGGAAATGAGTGAGAATCAATCACTTATATATATTGTTGAGATACTATCCATACGAAAATATTGGTTGTCATTTTCGCCCCCACCATCTGCCAGTTCTTTCTCTTTTGTTGCGACTCCCTGAATTGTGTATACACTATCGTCGGTGGTTTTCTTGTTTGGCTTCCCTATTCCGTTTCTTATTCGCAGCCCGACGAAAGAAAAGCCAAAAGATCAGAACCCACAAGGTAAAGCTCCCCACAAATACGGAACAACACGCCACAGCCAGCAATATCCCTTGGTATCGCTCGGGTTGGCGTAGCAACCATCGAAATCGAAACCCAACGTCGTCTTCGGTCGAATTCGATTGTTGCATTTTTCTTCGTCTCCTTCCAATGGATCCACCAGATTGGTCATTCTCATCGGTTCGATACTTGGCATTTCCATCCTTAAAGACTGGCTTGTATTGGGATTCAATCCCCATTACCTTGTAGAGTTCCGATACGTATTCTTGTTCGTATTTCATCATGGCTTCGTAGGATACCAACACCACATTGTTGCTGGATGGAATTCGGGACGAATGGAAAGGATCGTGGCCGCCACTGTCGCTAGTGCGATTCTCAATGATCGGAGTGGGATCCCACAAAAAGGCCTCCTGTTTGATTTCTTCCACAGTCTTGCCATACCATCTTCCACCAAATCCATTTTGAAAGCCACTCTTGTCATTTAAAAAGAAGGTTTGAATGGCATCATTCAAGATCGCATTGGCAATGGCTTCTTCTTCCTGGGCTAGCTCGACAATGTGACAATGCGACTTTAGTCTCGATTTAAACGACATTTCGGGATCTCGGACCACAATGACAATGACTTGCTCGGTACCATGGGCATCGTACCAAATTTTTTGCGACGTGATATTCAACATGAATCGACCAGGATACATGAGCAAATTGTTGTTTTGAAGCTGCTCCAAGGGATACTTTTTGACTCGTCTCAACCAATCGTCAATCTTTTGTTGTTTGGACAAGCGTGTCGGCCGTCGCCCATGAAGCATCAGTTCATCGTCATTTGCAGCATTGCCTTTATCCATATGACGAATCCGTTCCTCTCGTTCTCGTCGCATCATTTCTCGCTTTCGTTCTCGATTTTGACGTCGGATTTTCTCATTTTGTGTTTCTTCGTGGCCGTCGTTTTGCTTGCCATTGGAGGGTTCACCCCAATCTCCACTGGGTACGTCATGGTCGCCGCCACCACCACCACCATTTGTAATTCTTAATCGTCGTTGCAATTCTTTCTTTTGTTCTTCGGTCAAATTGGACATGTCGTGTTGAAAGCCACGGTGTCGAGGTGGGTGATTCCTTTGCTGCTCATTCCGTGATGCCCCATCCGCTCCTTCTTGCTTGACTTGCCCTCCTTCAAAGTAAAATTTGGTCTTTTCCGGTCTCTCTGATTTAGTTTGTTCTTCTTCTTCTTCTTCTTCTGGCACTTCGCCTAATCGTCGCTTGTCGTAGGGATCTCGACTTGCCTTACCATGCAACCGTTCGGCACCGCTTACACGTGAGCCAATATCTGTTCCACGTTGAATGACAATTGGAGGGGGGTCTTCGTCGTAATCCCTCTCTGCAGGGGCTGAATCGGCATTGTCAAAGGCAGTGCCCAAAAGCTGTTCATGGTACTGTCGACGTCGTTCCTCCCGTCGTTCCATAATTTCTTCCCTTGACATTTTCTCTCCTCGACCTGGTTTCCTCCGAATAATGGTAACGTTGTGACTCCTCACTTTTTCACTCTGTGCAAAGATTCGTCCCGGGTATCGAACAGCCTTGTAGTAAAATTGGTTCTTCCAGCGAGTCTTCATGAACCATGGTCCATGCATTTCCATCATTCCTTCGTACAATTGCATTGCTCCATTAGTATTACCATTATTATTGTTGTTGTTGTTGTTGTTGTTGTTGTTGTTGTTGTTCCCCGTCATAGTGGTACTGTTGAGGAGTGCCTCACATTGCTGTTTGATTCCAGGAAAGGAGTCCGAAGGATATCCACCATTCTTGCTCGTGACACAATGGGGCGGCAAAATGACATCCACAATATGATGGCTGTGATTCTGCAAGCACCACTGACCCTGTGGCAAGGACACGTGCTGAACTTGGATTGGTTGGTCATCGTAGGCTCGGCGCTCATGATGAAAGTATCCATCTCTGTATTTTTGACGACCGGGAATCTTCAAGGCCTGAGCTATGGTCTTGGCTACAAAGGTTGTTCCGGAAGATTCCTTGCCAATGACTGTGATAATTTTGTCTGGTAAAATACTCCTGTCGTCAGAATAGGTGGTAGGATCCCAATTGGCAATCAAATCCTGGGAAAATGACAAGAACGAGTCTTCCCCATAAAAACCAATCAATGCACTTTGTACGAGATGAAGCATTGTAAAGTTGAATACTGCCAAACAGAACAAACACAAGGTGAAACATCTCAGTTTATCGTGAAAACTGTTGCTGCTGCTGCTTCCGCTATGATTAGACGAAGAAGACTGAGAATGCCTGGAATTTTGCCTCCGTATCGTTCTCGTTGACATTGTTGAATGAGATTGAATATGCTGTGAAGAAAGGAGAGTGAAAGCACTCTAATGGCCGAGCAGCTTAACAATCTGAAGTTTTAGTCTCTCCTACTGCTGTGCGCGATGACGATTGAAGTTTCTTCCGATTTTTGAAATTTGTCAATTTTGCATTGCTTTTTCTCTTTTCTCTCTTTCTCCGAACGCATTGGCTTGCAGGCTACAAATTTCAATTATTGGTCGGAAACGATGAGACGTACGAAGGAAGGATTGGTCCAACGTGACTCGATTTTGTAAAATGAGAACATAAAAGAAATTTCGAAGACATCACGCATGATCGATACCGGTATCCATCACATCATCGTAAAATTAATACATATCCGCATCAGCATCAGCCAAAAACACTATCATTTCCCAGATACCACATCATACAGTCATTCGAGACTACTAGACACCTACGTACCGACACTGAATCAACATGCCTACAAAGGTGGAGAAATCGACAATCTACTTTCCTGACAGGGCACCAGTTCAAGTTTCTGTCACGGTGGAGCTCCGATCTTCGCCTGAACAAGTATGGAAGGTCTTGATTGATAATCCCGGCTGGGTCAAGTGGTACAAAGGTGTATCCTCTTGTCAAACTACATCTTCTTCAGAAGGGTTTGGATCAACTCGGCGCATCGTCGTAGGTGGTCTCCAGGTCGACGAAGAGATCATTGGGTTTCAAGAGAACAAGCTGTGGGCATTGTCCGTCTATCAGACAGACAAACCAGTGGCATCCTGCTGGGTCGAACGTCTTATCTTGGACAAAACAGAAGCGAACGGGACGATCATCCATTATGATGCAGGGCTCGAGCTCCTTTTTCTTCCAAGTCTCCTTCAATGTTACATTGTGAGTGGAATTAAGAAGGCTTGGACTGAAAATCTTGCTGCGATCGACGACTACATAGACAGCAGCACCACATCAAGCTAGCAATGTCAATTAAGACTTTTCAATTGGTATGCAGCATTGAAAAAGGGATAAAATTGGATGATTTCATTTTTTGTGTGATCGTCCTCCTCGTCAGCCAGCACGTAGTGCACCTGCTTGACACCAGTCCAATTTTAGGTGGTATTCGTTGGGGGGTGTGTTTTCCTCCTGTCCGACACCAGAGTAAAAAATATTCTTCCGATGGCTCGCATAGTTGTATCAAATGGATATTATTTACATCAATTCATACGTGCCTTGCTTCTCATGAATCACCAGCCACCAATCAATCATGAATCAATCAGTCGATCGCATCGATCGATAATTCTGCTGGTGGATCACGCCCCGCTACTTGGAAGTGCCTTTTTTTGGTCTCAAAAGCATAGCTCTTCCCGCACTTGAGTCCACATTTTTCGTGATCTTAACGATAGAGAATAAGTTGATTGAGATCATTCAATCCAATTTCAAGTTACACTTTTCTTATGGGGCTACTGAAGTACATCTGCTTCGCGCACGTCGCGTGAAAAAGATCCCGAATCAATCATTCCAATAAAAATCACAATCGCAGCGTTTTTAAAAAAAATACATTATTATTATTATTATTGCCATCAAAGCCAATCAATACCGCATAATCTTCAATAGTATATCATATAATATAAAAAGGTTGAATGGTCCCAATTCCCAAGATTGTCATCGCTGGAGGTGGAATTGTCGGCAACTCCATTGCCTATTTTTTGAGCAAACGCCAAGTCCCTGTAACCTTGATTGATCCTGTGGGAATTGCTCCCTGTGCCAGTGGCAAGGCCGGTGGCTTCTTGGCCAAGGATTGGAGGGATGGCACAGACTTGCAAGAACTGCAACGAGCAGGGTTCGAACTGCATCAGACCTTGGCCAATGAATTGGGAGCCTCCAATATAGACTATCGTCGATTGACCTGTCAAGCAGTCGCCGTGGATGCCTCTCAGCAAACCAAGAAACCGACCAAGAATCGCAAGAGCAAAACTTTGGAATGGGTAGATCATGACGGAGTTTTTGGAAGTTCTTCCATGGGAGACAAACAAACTATTGCTCAAGTGCATCCTAAGAAACTGTGTCAAGAACTATGGAAGTATTCTGAGAGTCAAGGGTCCGTTCTCAAAATTGGAAAGGTAGTCAAGGTTTTATCTACTACTGCTGATTCTGATGCTGATGCCGATGCCGATGCCTCTGAAGCGTCATCTCCTCATAATATTCAACTAGAAGACGGTTCCATCATTCCCGCCGACAAGTTTGTCATTGCCTGTGGTCCATGGACCGAACACGCACGTGATTGGTTCCCCAAAGACGTCCAAGACTCCTGCTGGCCTGTCATTACTGGCGTCAAGTGCCATTCCGTATTGGTACAGGCACCGAAAACCTTGTCCGAAGCTGTCTTTTTTGAACGGGCACCCTGTTCTGCAAAATCACACGAAAAAGAAGAAGAAGCTTCCAATAGCCTAGACAACAAATTACTGACATCGGAACAACTTTCTAGTGTGGAAGTCTATCCCAGACCGGACGGCGATGCCTATGTGAATGGGTTCGAAGGTGACGAAGCTGTCATTCCAGAAGAACCCGGACAGGAAGTGATTGACCCCAAGGCCGTCCAGGATCTCGAATTGGCCTTGCAGCAAACGTCGAGTATGCTCGAGGGATTAACATCACACACCCAACAAGTTTGTTACTGGCCTGAAACGCCCGATGGAATGCCCATTCTGGACTGCCTTGACAATAATAATGATGATGACGAAGCTTTTCTCGGCGGCAAAAGATCCATCTACGTGGCAGCCGGTCACTCTGTTTGGGGCATCTTACAAGGTCCAATTAGTGGCAAGGCCATGTCGGAACTCATTCTAGATGGAGAGGCCTCTTGCATCGACTTGACGCCGTTTCAGTTGGAACGATTCATGTATGACAACGACAACGATGATGGTAGTTCTAGTTCTAGTTCCAGTTCTAGTTCTAGCGATGACGAAATATATTGACAAGACGACGAATTTTTTTGGACGAGCCTGCCTTTTACGATGATGGTTTGGGAGCATGAAGAACGACACCACTAGCTAGTAGTACCAGCAGGTACCCACCGACATTAAGAGGGACGAAGCTACGTGCGACGAAGAGCCAATTCCAACGAGACCAATCTGGGAAGATACGAAACCAAGCCGTGACGGCAGAAGGCGGGGAGGCAGGTGTCGAGGATGATACTTTCCAGTACTACGGTGCGGTATCATCGGACACAATATGTGATGGGAAGCAAGCAAAATCTACCGCATCTATTAGGACTAGTCAATCACAAATTAAATAAATAAACAAGTGGCCTACTGGTATTTTTAGAATAATCGTACATATCATCATAATATCAGCATCCAGTTACGGTAATCACTGCTTCGACTGTTTCGACCAGTCACTTCGACAAAAATACCGCGTCGGAAACGTATTTTCGGCCGCGCTCGGCTTCTCAACTGAAACCAAGACCGAGATGGATCGGCACGATTCAGTCCCGGCTTACTAGAAGAAGAAAGTCTACTTATGGGAGCACGTCTTGACGAAGACGTTCGCTGGGCCCAATCGTAGTTTCGTCTACACAAATGGTGGGGCGTCCAAACCACAATCGTACCCTTCTGATTTTGTCTACCACATTCCGTTGATCAGTGTTGCGACATATGTCGATCAGACTCGTTGTTTTTCAGTTGCTCACTTTTCCAAAAACGACAGAATTCTCATAAAAATTTCTGAAGTGAAACCCATCACATATCCAACAGCCACTACAAACCAAACCAAAGCAAAGCATACCAAATCAAACACAAACAACATCATGCTTCGACTACTTTCACTTCTCTCTCTCTCTGCCGTCGCCATGGCTTCCTTCGATCCTACCAACATCAAGATTGAAATGTTCGACATTGATGCATACGCGTGTGATTTGAACCACGAGCCAATTGCGGATGCCACCTTTGCACCGGGAGACTTTGCACGCATCTGTGTTCACACTATCGATATCGATTCAGATATCATTGTCCAAGGCATGAGATACTTTGTCTTTGTGGCAGAAGAAGCTTCTGATTTGCAAGATGCTGCCATTCAATTCAGCGACAATCACGGCAAGATTCCTTCCATGGCTTGCACTGCTGAAGACAACATGTGTGTGATTGAAACAGTCTTGGACGAATCTCTCTTTGACACGGAAGACCCATCTGAGATCTTTGGATACGGGGCTCTTGTTTTGGGTCGCAGTGGCCCATCGCAAGAATATGATCAATTTGAAGATGTTCCCATTCAAATCACACTTTCGACCGATAGTGCTACTGTTACTGGCGATATTGGAGATCATGAACCCAACTTGGAAGGTGAAGAACCCGCCGTTCAAAAGTTTCTGAGAGGAACCTCTCAAAATGCTTAAACCTTGCAAGGCGAGAAGAACATCTACAATTTTTATCCTTCAGGTCAACGAGACATCATCCGTTATCATTCACAATTACAACAGTACAATAATCAATCATAGATAGAAAAACATTACTTTTAACAACGAGAACAACCTATACGCTAGTGCTGTATTCCAATCTACTTCATGGTTGATAGATATCGATTCTGTATTTCATACGATCGACTGGGGCGCAGTCGTGCAAAATATAAAAGATACGAATTGGCACGAAGGACAAGGCGAAGAATGCTCTGGTCTATTTCATTGGATTTGCCTTACTCTACACACACACACACACACACACACACACGATCCTCCGTTGAGCAATCGTGCAAAATAGAAGAGAGACCCATACGAACAAAGGGCGCGAACAGATGGAGGAGAAGGGAGAAGATTTCCAATGAGAAGGTCCAGAACTTGAATCATAACCCATTCAACGGATGCCGAACAGATACGATACCGGTAGAACTAAACATACCGGTAGTATTTCTAAGGGATCGAAGTGGATGATACTAAAGATTTCTTTCAAACCAGACAGCATAGACCAATGACGAGTGGACCTTCATCATCATCCTTGGTTCCAGCAATCTAGCTAGTCGATTTTTTTAAAAACAAAAAAATGTACACTTTTTTATCGAGTAGTAGCTATGCATACTGTATTGGAGGAATTCCTCAGATCTAAAACAGTAGCGTAGAAGTTTCCTGCTGGGTCGAATCGTCTTCGGTGACTCTTTCCTGACGAGGCTTTTCAGCATCACTTTGGGTACTCGGGCGTGGTCTCCACAGGACGGATACGTTGGTCAATATGACAACGTACAAAAGTTGGACAATGGCGGCCACAATAAAGGTATGGTACTCGCTGGAAAAGACGATAGTTCCTTCGACTCGTTGCAATAACCGAATGATCCACCAAGGTGCTGCAATCACCATGGATATTAGAATCAACTGACGCAATCGCACATAATTCTCCAATTCACGATGTTGTTGGTTCGATGATTCGATGTTTGTGGTGTCTCCTCTTCGTAGATTTCGAATGGTGCCATTGAGTGTAAACACCATCCAAACGCCAATCAAGATATCCATGGTATGCACAATCACAGTGCAAATGGTAGCCACATTGGAAAACTTGGGGAAATCCGAATCACCGTCCAGTGGAACCATCAAGTCGAAATATTGAACGCTCATGAAATCACGAAAGGCAACTAGTCCAGTGTACACCACACCAAGATTGATGACCTGAGCCAGCGATAGTCTAGAGCTATAGTAAAGATGAAGAAGTTAGATGCACAATGTATTGACAAATGACAACTTTCCGCACGTGGTGCACCTAGTACTCACTTTTGTTGGTCGACAATGCCCCAACCCTTGGCCACCAGAATTCCCAAACTCATGGTCATTCCACGCTTGAGAACAGGGAAAGCAACGGCTAATAGAGAACGCGGTATGTGAGATGCATTGCCTTTCCATGAACCAATCGTGAAAGTTCTTCATTCGTATTCGTCTTACCTGCATAAATGAAAAGCTTGGACCAAACCCAATTTGGCCCGGCACCCAGTGCTCGGAAGGCGAATGCTCGGAATGCAAAGTCATCAAAGGCAACCAGCATGGTGAAAAAGAGGTACTTTTGCATGGGATGCCGAGTTGCTCTGGTTTTTCTCATCAAGTTACGCCCATATGAAATGAACAGAGAGGCAGTGTACACGGCCAGAAAGGCGTAGAATAGAATGAATCCAAGATAAGATAATCCACGATCTCGCTTCTTTCCTGCGCTTGCGTCCGGCAGGAGCTGCACATTCAAACCTCCATAATCGCAATTGGCAAAGAGTAATGTGTATTCGCCAGTCTCCTTGATTTGGAGCATTTCGTCAAACGCAAAGGTTTCGTTGGCAGAAGAAGGAATTTGAATCAATCGTTCTTCTCCGACAAACAGGTTTCGATCCAAAATCAACTTTCCAGCATCATCTTGGTTGCAAAATCCTTGCTCAATTGCATTCGCGGAGCAGCATAGTGCATCGATACTGCCTTCTCCAATCATGTTCTCTTCTGCCACATCCCCACCACGTTTGAAAAACAAGACTTGAAGGAATTGTTCATTGTTTGGATCTCGGGTGACAATAGGTGCGGCTGTGGGTGCTTGTGTCGGAAGACTGGTCTCATTTTTGTCATTGGTTTCTGGCAACTCCGAGTAGAAGGGGTCTTCTGTGCATTGGGAACCATTGTCGTACGTTCGAAACTGAAATTCCGTCAAATCCAAAACATCGGATTCCTCAAATCGTTCTGTAAGAATGCAAACGGAATAAGATAAGAATGAAAGGATAGAATAACAAAGCGGTTGGAGCTCAACGGCATGGCAGTAGTCTGGTTGCGCTGTCACAACTTACCTGTCGATGTCCAATACCCGTTCTTGGTCTTCAAACAGAGACCACGTCCGAATAATCTGTATTCCTTTGCTATGACTGCTTGTGACAGGTAACTGGATACCAATAGGGCGGTAACGACCTTCATTTTTTCTTATATATTGTGTTGTTCGTTCTGCTGCGATGCGGTGGGGCAGATTTGAGAGAATGTTATTTGTGCACATGATGGCCATCAAGAATTTGATGCGTTGAATGTTTTCGGTTCGTGTAGAGGTGCAAAACAATGCTAAACTCTAATAATGCGAAGTGTACTGCGATAGCGCTTTTATGTTTTATTCTCCGCAAATATACGAGTTCTAGACGAACGAATGATGAGTGTAAATCCGCAGTTTACCTGCTACTGTACTGGGAAATGGGAAGAGTGAGACGAAGACAAATGGATATAAACACAATACAATCTATTATTATCATTGTTATTATTATTATTATTTTTAAAAACTGACAATAATATGTAATCTAAGATAAGTGTCCGTTTTCAACTGCAAGACCATTTGGATAGTCTGGATCGTTCCCATCATTGTCCAAATCTATTGGCCTTATTGCCTCGTCCTCGTCGTCCTCCTCTTCTCCCGTAGGAGCAAGGTTATCGCTATAGGCATCAGTTACATTGTTTAGCTCTTTCATTTCCATAGCTTCCTCTTGTTGTGAGTTTGAAGCTTTTCTTTTTGGTATCCACAAGCTCGCAATCCCCGTCAATGTGATGGTGTAGATCCCTTGGACTGTCGCATTCATGTAATTCCATTGCTCTTCTGTAAGAGTTGGACTCTTTTCAAACTTGTCGACAAACTGAATGATCCAAGCTGGCGCAATGGCAAGCATGAAAACCGCCAGTAAGCATCCCAGTATTCGGTGGTGTGGCATCTGGTCATATCGACCAACAGACTTTAGATGGACAATGGTGACCCTGATTGAAACAAGAATCCAAATAGCAAACACAATATCCATAAAAAAGATGACAAAACCAAGTGTGCCCTCCGTTGCCGTTAAATCTGCCCCTTGCTCTCGGCTTTCATTCTCAAGGTTGGCTTCCCCGATCGCATTCGAAATATCATGAACGAAAACAATTCCAGTGTACAGGAACCCAAATATGGCAATGGCCAAAGCACTACCACCGAGACTATTCAAGAATGACAACACACATGAGTCAATATTGCGCACAACATACATAATAGCACAAACAGTAGACTATAATGTTCTCCGTACCTTGTACAAACCATTCCCCAGCCCTTGGCTACCATGACTCCTATGCAAATGGAAAATCCCCGTTTCAATACGCTCATTGTCACCGAGAGGGTATATATATTGAACCAAGAATCATTTGGTTCTGCATCCCAATAGTACTTGTAATCGATGCATTTGAAAAGAATATCAAAGGCCGCCACTGCCATCGTTGCCACAAGCCACTTTTGAATGGGCAAAACCTTGTCTTGAATAGCCATAACAATGGCAAAGACATAGGTCAAGCACAATGCAAAGTGGTAAAAGGTCAGACTGGCATAGTAGTCGATCAAACCTTCCAGGTATGATGGAGTCGGCTTTACAATTATTCGAGGCAACGAAAGCAGATCCCATCCATTTTCATTGCAATTGGCCATGAGAAAGGCGTACTCTCCAGCTGTTGGTATATCAAAGAGCCCTTGCTGTTGTTCCTGATTTTGATGATGCCCTTGCTGTCGATGATGGTCGCCCAATGCAAACCTCTTATTCACTTTCGATGGGACCAAGAGGGATTGCTCTTGTCCTATAAGCTTATCAGGATTCAGAATTAGTCGTGACAAATTCTGACATTGGCCTGCTTGTTGTTTTTTCAGCGTACAGCAAACATCATCTTTGGATTCTGGATTATTATTGTTACTACTTCCAACACCCAAATGGGTCCAATCGCACATTTGCGCAGTGGAATCCTTGATGCAACCAGGTGGCTGATAGAGCAATACCAAATGAAGGTATCGAGGCACCGACGTCTCCATGACAGTATTCGATACATCGCAATACTTGTTTTTGGAAGAGTCATCTTGACAATAGTCTTGCCGTGAAATGGTTTTGAATTCAATATGTGAAATGTTAAGCTGCGTGGGTTGGGAAAAGAATTCCACGACAGCGGTGACGTAAGTTGGAGTTGCTGGCAAGTAAATCTGCTGCTCTTCCAATGCCTTGATGGTAGCTTGTGGTGGTGCGGTTACAACAGCAGTCGCAAGAACAAGACCAACGAAGCAAAGTAAAAGAGGAGCCCATGATTGGGACTTAATTATCGTCATCTCCCTCTTCTAGTTTGTGGCGGTGGAAGGAAGAGCCAATAGCATTAGTCAGGATATACTATGTCAATGAGAATTATAATATCAGTAGGCGATGATGTGCGATGATATGCAATATTCAATATGCGAATATGCCTGCGATAGTAGTGTCGACCAATTTGATCACATATCCGCTATCTCAACCGCTATGAACATCGCAAATTACCAAACGCGCAAAAACATTTTATAGGAAATCTTTATCTTTTCTTGGCTCGCGGGGTGTTCGTGCTGCGCACGTGGTGTGCGATTCGTTGTGCCAAGGAAAACAAGGTTCCAACAGTGTCGACCAATTGGATCACATATCCGCCATCTCAACCGCTATGAACATCGCAAATTACCAAACGCGCAAAAACAATTTTTTATAGGAAATCTTTATCTTTTCTTGGCTCGCGGGGTGTTCGTGCGGCGCACGTGGTGTGCGATTCGTTGTGCCAAGGAAAACAAGGCAAGTTGTGCTTCCAACAGAGTCGACCAATTTGATCACATATCCGCCATCTCAACCGCTATGAACATCGCAAATTACCAAACGCGCAAAAACAATCAGCTTGTCGGCGGAAAACTTACGGGCTCGTGCGGTCGTGCGGTGTGCGATCGCGGGGCCTGACCTTTTCTTGGAGCCGTTATTGTCCAAGGTAGTTTCTGTCTCGGAGCTTCACTACTCCATGAAAGTTTATCCTGATATGACAAAGAAACTGATACCATCGGACATATTAAGTCCCAAACAATTGTTGGAGATGGAGGCTACCTTCATTGCATTTGTTGCTGACATGAAAAGAAGCTGAAAGTGTAGCTGTCTGCTTCTGCTGTGAGACAACCTACTCGTGGCGACGTGTCCAATGATCCTGCCACCGCAGAGTTTTGCAATCTATTCGCCAATATTTACCCCCTGAAGGATACTACTGAAGGATACTACTACTGATTCTTCTACAATGAGAGCTTAAAAAGAGAGCTCCTCCTCATCTTCATCTACCTCCTCCGTTTGATCCTCCTGCAACATCTAGGCCAACTCGATCTTTGGATTTGGCCTACAGGGATACTACTGCACCAAAATATTGCAGTAGGCGGTCGCGAAACTTAAAGAGAACATATTTAATAATAAAAAATGGAAAACAATGGGTGAAAATGATAGGGCGGAGTGGTTGATGGTTGGGCGATGTGCGAAATACTATTTACGATGACACTCAAAAAGTCATAGGACCTGCAACAATTCAAACTTTGAATGGGAACGATAAACTATAAAATTAAAAATAAAAGCAAGAGCTGCAAAATAAACATCATATTGTAGCCAGCTATTGGTATTATCTGGAATTCACTCATGACTGCGGTTCGTGACACATACCGGTAGGCTTTGGAGGGAATGAATCGAAGGTCTGTCGTCTGTCAGCTACAGTAATATCTTCCAGTCTTGCATACATCGCTCACCCATCATCGGAAGAGGCGTTTGATGACATGAAAAAGATTTCCTTATTGTTCTATTCTCATCACCACACTTTCACTCATTATTTATTGATTGTTTGCAACACAAGTCTACATCACAACAGAGTTTTCAAAATGTCCTGTCCTACACCATCATTGCTCGTGGCTGCTTCCAAAGCCGATGTTCCTTCCATCTTGTGCCCTCCGATTGCATTGATGGCAGAAGCAGCTCTGAAAGATCACGGTGCGGTTTCAATTGCACTCAGTGGAGGATCCTTGCCTTCCTTTTTGGCCTCTCTTCCACAAGCATTTAGTGATCATGAGACAGCTTGCTGGGATAAATGGCACGTATTTTTGGCGGACGAACGTTGTGTTTCGGAGGATCATGAGGATTCCAATACCAAAGCCTTGAAGGAGAAATTCTTGTCCCAGGTTCCCATTCCAGCATCGCAAATTTACAAAATCAATCAATCCTACGTGTCAACAAAAGCAGATGGATCTTCTGATAGTGCCGCAATTGCCAAGGATTATCAAGATATCTTGGTGTCAGCGTTGAAAACATATACCAATGGAAGATTGGACATTGCCATCTTGGGATTTGGCCCCGACGGACATACGTGTTCACTCTTTCCTGATCATGCCTTGATTCAACCCAACCAACCATCTGATATTTGGGTTGCTCCCGTTGACGACTCGCCAAAACCACCACCCCAACGAATTACTCTGACCTTGCCGGTACTGACGCAGAAAACGGACCACATTATCGTATGTGGAGCTGGCGGCAGCAAGCAGCCCATTGTCTCAAAAGTATTTACCTCTATCAGTAACAAGGTTGAAAAGGATGGCAACTTTCAATATGAAGGTACCATGGCCCAACCTCCGCCGTTTCCATGTGCCATGGTCATGCCACAAACATCATTAACTTGGGTATTGGATAAGGATGCCTTGGGAGAAGAATCATTGATCGGCGAAGACAAGCTTTAAAGATCGCATTAGCTTGGCTGAGGTATATAATATAGACACATCTATACATCTATAATAGATCTCTAGACACAGCGGTGTTGGCAGTTACACGGTTCTATTCCTATTCTGGCCTTATTATTAGGCAAAGTTGTCAAATGCAAGTGGGCTCACTAATAATCTTATTCGAATACGCATCAGCCATGATTCTTTTAAACTGATACCCATTAAAAGGCACCAATCATACCCAAGTCTTGAGTGGCCAAGATGTCATAGACGCAGTCCTTGATGGTTAGCGGATCCTTCAAAATGGCGCAGGCGGCTTCAGCTTGCTCAATGGAGATATCCGACTCTGCCAAACGACGCTTGCGTTCTCCACGGGGATCTTCGGGCTTGATGCATAGCTCTGGGAATTGAGGATGGGCAACTTCATGGAAGAGCTTGGGTTCACTTGGCAGGACTTGCCACTCGTCTCCAAAGTCGGTAAACTCATTCATGACGGTGGATCCATCGCGGGCCACGAGCTTTCCAGTCTGAAAGTCCCCAAGGAGACCGACAACCTTTCCAAAGACGGACTCGTCTCCATTGAACTTGATACGGACAAACTCCTTGTACAGCTGGACGTCAATGGAAGCCCCCGGGTAGTACTTAGAACTCAAGTCAATACTGTATTGCCGCTTGTAGACGGATGGAAGGGTCTGAGTGACGGGGAAGCCAGCGAAAGTGTCGAGTTCTCCTTGTTTTTCAAAGTTAATCCAATAGTGAGCCTCAGCATCATTAGCATCAGCGGACCCTTCAATTTCAAGAATGTCATTGCCAATCTTGATTGCGGCGCTCTTGATGTACGACCAGTGGCGGACAACCTTGGTCCGGATTTGAATGTCCAAGCCAAGTCCTTCGGCAAAGTCGGAATCCTTGATCAAAGTAAGATCACACTGTCCGTGGTATTCGTAGTGCTCCTTGTTCCAAGTAGTGAAGTGAGGATCACCACCGGGTCCGGACGGACTTGATTCAGATCGAGTCTCATCGCCAACAGGGTCAGAAGTTACAATTTCTGCAGTAGTACCGTGAAGAGTCTCTTCGGTCGGTGTGTTAGATACAGCATCTGGGTTGAAGCACCAGTGCCCCATTTCAACCAAGTGCTTGATACCATTGCCGGTAGTTCCGACACCATTCCAAGTGGAGTCATCTCTGTCAAAAAGTCCAAGGTTGAAGATTCTACCATCTGTGCCAGCAATACCAACTTGTGCTTGCTTCAGATCATTAGCAGTACCGGAAAACCATTGCATCTTTTGGTAGCAGAAGCAAATCTTTGGGTCGGGAGAATTCCTGTCGCTCAGAACAACTTGGAAAGTATCAGTGAGTGGAGTTGGATTTACTATACTCGTTCCATCGTCATTCCGGGCGTATCGTGCGACTTCTTCCCAAGTAACAACGAATTTGTCACCGACATTCCTGTACCAAATATGCCCATCAACCGCGTCGCGTGTATCTACGTCGGCCCAGAATGGCGCAATCATATTTGTTGATGCTGGTGTAAAGCCTCGAGGATCGTACCAATAGAGACCGGTCTCAAATGATAGGTTCCCATTAGTGTTGATGAAGAGGCTTCGCTTGATGTCACCAAACCAGTCGAAATCGATGCCAATTTCAGTGACATCGACAGATCCGTCATCGTTTCTAGGAACGGATGTCCAATCGCCACTAGGAGTGTAGTCGATGCAACCGTTTCCAGTGCTTTCACCAAAATTAATGGGAAGGGATGGGGTTTCTCCGGTTTCTTGGAGACGTCGCTCGCCTGGCGACAAGCTCACCCTTTCTTTGCTGTGAGCAGCACAGGCGATGGTGAAAAGGAACGAAGTAAGTATTAGCTTCATTGTTGTTGTTGTTGTTGTTGTTGTTGTTGTTGTTGTAACAGACGAAATGATATCAATTCAATCAGACGAGGATTGGAAATTGTGAGAAGATTCAATTTCACATTGTTGGATAGTGTCACTGACCAACGTGAACCTCGTCCTTCTTAGTGCATGTACCGGTATCATAGTACAAATGTAGGGTTTGTGCAGTATCTACTAGCGTGAAGCTCCAAATGCCAACGTGAAGTCTCGAGCATGGATGCTTGTTGCTGGCGGCGGTTTGTCACGAAACTCTGCGTGAGACTATATTCACGGGTGCCCACCAACCTTAAAATTTCAGTTCCGAGGTTCTGCAAGCGATAAATAGAAAAGTAGTTTGATATTTTGCAAGGCGTATTTCAATTAGAATAGTGTGTTCTATCGACTCACATTTTGAAAAACTGGCGCCATGCAGTCATGGCGCCATGTTCAGTAGGTTCGAGCTTTTTTATATGCGCCATGCAGTTTTCGCATCTTTGCAAGTCACAGCGCAGTTCAATCCTGCTTATATCCATGTGGTGGTGCATGCCCAAGCAAGATCGAGTTGGTTTTAGCAAGAGGAAGGTTTGAGGCTCAAAATGATTTTTTTGTTTTCATTGACGGCAGCATCGCTATGATGTTTTGAGTAGTGGCAGATTCATTGACACATTCTGAATTCTTCCTTCCTGCTATTATAGTGACGCAGGAGGCTATTCGAGACTTCAGGACCACACTCCAATGCAACAGCAAGACACTTTGCTCCAGTTTGGCAAATCGATTGACTGGTGATGTACTGCTTTCGGAAGTATTGGGTGCTGTTTCGAAGAGAAAAAGTGTCAATACACTTCCTTGGATGCCTTGAGCTTGGATTGATCTCTTGAGAGCTTCTCTGAAGTGGGCTCATAAGATGAATCATCATTGTCATCCGTCACGGAAGATCAGAACAGAAACTTGGCATTGTAGCTTGCCCATTCATCAAAGTCAATGCGGGCCACACCATCGACTGCTGCTATGGATCCAAAAAGTTGGATTCCATCATAACTTTAGATTCTCTTCGCGATACGCACTTCAACCACCATTAGCGATGCTATCAAGAGCATAGATAGGCCAAAGTAAACCAATAAAGTAAGGCGATGAAATGAGACTATTATACCGCAATGACGACTACCTCCGTGTGCACGAACCAAGTGTAGGCAATCAAGTCAGGCAACTTGTCTATCCTCGGCTAGTTCTAAGGCATGTATGTAGTGGAGCCAGGACTAGTCCAAGACTTGCACTGGATAACTCAACAGCCCAGCTATACCTTACTCGTATGAGATATGCAACATTGACTTAACTTTTAAGATGCTCGAGTCATCCCTAACACAAATATTTGAGATCCATTTTGGATCACTGTTGGCATTTCTTTTTCGTTTTCTTCATGGAAAAGCTCCAAGCGTGATCTAACATTCAAGTGCTTTGGAACCATCCTCCAGCGTAGTTGGGACTTCTTCTTCTTCTTCCCCATCTGCTTTTTCAACATCAGTCCTCTCTGCTCGAACATGCTTGGAGTTCTTCTTGCGAAAGTTGTGTTTCGATACAGCTTTGTAAAGCTCGCCATCTGGCAAGTACAACTTGTTGTCCACCTTGTAGACTTCTTCAGAATCCAATGGCAAGAGGAGCAAGATAATGATCCAGCCAACTCCACTCCAAAGGGCCACGAATGCAAAAGCAAACGTCAATGGCCCGACATGGGTAGTGGTTCCCCATTCACCTCCCTTCAAGCCTTTGGGTGCTCCGGTGACAGTATGCTCGGACTTGCGAATGAAGAAATTATTTTTGGAGGCTGCCTTGAAGAGCTTTCCAGATGGAAGGTAGAGCTTCTCGTCCACATTGTAAACTTCTTCTTGGTCCAAGGGACAAAATAAGAGAATGACAATGGCGCCAATTACTGTTGGCAGGGCTGCCAGTGCTAAAGCCAAGGTGAAGGGACCAACGTAGGTGGTAGTTCCCCAGCTTCCTCCACTCAAACCCTCGGGTGTGCCAGATGTAGTATGAGCCGATCGACGGATATCAAAGTTCTTGTCGGAAGCTGCCTTGAACTTGGTTCCATCCGCGAGATACAAGGCATCTCCCTCCTTGTAGACATCGTCATTATCCAAGGGCATGAAAAGTAGAATAAGAATAGATCCAATGACCGTAGGCAAGGCGCAAATGGCCACCGCCCAAGTGAGAGGCCCGACGTGTTGGGTGGTTCCCCAGCTTCCAGTGTTCTTGGGAGAGCAACCGGGTGGAACTCCACCAACCACATGCTCCGACTTGCTGACAGCAAAGTTGTGAGTCGAAGCCGCCTTGTAGAGTTTGCCATCGGCAGTGTAAAGCTTGTCTTCTACCTTGTAGACATCCATCTTGTCGACGGGGCAAAACAACAAGATGATAATCCATCCAATGATAGTTTGAATGGATGCTACGGCGCAAGCAAAGGCTACAAATAAAGAATTGAAAGAATATGAGAGAGTACTTGCCAAGGAAAACGTGGGAATGGAGCGATCGATATGTAGCACGTACTGAGTGGTCCAACATAAGTCGTGGTTCCCCAAATGCCTCCTGAAAGTCCGGGAGGTGGAGGGAGTGATGCGGCGTCTTTCATGTTGTTTGCTTGTACTGAGGTTGTAAAATGGATCAAGACAGAAAGATAAAGAATCGAAGTGGCAATGAATGTTTAGAAATGCATCAATCAAAGAGGGATTGCAAAAAGATGTGAGCACACGAGATATATGTTCATTTTGAAGATCCGAACACGCAGATTGATTCAGCCCCATCGACAGTCTCAATCGCTTGGTAGCAATGCTGATCGACTATCCCATACAGATCCAACATACCTTGTTCGTAGATGTATTATTCAACGATGTCAACAGACCTGCGTTTGTGTTACTATGTACTGTATATTGAATGTTGCAACTACGATTGATTTGGCAGTGTTATCTCATGCGGTGTCACTTATTCGTTCCCTGTCACGTTTTTTCCGGAAGGAACACACAGGAAATACTTAACAAGAGCGGAATACGCTCGTCAAACGCAACCGAATCAGCCAATCAAAATGTTCTTGCTTCCCCACAGTGAGTCTTAATCCCCAAAGACTGTTCACTTTACTTGGTTTTTAACGTGTGTAAAAAAAGACTCTCATTCGGAGCTTCTTCCAGCACTTGGTGGAACTTGCGATCTTTCGTCGTCTTCTGCGACATTTTATATTTCTCCAAACGCTTCGTTGTGCGAGTATCATACGGTACGAAGATACGACCGCAACAGAGAGGTTCGTCTCACACTTTACCATTCTTGTGGTCCGACGATCCCGTCTTGTGCAAGCTCCCTAGACGCAGCGCCACTTAGATTGGAGGGACTGTAGTCGCAATTAGCAGTTTGTCTTCGATAACAGAACTTGTTTAGGATTACTGGTATCACTATTTCTTTGTTTAGGATTACGCGCATCGCAATTTCTTTCGTCTACCAACTATTTAGGACACTCTAGAGAAATTCCTTACATGCGGTCCGGAATGTACGATCTCCAGTGGGTTCGGGCTCTGGATATCCAAAAGCGACACATTCACAAAGAACCGGTCGATTTCCGGATCCACATGTATACAAAATATCACAAAGACTTCGAGTTGCAGTATGGCAATCCGCAAATCGGCTGGGAGCTGCAAGGCAATTGATTCTCTGGTAGTTCTTGGAAGGATCGTCAATGGCAGGAACCGGATCGCGGTCTGGGATAATGTTGAAGGTGTATTTTTCAAGCGAGTCCAACGAAACTTCTGGCTCCAAAGTATGACGGGTGATGATCGTGTTGGGGCCACTTAAAGCGACTGCGGGTGTTTCCGTTTGGGCACCAGTGATCATTGCAAGGCCTCCCTACAAATCGAATATAGAAAGAAAAGCAAACGAGATTGTGAGTAAAGACATCCGTCACTTTTAGGAGGCATGCATTGATGCATTCATCAACAGCAGTCAAGACAACTTACACCAAGGGAATGTCCCGTCACACGCAATTCCTTGAACATGCCCTTCTCCTTTAGGTGATCGACAAAGTCTGAGGTCTGCACATAAAAGGCAACCTTACGAAGTGTCTCCGTCTGTAGCACCCCAATCATCGCCACGACATTGTCAATAATGGGTGACCAAATGGCCCCCAATGGTAGAATCGCACGGACCGCTTGTGCCAACCAAGCAGCGGACCAAAGCTGAGCATCACTAATCATATCCCACCCATTGTTGGTACCACGAATATCGACAATGGCGAATTCAGGATTGAGGGTTGGAAAGGTGATGAGTTTGTAGTGCACTGCCGAGTCAACTGCCAATCCACTGCGATACTCTGTTACAAACTCGTGGTTGTCTTGGGCCACGTCTTCTCCAAACCAAGCATCCAACAATCCGGGCATGGATTCGGGAGCATTGTAGGCAACGCCCGCCAAAAAGGTGTAATCGGCAAGTGCCGTTTCGTTGGATCCCGGAAGCGCAAAGTTCGAAGTGAGCGAGCAAGTTGGGTATTTGAAAGTATTCTCCAATGGCTTGTACTCGAAATCGTGCAACAGATTGGAGGTATCCGCTTCGGCTCCATTGTTCGAACCAGCCCCAAAGGCAGCGAGGAAGAGTAAAAAGAAAATAGTAACCATACCTCCAATAATGTTGGACCAAGTATCTTTGCGTGCTCCTTGACTAATACGGGCCACAATCTTAGAAAGACGGTTCTTCTCGAGCCAATCTTCTAACTTGTCCTCCGCGGATGGTTCCTCCGTATCTCGTCCTCGGATGAATTTGCCATCCAAAAGATCCAAATTGCCAAGTTCGGTCAAGACCACTGGTACGTTCAAGTAATGACGGCACGCCGAGAACAAGCCAAGGAGGACAAATAGTTTCGCAATGGGACCATTTCCGATATCGCAGAGCATCCAAAAGGGAAAGATCAGTAGAAAGAAGATTTCGCACCCAAACAAGATCCAACAAATCTTGTCGGAAGGCCGTGTCAGTCGATGGCTCTCCGTAATCTGATAGAGAGTCTCACTATCGTTCGATTCCGGATCGCGTCTCCTGAGCGTATCCTTGTAGGAATCAAATAACTTGTATGCGTTCAGTCCTTTGTCTCGATTGAAAAAGATGAAAAGTCCCGTCAAGACAAGAATGACAATGGTATTGGCTCCATTAAAAGCCAAGAATCCAGCAAAGAGCACCACAATCAAAATGTATCCCACACAGGCACAAATCAAACTGGACCAAACTTGAGCACTGGTAAGAGCTGACTCTCCATTGACCACCATGACAGATCGGGCCTTGGAGCGACGACAAAAGGCCTTTTCGAGACTCCATGTAGCATCGGTCACAAAGTATTCCCGATCCAAGACGTCTTCAATATTGAACTAAAAGAGAGCAAGGTTGATTTGATTGTGCGTCAGTCATGTTGTTGGAGTAAAATCAAAAACTACAAGTACATGCCATCCATTCATATTCAAAACATTGCGGTAGGTACTCACTTGTCTCTTTGGGGGGTCGTATTCAAAGAAAAATTTGTCCGGCAACCATTGAGAGAATCGCGTCCATAGAGAGATAGTGGTAATGACAAACTCGGTGTCCACATTTTCCGTCTCTTCATACGATTCGTTGGCGGTGGGAAGTGCCTGACCTCCCTCCACAAAGAAGGTACGGGTCCTCAAACCAGAATAAGCATGCTGCATTCGCAACATGATGGCACGCCTGGCAAATTCACGGACCGCGCCGATATTGAGATCCAACAAGGCGTATTTGGGATGATGACTGAGAAGCTCGAGAGCTCCCCAAATCTCAAAGACAAAGACGCCAAAACTGAATAGGCAAAAGTAAACCGTCACACAGCCAAACCAAGCCAAGGCGGTATCTTCCCAGAACGTTGGCGATTGGAACATTCTGGTAATCATGACAATCAATGGAATTCCCAAGAACGCAAAGAAAGAAAACCAGTCAATAAAGACTGGAGACCAACGTAGAATGCTTCGAAAGAATTTATGTCCATTCCAAGTATCCAAGACAAATTCAGATCCCATGGTCAGAGTGGAAGCCAATCCATAGACAAAGTAAGGAATGGAAAGGACAGCTCCCACTAGATGAAAGACATTGAGCTTTTGATTGGAAGAAAGCCCACCTTCCATGACCAAGCTGACAAACAAAAAGAGCAAGACTTGCAAGCAAAAGATCAACAAAAATCCCATCATGAGAACGGCAATCAAAGTGTACCATCCACGCAGCATGGAAAGACCAGAACTTCCGTCGGATGTGACCTTTGCTTTCAATTCGTTCTTGGTCGAAATGATTTGAAACTGCTGGGTTCCGCTGCTATAGACTCGGACAGAGTTGTTGCGAAGTCTCACATTGTCCGAAGGTGTTTCCAATGAAAAGTGATCTTCAAAGGACAACATGAACTCCTCAGGAGACGAGTCTGCCTTCTTTTCCGACAAGAGAGGATCGTTTTCACTTGCTGAGGCCATGGTATTATGGTGCTTATTATAATGTTGAAGCGAACTGCCAGATTCTTTTATAATATGTACCGGTATATTATACTGCAATGCACAGCAACACTACTACCGCCTATAAAATGATGCGAAGATATGATATACAGTAATAATAGTGCCGCTGATCAGATGGAAGATCCATCATCTGGTGGCGAATCTTTGAATAAAGTTTTTGGCACGTGCCTATCATAAAGATACTTAGACAAGCAATGACGCGTGTCGAGCCAGCCAAAAACCGTTGAAAATCCAATAATCCACAGGATTCATTCGCACGCGCAGATCATGAGAATACGATAGATACTCATCGTACCAGGCAGGTATAGGCATCGCTAATCGATCATTATGGAAGGATGAGAATATAATAGGACTGAATTCCAAAGATGATGATTCAGACTGAAAGAGATATAGCACGTGATTGCCTTGAAAATCCGAGCAATTAAACCAAGATGTGGTGGATGAATGAACGAGATTGCCCAAAAGCTTTGACAAACGATAAAGCGACGATTGAGTCGAAAAGAAAAAGAGATTGAAAATTTGCAAGGATCAGAAACCAATGATGGACTTTTGAATGGCTTTGACAATTCATGAGTATAAAATAGACGAGAGCATATTTCAGTTATGTTAGAAGTCGGTCGTCAGAGGCTATAAAATGTCGATTGCGATTGGGAGTTTCTGATCAGAAGCTACACTTGTGAAATAAAATGCGACTATATTACCACAGAAACCCATACTGGCTTTGCTTTTAGGAGCATAGTTAGCGGAGAGAATGAATACAATTGAATGCTTTTCTACTATTCTATCGACTGGGGCGGTGAGGTCGGATTGTAAGGATCAGTAAGGAGCTTTCGATCTCGTTGGTCAGAATGATGCTCGCCGTCACTGTGCCTATGGTGTGGTCGTGTGATCTCAACTTGCCAGATTAGTGCCCTCCATTATTTTGTCTATGTTTTTGGTGTTCTCGCTCTACCGATCCATGACCATGACTGTCACTTTTTCGACTATGGGGGCGGTGGTGATCTCTCGACTTGTCATGGTGGCGATGATGACGCCTTTCTCCGTTTTCAATTTCAGCATTATAGATGCGGCTATAAGGATATAGTGTCCAAGCTACAATCTGAAATCACCAGAATCTTTTTTTTCGTCCACATTCTCGTTGTCATCCCCATTTAGCTGTTTCTTCTCTGGGCTCGTCTTTTTCTTCTTCTTTCCATTACTCTTGGATCCCGCTTCTCCCCACTCTGCCATTTTCTCCTTTACTTCAGATTGATTTCCAAGTTTATTGTACAGACTTGCCTCATTTGCCCAGACTCCAAGGGCCCATGCTGGGATGATTGTGATGATTACAATGAAAAGGAAAAGGACCAACTCTCCGCTGCCCAGGCCACCGCCAGTTTCTAATCTCCGTCGAAGGTATAGTGGGAATGTCCATCATTAGCTGCTATTATGAGAGGAAAGGAAAAGGAAATCAGGCTAATAAAAGGTGAAAGCATTATACAATTTATTTGTTTGTCTTGGTATCGGTGTTGTGGTACGGTAGAATAAGTTTGGCAAACGATCAAATAATCCACGACGATTGATTGATTTTTGTGTTCGCTTGCAATAACTCGAACCGCATTTACCGCTCGTGAAATATAATAAAAATATTCCTTGCGCCATTTTTTGTATAGTGTGTATTCTTACAATGCCTTCAAGTTTCAAATTCCTTGAGCCAGTCTATCTGTGATGCTGTAAAATGTGCATGATCTGTGATGCTCATCTGTACAGCAGTACTGTTGTGCACCTCTTATAACCAAATTTTCAATCGAAGCAGTGAAAATGAATCAAGTATTTTTTCGAAACGTCCGAAAGAGCTGACCAACTTTCTTCGCCGCCTCTTCCAGCTCAACTTCTATCCATCCATTGACTTCTGCTCGTTTGAGAAATCTGGCACCATTTTCAAACAGGGTTAGAGCCAATCTTGTTGATATCTCTTTTCGTAAAGATTTCGGAGTACTTTCAAATTCTTCCCTGTGCGCCATGAGAAAATTCCGAAACCAGAAATTGCCAATGTGATGCTGGATTCCGAATCCTTTTCCAAACAAGATATCTTGTGGTCTGGGCTGGTTTGGCGTCTGCTGAACTAGAAACTTTTTGACATATTCCTGTTGCTCAAACCAAGTATTCAAGATGTCCCATCGGATATTCCCGTCTACATCGATCGGGCACCTTTGAGTTGGAACGCCGTGGCTTCGAAGAGCGATTTGAAGCTCCATATCCGTGCCATAGTGAATGCGCGTCCTGACTCTGGTGCGAGCCGGTGACTGGCTCAGCGTGTAGAATAGAAGAGTATTGCTGAAGACCAAACTGCTCCTAATGGGCTTCAAGCAAATGTGCACTGCAGAATGTCTCAGAGGAATTGATGCGACGACATCCATTAGTGTGACAAGGGCAGCGAGTCCAGGCATCTCATGGTTCTCCCCTGCATTAGTCACATCGTAATAGATGCCGACGATCTAGTATCAGTATTTTGAAAAGGTGAGAAAAATCACCTACATAAAAATTCAAGATGCAACCACGAAGAACTCACCCCTTTTGATTGGACTTCAGGAATAGGAATCAACACATTGTTGAATATGTAATATGCAACTTTGATCTGAAAAGGAATACATAGATAGACATGCGGGTGAGTTTGCGGGGGCAATGTGAGTTGTGTTCAACAATCATATAATATCCTTACCATCGTCTCAACACTATACTTCCGAAAAATTTGATTCATCAAATACAACACTACTCGTCCATTCCTGTCCCTTTCTTCCTGAATATGGAACAGTCCCGAGGAAAGCAGTTCCATTGCGTCATCATTCAAGTCGTCGAGAACAATATCAAGAGCCAATTTGGCGTCACCAAAGTAAGTTGCTTTGTGCTGCAAAAATGCCATCATCTGACGAACAGATCGATGGACATCGTACATGTTGCACCTCAGAAAACGCAGTCGAAAGGATGGGTCTTCGACGTAGGCTCGATTTTGTTTGAGAGCGATTTCATAGATTGGATTTCGTTCATCTTGAACGAGTCTATCCAATTCTTTCAGCAATCTTGCCTTCGTCTCTGGAACTTCCTCAAGCGCTCTTCCAACGCAATGAATATCGTCCAGGGCCTCAGCTCGTTCTTTTGCGGTAGCTTTATTGAATTCTGCTGCTAGGAAATCCTCAGTTTGTTTCATTTCCTGAAAGGCGATGTTGGGCATCTACTTTGATGTGATGCTCTTTTGATATGGCGAAATCAGCTGTCAAAGTGTCGAAATGTGGGTAAATAGCCAGAAGTCACGTCTTTTGATGTTTAGAACTTTATTCCCACCTAATACGTATATCAGCGGAAGTTTTATCCACCTCAAAATCATTTTTTTAAAAATACAACAGCTGGGACTAAAAAGACACTTCTGGTCAAGACATCCCAGTGATTCTTGTTAATAAATGAAAGTCGCTTCTTACCAAGACCGAAACGCTAGGGTGGTTAATTCATTGGTTTGTCCAGTTTTTAGAATATTCACGAGATAACGACCAAAGCGTTTCAGCGCTCTCTTCAGGCAAGAAGCTTCGGGTCGGACTGCAAGAGAATAGCACGACTTGAAAACATCACCTACACACCACATGTTGGTGACAGATGACAGGTGACAGACAGGTGACACTGATCCGATCGGAGTTAAACTAGCACGACTTAGATTGATGGGTTGTAGTTTCGCAGCTAGCACGAACGACCTGCAAAACTTCATTCTACAGGACACTCTCGAGGTTGCTTTCTGCAATTGAAAAGGTTGGATTTGGGCATTTTCATTGAATCAATCTCGTTTCGGGAAACACAGCGAGACTAGTGAAATCATCTTCGCCCTTATTTGAGCCCTTCAGCATCAATGAATCCTGATAGTAAAAGAGAATGCTTGCGACCGATCCGCATTCGAGGACCACTGCAATATATATCTTCAGCAAATAATATAGGTTGAAAAGGGCAGGCCTGCTCCTGTGAAAGTATCTACCACAGCAACCCAAATTGGCCCTTCATATGGAACGGAATAATAGAGGGAAATTGAAAAAAATCGGATGCTTTTCTAACATTGTATCGGCTGTGACGGCGACGAGGGTTATAATGATGAATGTGATTGCGATGAATTTTGTCAGGTAGATGACTGATATTGTTGACATACTGTAGATGCTGGTTGTGTGGTTATCGTATGATGGAGTGAAGCACGCCGTCGTTTCACCCATATGGTGGTTACTGATGACGGCACTGGTTCGGCTTGGGTGGTGGTGACCTTGGTGATGATTGAACGTAGATACGAGGATATATAGCGGGTCTAACCTAGAATAATCAATTTCCTCGTTTCGCTCTATCGTTCTTGGATTTGGTCCCTCGTCGCCGCTGTAACAATTTCCTTGTTAGTTTTTTTTCCCTTTCACTATGGACTATAAGCGTCTCAAATTTGTATTATTTGCCAACTCGAATCTCGAAGGGCCCAAGCGATAATGAACTATCTTTTCGCAACCCCTAATCTACGTCGAAGGTAGTACCAGTACGGATGTCCATCATCCAATGGCTATTGTCGTGAGAGGGATGGTAAGTTAGAGATTGAAAGCGAAATAGAAACACCTAAAACGTTTGAGAGTATAGGCTCTCGTCGCATCTGAACTGAGCCGATGGTACTTTGTTAGCCTTTTGTTTGCAGCATCTCGGTTTGTGATGTACATATTTACAGAACAAGTATATTGAGCCTCAAGCCTTCTTTCGAAATGTCCTGAAGAGCTGACCAACTTTCTTCGTCGCCTCATGCAGGTCGACTTCCATCCACTCCCCCGACTCTGCTCGCTTGAGAAATCGGGTCCCATTTTCAAACATGGTCCGAGCCAATTTTGTAGAGATCTCTGTCCGCAAAGATTGTGGAGCACTATCATATGCATCCCTGTGCGACATGAGGTAATTCCGAAACCAGAAATTGCCCAAGTGGTGTTGGATCCCATATCCTTTCCCAAACAGGACATCTTGTGGCCTTGGCTGATTCAACACGACCAGCTGAGGATTGTGCCGTGTATCTGCTGTTTTTTCCTGTTTCTGAAACCATGTATTGGAGACGTCCCTACGAATATTGCCTTCTAAATCGACAGGGCACCTTTGAGTATGAATGCCGTGGCTTCGAAGAGCGAGCTGAAGCTCTGCATCCGTGCCATAGTGAATGCGTGTCCGAATTCTGGTGTCTGCCGGTGACTGGTTGAGCGTGTAGAATAGAAGGGTATTGCTCAGGACCAAGCTGCTCCTTATGGGCTTCAAGCAAATGTGCACTGCAGAATGTCGCAGAGGAATTGATGCGACGACATCCATCAGCGTAACAAGGAAAGTGAACCCAGGCATCTCAAGATTCTCCTCTGGCTTCGTTACATCGTAATAGACGCCAACAAACTAATTTCAAAAATATGAAAGGTGAGAAGCAGCGCTTGAGCTGTAGTAGGGTGATCCTACTCGAGATGAAAAGAACTCACTCCTTTTGATTGGACTTCGGGAATGGGAATCAACACATTATTGAATATATAGTATGCAACTTTGATCTGAAGAGGGCTGTGAGTTTGCGAGGGGACCATCAAATCTCTTCAACAAATCGTTCGTCGAAAGAGCATACTCACCATCGTGTCAACGCTACTCTTTCCCAAAATTTGATTCATCAGATACAGTACTACTCGTCCATTCTGGTCTCTTTCTTCCTGAATATGGTACAATCCTGACGAAAGGAGCTTTATGTCATCATCATTCAAGTCGTCAATAATGATATCATGAGCCACCTTGACCTCCCCAAAGTATGTTGCCTTGTGCTGCAAAAATCTCATCATCTGACGAACTGATCGGTGGACGTCGTACATGTTACACCGCAGAAAACGCAGTCGAAAGGAAGGGTCTTCAACATAGGCTCGATTCTGGTTGATAGCGATTTCATAGATTGGATTTCGCTCGTATTGAACTAGTATATCAAATTCATTCAGTAATCTTGCCCTCGTCTCTGGAACTTCCTCAAGCGCTCGTCCGACGCAATGGATATCATCTAAAGCCTGAGCTCGTTCTTCCATGGTGACTTTGTTGCATTCTGCCGCCAGAAACTCCTCAGTTTGTTTCATCTCCGGCCAGACGAGGTTGTTCTTGCGCCGTCTGTGGACAGGCATCGCGCTTTGCTGCTTTCTCAATGGACAACACTTGTGGTTACAACTGTCAGTTCAGATGAAATGAATTCAAGGACTAAAATGGCGCAACGGCTGAAAAGAAAGTGACTTCGTTTCAAATAACAAAATGTCAAAAGTGACATGATTTGTCGAACCAGATTCCGACTTTGTCCGGTTATTTTTATAAAATCAAAGGAAAATAATGTTGAATGAACGACGTAATGTAAAAATACAGGTCTCGTCCTTCTTATCAAGACGCCCAACCAAGATATCAGTGGTACTAAATACATAATAAAAGTTTCTTCTGGCCAAGACCCACGACGAGTTCTAGAACACGATCGTTCATGATCTTTTGGTCACGCGAACCACCAACCCTATTTAAGATTAAATAGCGCCAGCACATTTTCGCAAGTGAACGATAGGTGGATCCTGCGATCTGTCGGTCTGCATTATGGTACCTGGTACTGGTAGGTACATAGTAGAGCTTATCATTCCAATAATCAGGTTAGGTCTTGGTTCAAGCCGACGGCATGACCTGAAACTCCATCGCTCTTGCTTAGAAGTTTTTCGAACGTGTACTAACAGGCTACAGTACACGCTCGCGGTCAACAAGCATAATATGGACCGATATATACATCGGTGAACCCATTGATTTAAAGTAAGTGTAGTATTGGTATACTAGTGAATTCAGCGTCGCGCTTCGTGTGGTCCCTATCATTCACAATACAGGTGATTTATATAGGTGCCGGTATACGGCGGTACATTGAGTTGAATCAACTTCCGGAATCAGATATTTTCGAAAGTACCAAGTCTATCAGTATCCGGCGGTATATACTCGTGAATTCATCGCCGCACTTGTTCGACCACCCCAGCATCAGTTACTCCTGGGGGTGGCGGAGGAGCCTCTCTAGGATTTTCATTAAAGAATCCTTTATCTTCAAAAGTAGCGCTGTTATTATGGTGTCGTTCTGCCTTCCAATCACTGGTACCGATATTTCTCGACCGCCACGCGTCTGTAACGTCTTTGGACTTCATCATCCTCGTCAGAGGCTTTAATTTTTACCACAGCCTCCATTATTCTTTGATCTGATCCTCCATCATCGACGGCAATCTGAAGGTTATATTGGCGTTGTTGTTGTTGGGGTCCATCCTCCCACACGGCATGCGCCATGGACGATGGTATACCAGTACAGTAGAATTGCACTATATCAAGCGAATGCGGCCGTCATTTCCGACACCCAATAGGACGGAACCCCATTGCGCATATTAAGAGGAACGATTTGAAGAATAAAATGGAGCAGCTAACATCAACGGCATGTGACCGCATCTCAACACCTAGCTCGACGAGATGATTGATTTTTGTCTCGGCGCCTAGCCTGACGAGATGATTGACTTTTGTTGCGGTCATCATCGTCCCTATTATGTACAGTCGCAGTCAACAAGAGCATGGATTTGTATATAGGTACAGTAGATTGAGTTGAATCAACTTCCGAAATCAGATATAGAAAGAAGTAAGTTTATTAGTATCCGGCGGTATAATTATGAATTCATCGCCGCCCTTGTTCGATAACCTCAGCATCAATTACTCCTGGTGGCGGAGGAACCTCTCGAGGATCTTCATTGAAGAATCTTCCATCTTCAAAATTAGCGTTGTTATTGTGGTCGTTCTGCCTTCCAATCACTGGCACGGATATTTCTCGGCCGTCACGGGTCTGCAACGTCAAGCTTTGGATTTCATCATCCTCAAAGGCTGTAATCTTGACCACGGCCTCCATCATTCTTGGGTCCGGTCCTTCCACGGCAACTTGAAGGTTCCGCTGAGCCCGCCGCTCTTGGCGTTGTTGTTGTTGTTCGGGTCCATCCCAGACGGCAGCATACGCCATGGACGAGGCGGAACCTAGAATGCCCCCCAAGCGAATGCGATCCTCATTGCCCACACCCAGGGCCATGCGGCAGGCTACGTCGTCGTTTAGATACCGTTCGGCCTTATCCAAGAGTATGCGACTACTACCTTCTCCTCGCTGCAAGAATCCATCATAATTGGAAAAGACTTCCATTTTCTGCCGCATCTGATCCAACATGGAGAAGGCCGATCTGAAATTCGAATTGGCAATGCTGCTGCCGTTGCTGGAGCTTTTTCGTCGGGTGCGGTAAAAGGGCGACAACGCGCGAAAAGGTGTTGGCATGGAAAAGAATTTATCAAAAAAGGGATCGTCAAAGAATGGATCATCAAACATTTCTGCCAGCAAGCTGGTGGAAGATGAGCGTCCCTCGTCCCTTCTTCTATTCTTGTTCAACATGCTAAAGGGTGTTGGCATTGCGAAAAAGTTGTCAAAGAATGGGTCATCATTGAAGAATGGATCGTCAAACATGTCATCCAACAAGCTGGAAGGTCTTGACCGGTTCATCCGAGTTGGATATCGTCTATAGTCTTCTTCTTGTCGTTGCTGTTGCATGTCTCTTGGAGGTTCATAACCCTGATTGAATTCTTGAGGTGGCTCGTATGGCTGTTGCTGCTGGTAATCATTCAGGTATTCTTGATTTGGGGGATAATATCCTTGATTTTGCGCCTCTTGATGATTGAAGCTGGCCTGCTGATACTCCTGCGCCTCAAATTGGTGTGGATTGCTGGATTCATAAGGTTGACCTTCAGCATAATATTGGTTGTTCGATTTGTCCGCAAAAGAATTGTAGTTCACATTGTTGTAACCAACGTCGCCGTTGAAATATTCTTCTTGCGGCGGTCTATCAGGTTGAAACTGGTTATTGTTTTCGTTCCATGATTGCTGGTTTTGTTGTTCAGCAGCAAGTCCACCACCAGGTTGTGGTCCTTCATTCCAACCGCCATTATTGCGTTGCTCTTGTTCGTAAGCATAGTCCTGATACTGTTGGTCTCGCTCAGCATAATAAAGGGATCCAGCTCGACTGGACTTTCTTCCTGAAGAATAAGCATGTGAAGAACACAAAGAGGCTCCGGCTGAAGTTGTTGCTGGTGAAGGCGCAATGCCAATCAACGCCTCGACGCTGACAGCCGTCAAGGCAATGGAAGCAATAAGCAGCATAGTAGTAAAGGTCGAATCCATTGGGAGACTCAAGGTAGAATGCAGTATTTTGATAATATATACAAGACTTCTTCGTCCTCCTATGATGCTGCTTAATTCTGACTTCTAATGCTACCGGTACGAAGATTTGGAAGAAATCGATAGAAAAGATGAGCCAACCAAAAGGCTCGCTGAAAACTGACGTCAGAGAATTGATGTCAAAAAACGTCTGCATACGGTATACGGTCCTTCCGTCTTCCGTCCCGTTCTCTCAAAACAAAAAAGATACGGATACAATATCCCTTAACGCTTCGATTTTATCCGATATATTATATCGGATATAAAAAAAATTACGCACTACTATTTACACCATACTACTACAATAATAAGCATTAAAATGATCATTACAAAGGGACAAATCTAAATATGAATACTTCCTAGCAGGTACAGTAAGCTTAGTTGTCGCTGTAGCTCCATTTTGCTTCTCCAGAGCCTTCTGATAAGCGAAATCGGCCACATGGAGTTGCTCATTTCCTTTCTTGATAGCAACAGTGTGCTTTTACTGTTTTCTACTGAATCTAGGCGCAGGAAGCCATGGCTTAGATGTGGCAATCATTCTAAACGTCTTCATTGGTGCTCCGCTTGGTATATTGTCACATAATGCGTTGGCCATGTAACTCTGCCACAACGCAATTGCCAACAGCCTACTTTGCAGGATTGACAGCCATGAAAATACAGTTACACACTGCAATCAACACTAGAATCACTTTCGAATGACTATCCTTCACCCTTGAAGGTGCTGGCCTTTGTCTTGCATGACTATTTACATTCGGGATGACGAGCAACATACTCAGATTTTTTTGGTCCATCAGACCACCAAATTGAGCCGCATGGTCCTCTCCCATGCCTATTGCACCTTCTGATAGGGCCGAGAAGTGCCATTGTGATAATACATATCAATGGCAAATGGTAGGGTGGAAGAATATGCCGTCTTCATGACCTGACGAGACAGTTTTGTGTTGGTGTCAGTTTTGGGGCAAATGGGTCTGTCCGACTTCGGAGGTTCATCCTTGTTTCTGTGATGGGCTGAGATATAACATGTAGCATACCGATGAATTCCTTATTTCACTGGCAATAAACTTATTTATGGCAGTAAAAGGTGTATTTGTACGTGGCGGAAGTTATTGCGTGAAATGTGTGGAATTTTTTTTTATCCGATATATTATATCGTCTAAAGCGTTAAGGGATATGATAATATATATCATAGTCATCATCGTCGTCATCATCATAACACCTTCATTGACCACATCACAGCTTCCATACTACCGGAAGGTACGCTCAGTGCTGTCTCCAATATCATGTCTCCTACTATAACCCCAAGAAGCCTCATCAATAGCCCAGATTATGTGAAACTCAATGTGGGAGGACGAATCTTTTCCTGCTCCAAAATCACCCTGACTTCGTGTTCAGGATACTTCAGCTCCATGTTTTCCAACGATTGGCAGGGAACTTGTGAGCATGAAATTAAGGATACTATATCTGTTTATTTTTTGGATCAAGATCCAGATGCCTTTCAAATACTGCTGAGTTACATGAGAAATGGATTCATCCGGTCATCCGCCATTACTGAAACCGTCTTGATAGAAGCAGAATTCCTAGGTCTTGACTCTCTCATCAAAAGTGTCAAATGTTCGGCGTACCGCTATTTGCACAATCATCACAGCCAGTCGTTACAAGAAGACGAAACTTGCAATTGCTTTGATGAAAAATATGGTGGAATCTTATCTTCCATTCAACAAGGAATATTGCCACAATCCATTCAACCCAGTGTCAGGGGTCGTAAGGAATTTGCGCATCTTGGTATTTCCAACGATACAGCTGTAATACCTACTTCCAATAACTCAGGGAATGAGAACTTACCCTGTCTCATGACCAAGCTGATACTGTCACAAGCATGCTGGAGAAATGATAATGATGATTCTACTTCAACACCAACGACGATACAAACACCAACCGAGTCACAGCAGTCGTCGTCAGCAGAGTTATTGGCGACCGGTGATCCACCATATTGCTTTCCGACTCTTATTGAATCTCTTAATTGGTTGCATCGAAATGGTTTCGTGGAGAAAGAGACTGACTTTTTGCATTGTTGTGCCGACATTTACGATCAACAACCAATAGATCCAAGAATCATTCAATTGTTTGGCCACACTTGGTTCTCGCGGAGAGTAGTCAAGGGTGAGGAAGAATCCAAAAATATAAGCACAATACCACATTGGGAGTCTCCAATCTTGTACGATGATGGACCATCAGGAATGAATCAAAATGTTAACAGAACTTTATTGATGGATCGGCGAGAATTTGCTGCGATGGTATCCTTATTTCCCGAATATCAAGGAGATCCATTGAAACGCGAGTTTGTCGTCGCACCGTCTACTGGAAAAATCAATCTGAAAGTCATTGATGATGCGGCTGAGGTGGGCTATGCTACCTCTTATACCAAATACATTCACAAAAATCCAGTCCAATGGCTGGCTACTCAAGGCTACACAAGAGCGGAGAGGGAATACAGCAAATCGTTACAGCAACTATATCGGGAAGGTAGTTCCAAGGTTCATCTTTGGGACAATGAAACGATTTCTAGGATTCATGTTCGAGTATTCTCGAGGGATTTGGTGCAGTGAATTATTGAATGAGTGAATTATTGAATGATTCGTTCACATCACGTAAGGAGAATATTGACATCAGAATTTGTTGCTCTTTGAGCTGAGCCGCTGGGATAAATTCTTTTATCATCTGTTCAAATCAAATGGATTCAGAGCCATTCAAAAGGAACAAATGCAAGAGTTCATACACTTCAAGACTAATTGGCCATCATAATGTCAGGCAGACTGCAAGGAGATTGAATCAAAAAGTAAAATGTGGATAGTCTAGTTTGACAAAGAAGTAATGCTGTACTGCACGATGATTTAAATAGTAGTATGCCGTCTATATTTTTTTAAAGATCCACCATTGTCGTGGTAGCTTTATTGCAAGATCATAGGGGTCACAAATGGGAGCCATTGTTGTTCCTTCCAAAGCTCCTTCTTGGGCTGTTTGCAATGCTGGTATTGATCCTGCTTTGGGTTCGACGGATACTTTTGCTTGACTTCGTTTCTACCGCACCTGCGACAGCATGCTATGAGTGAAAGACCATGAGGAGCAGAGCTGTACCACATTGTAGCAATAATTTCATTGTGAATAAAAGCACAATGTTGCACATCCACCATTGTGACCCTGTTGACAATAAGAAATAAGGGTCAGCCCCATCCGGTGTATACTGTAGGTAGGTGCAATGTACAGATTGGTAGCCGAATAATATGCATTCCAGTCCCGGTTCAACTCAAAAACCATTTAAAATAGAAATGGAATAGTAATGTACATGCATAGCCATAATTACACCTTGCAATGACACGAAGTTAGTTTCTGTAATCTTGGGCTCTAGATATTAGATCTTGGTGGTGCCCACCTTCAATACCTCCCACTTTTGGCGCAATAGATTGATGTGTTGATTCACAAATATTTCTCCCTTAATTAAAATCTAATGAAAGTGTACAAGAGGAAATGCCCACACCAAAATTGTCCTCAGATACCAACAGCTTGTACGTCACTCCTGCTTCTCCTATCCAAATCACCTCAGCATCACCCGTCCAGTAGGGCCCATCCTTTCCAATACACGACAAGGCAGTACAATCGCCACTAAATACACGAAGAACAGTATCAGCTGTGTTGGGACCTGACACATAAGCACGGATTGATCTAGTGGCAGTAGCAGTATAGCTGTACCAGATGCCATTGGCTTCTTCATCTACCAAGCAGGTAGTCACATTCGAATCAGGAAGAGAATCACGAAGAGCACCAACCGAGCTGACTTGCAATTCAAAAGGCAGTGTGTCCACCGATGTTGCGCCATCGCAGGAGTCGTTATCAGGGACATCATAGTCTTGAATGCTGAGATCAAAAGAAGAAATTCCCACACCAAAATTGTCCTCAGATACCAACAGCTTGTACGTCACTCCTGCTTCTCCTATCCAAATCCACCCAGCATCACCCGTCCAGTAGGGCCCATCCTTTCCAATACACGACAAGGCAGTACAATCGCCACTAAATACACGAAGAACAGTATCAGCTGTGTTGGGACCTGACACATAAGCTCGGATTGATCTAGTGGCAGTAGCAGTATAGCTGTACCAGATGCCATTGGCTTCTTCATCTACCAAGCAGGTAGTCACATTCGAATCAGGAAGAGAATCAGGAAGAGCACCAACCGAGCTGACTTGCAATTCAAAAGGCAGTGTGTCCACCGATGTTGCGCTATCACACAAGTCATTATCAGGGACATCATAGTCTTGAATGCTGAGATCAAAAGAAGAAATTCCCACACCAAAATTGTCCTCAGATACCAACAGCTTGTACGTCACTCCTGCTTCTCCTATCCAAATCCACCCAGCATCACCCGTCCAGTAGGGCCCATCCTTTCCAATACACGACAAGGCAGTACAATCGCCACTAAATACACGAAGAACAGTATCAGCTGTGTTGGGACCTGACACATAAGCTCGGATTGATCTAGTGGCAGTAGCAGTATAGCTGTACCAGATGCCATTGGCTTCTTCATCTACCAAGCAGGTAGTCACATTCGAATCAGGAAGAGAATCAGGAAGAGCACCAACCGAGCTGACTTGCAATTCAAAAGGCAGTGTTTCCACTGATGTTGCGCTATCACACAAGTCATTATCAGGGACATCATAGTCTTGAATGCTGAGATCAAAAGAAGAAATTCCCACACCAAAATTGTCCTCAGATACCAACAGCTTGTACGTCACTCCTGCTTCTCCTATCCAAATCCACCCAGCATCACCCGTCCAGTAGGGCCCATCCTTTCCAATACACGACAAGGCAGTACAATCGCCACTAAATACACGAAGAACAGTATCAGCTGTGTTGGGACCTGACACATAAGCTCGGATTGATCTAGTGGCAGTAGCAGTATAGCTGTACCAGATGCCATTGGCTTCTTCATCTACCAAGCAGGTAGTCAGATTCGAATCAGGAAGATAATCAGGAAGAGCACCAACCGAGCTGACTTGCAATTCAAAAGGCAGTGTGTCCACCGATGTTGCGCCATCGCAGGAGTCGTTATCAGGGACATCATAGTCTTGAATGCTGAGATCAAAAGAAGAAATTCCCACACCAAAATTGTCCTCAGATACCAACAGCTTGTACGTCACTCCTGCTTCTCCTATCCAAATCCACCCAGCATCACCCGTCCAGTAGGGCCCATCCTTTCCAATACACGACAAGGCAGTACAATCGCCACTAAATACACGAAGTACAGTATCGACCCTGCTTGGACCTGACACATAAGCTCGGATTAGTTTTTTGGCGTTCGCAGTATAGCTGTACCAGATTCCATTGGCTTTGTCATCCACCAAGCAAGTAGTCATATTGGCATCAGGAAGAGAACCAGGAAGGGCACCGACCGTACTGTCTTGCAATTCAAAAGGCAGTGTCTCCACGGATGTCGCGCCCTCGCAGGAGTCGTTATCAGGGACATCATAGTCTTGAATGCTGAGATCAAAAGAAGAAATTCCCAAGCCAAAATTGTCTTGAGATACAAGAATTTTGTACGTGACACCGCTCTCTGTAATCCAGGCTAAACTAGCGTCTCCATTTGCAAATGGTCCATTCTGACCTTTGCAGGAGAAATTGTTGCAGTCACCAGCAAATACGGAAAGTACCGTTTTAACATTATTTGGAGCCGAAATAACCACATTCAAGATCTTTTTCTCGGTAGCTGTGTAACTGTACCAAGCCCCATTGGCTGTCAGAGCGACGGAACAGTTACCGAGGTTGAAATCGGGAAAGGCGCCAAACGTGCTATCAGTTAAAGTGATGGGTAGCGAAGAAAGGGTCGATGCATCACCGCATTCATCATTCTGAGGAGTTGCCTGTGCTTGCATTATTTCATCTGTGAATGGATCAATCCAATTCTCATTGCCATTTTTCACCATTCGAATCTTGAGACCCATGCTCTGCGCTTTGTCAACAAAGAAGTCAAGAGATCCTTTAACGTGACTTTCTTTCACACTACCAGAAGTATCCAGAAAGAGGGCAATAAAATCAAGATTCTTTGCCCAAAGGTCAAGACCACAGAGATTGAACCAATCGGAAATGGGCAAATTGTACTGTGAATCACGATTTACAGGGTGTTGGAGAGTCAATGGATCTTCATCAAATGAGCTTGGAAGGTGAAGAGTGCTACCACCACTCACTGCAGGAGGGCGCAACAAGCAGAATGGACGGCGTGGGAACTCCTTGCGAAATTGAGCCCATTTGCTCTCAGCTTGCGAGTTACTCAGTGATGACTCATCAATCACAGCAACACAAGGGACGATATCACTTTGGGTCTTGCAGATTCCATCGTATGGATCACATACTTTCGATGAATTGCTGCAGGCAAATGCCGTGTACTCACAGAAGCCATCCAGGTTGACAGTCCCATTCAAACACTTGTTCTCGTTTGGACAAGATGCCATTTCAAGCACTGGCCCAAACCCTGGATTTGATGCCCAATCGGTGTTACCGCCGCTTGCCAATACATCAAAGATGCAGTTCTCAAACGAGGCACCCTGCCACTCTGAACATGCTTCGCGAGCAGCATCTCGCTGGGCATCGGAGTACGTGAAAGGAGTTGATTCAATGCAGCCTTCATGTGGAGATGGTTCCGTGAAGAGTAGTTCATCTCCGAGCCCAGAGTCAACCAGCCACTCAGCCGCAGTTTCGGCCGGATCCGTTGCAGAAAACAGGCTACCATCTCGCTTTACAGCGCTGTTCTGGTGAAACGAGCCTGAAATTCCTTTGCTGTCGCCGAAATTGTCGATGTGCCCGGTGACATCAACTGTGAGCGTTGATTGATAAATGGAAACCCGCAATGATTGACCTCCTCCCAAATCAATGGAAAAGGAACGAAAGCCTCTCAACAATGGATAGCCTCCGATCTGTGATGGCAAAAGGGGAGATTTCTCCTTGTTGACAAAGTAGTCATCATTACTATTGAACTCGAAAATGTCACCACCAAGGGATACAGCTACCGCCGAAATATAGGAGAATGTACTTGTGCTGGACAATGTTGTTCTCACATGAACCTTGATGAGATCTGTATCAATATAAACTAGATCACAAGCCCCTTGGTAGCTAAAAAATCCGTTCCAGGTGGAGAAATGCGGATCTGAGGTTCCCCTTGTTGTCTTGAATGAATCTAATGTAGACGGCATAGTTGGCATCAGAGTAGAAGGCGACATAGTTGGTCTTGCACTCTCATCTTCCATGCAGTCAAAATATGCAATCAAAGCGTCACGAAAGGCATCAATAGCAAGTCCAAGACCAATAACCACTGATGCGAGTTTTGCATACAACGCCAATCCACCAGTTGCAAGGAACGCTGTTATTGTCAGGGCTGTCTCTGCCCCAACAAGTACTGCTTCAAGAGGAGTGACGTTTTCCTTGAAAGTCTTCCAGAAGAAATTCAATCCCGTTGTGCTGAGTATTCCTTTTCCAAGCTCCAATGAAAATTTCAAAAGATCGACTTTCGATCCTGTTTTCTGCGCAAATTCTGTTACAGTAAGGAGCTGTTCAAACACGTTAACGCTTCGTCCAGCTTCCACGAGAGAGCTTGCCACATTCTTGAAAAATACTCTGTTGAATGAGCCGAGTCCAAGTGATGCAAAAACGAGAAAAACAAGATTTGTAATGACTTCCACAAGAAGCTCAAGGCATTTTTCATTGAGTCTTCGTGACAGTTCCGAGAAAGATGGTGATGTGGTAAGTACGTCAGCATTGTACCTAACAAGTTGCCGGTTGCCGCTTCGCACTTCTGGGATATTAAACCCACTTGGGTTGGGAAACCAGGCTGCTAGAGTGGTCTGAGGGGTGATGAGACTCTTGAATTCGTCATCCACTTTGGAGCGGACACCTTCCACGAACACATCCAAATCTTCTGGGTCTGCATTTTGCAGTGCTTCATCGATATTGTCCATAGTTTCCAGGTAGTCCAGAAAGCGCAGGGTTCGAGTCTGACCATCACTTGAGTCTTCCTCGGGTGGTTTAGAGAAATGAATTGATAATCCAATCGCAAGGGCCACAAGACAAGAGAGTACCACAACTGCGATGCAAACCTTCTTCTTGGATCCAGTTTGGGTGTTCGCATTGGCTGCATTGGCTGCATTGGTCTTCGCTTCTGAAGACTGGTTGTCTTGTCGCTTTGGTGCTGCCGATGGTTCTTCTGCATCATAGACCATTCCTTTGTTGCCAGGAGTCGGAGGCGTATCGAAATAGATGGAAGCCGGTGTCAATGCACCAGGATGTTTGGGCGTGGGATCTGCCATCGTCGTTAAGCCAATAGATAGATGATCCAGGATGATGTTGGATCGCGTATCCAATAATACTATATCAAAATAATTCACCTCTTTCTATTTGTTCAGTGGGAGATTTTATGGCACGATGCGATACGCTCATCATCATCATCATGATCAAATTCACCAGTCGCGTTTCGTTCCCGGTATAGAAGTATGCGATTCTACGGTACATGTACACGATGATTCTTCTACGATGACTCTACGGCGATGCAACTAACTTCAAAATGATTGTTCTCATTTCAGCCGCGTTTCATTGTTGTTGCATTGAAGTACATAATATAAGATTCTACGATGATTCCACAATGCAATAAGTATTTTTTAATAATCAACACCTGTAACTTGGGAAACCAAAATGTCGTAAAACCTTGTAGTAAAAAACACCGGGACATATATACTGTCTCAAAGAACAATCGGGAATCAATGAAATCCACGGTAAACCACTGCAATTTGAAGACAAAGTTCCGTGCGGGAACCCTCTTGTAGTACCTGGTATAGCTTCGCCAATAATAATTTATTTTGAGAAATAGTGTAACTTGGGAAACCAAAATGTCGTAAAACCTTGTAGTAAAAAACACCAGGACATATATACTGTCTCAAAGAACAATCGGGAATCAACGAAATCCACGGTAAACCACTGCAATTTGAAGACAAAGTTCCGTGCGGGAACCCTCTAGTACCTGGTATAGCTTCGCCAATAATAATTTATTTTGAGAAATAAAGTAAGTTTGTGTGATGGATTGCCATGCATGCCCCAAACAACCAGAAAGTAAAAAGGAACATACATGTACGAACTGAGATAAAAACGTATTAGTAAGTGGATTGAAGTGGTCTGTGAAGTATTCAATAAATTTTCATCGAGAACTGACCTGTTGTGTGTTGCGTTCCAATTTCTTGACGAAGTCCATGCATAGTACAGTAGTATCAACATCAACATCAACATCAACATCAGTCCGAATGTCACTGTGCCCAAAATATCTCCAACAGTCAACGCCGTCAACTTAGCAAAAGTCTTACCTTATAATGTTTCGATCCTTGGGAGGTGGTCCTAGGAGAATGCACATTATTTTGGCCAAGAAATATTGAGGTCATGGTTGCAGTTTCTTCATAGAGACAGACATCTATCGACAGTTATTCAAGAACGACTTCCATCATGTCGTGAGCTGCTTTGACAACCTATTCCGGTGCATAGCGATTGGCCCATGATCCCCCCTGAGAGATTGGGTCATTCCCGGAGAGAAGTTTTAACAAAATGCCTTTCAAGTACTCATGAGTTACATGAGAAATGGATTCATCCGGTCATCCGCCATTACTGAAACCGTCTTGATACAAGCAGAATTCCTGAGTGTTGACTCACTAATCAAGAGTGTCAAATGTTCGGCGTATCACTATTTGCACAATCATCACGGCCAATCCTTGCTTTGATGAAAAATATGGTGGAATGAATCTTATCTTCCATTCAACAAGGAATATTGCCACAATCCATCCAACCCACTGTCAGGGGGGGGCGTAAGGAATTTGTATTTTCAACGAAACAGCGGTAATACCTACTTCCAATAATTTAGGGAATGAGAACATACCCTGCCTCATGACCAAGCTGATACAGCTGTTGAAATGATGATGTGATGATGATACTACTTCGACAGCCGTCGTCGTCAGCAGTGTTATCGCCGACCGGTGATCCACCATATTGCTTTCCAACTCTTATTGAATCTCTAAATTGGTTGCGTCGAGATGGTTTCGTGGAGAAAGAGAATGACTTTTTGCATTGCTGCGCTGACATTTACGATCAACAACCAATACATCCAAGAATCATTCAATTGTTTGGCCACACTTGGTTCTCGCGGAGAGTAGTCAAGGGTGAGGAGGAATCCAAAAATATAAGCACAATACCACATTGGGAGTCTCCAATCCTGTACGATGATGGACCATCAGGGATGAATCAAAATGTCAACAAAACTTTATTGATGGATCGGCGAGAATTTGCAGCGATGATATCCTTATTTCCCGAATATCAAGGAGATCCATTGAAACGCGAGTTTGTCGTCGCACCGTCTACTGGAAAAATCAATCTGAAAGTCATTGATGATGCGGCTGAGGTGGGCTATGCTACCTCTTATACCAAATACATTCACACAAGAGCCAAAAATGAATACAGCAAATTGTTACAGCAACTATATCGGGAAGGTAGTTCCAAGGTTCATCTTTGGTACATTATCGAGGGATTTGGTGCAGTGAATCATTGAATGGGTACATTATTGAATGAATCGTTGAATGATTCTTTCATTCATTGACGTCACGCTAGAAGAGTGTTGACATCATCACTTGTTGATCATTTCTTCAAATCAAATGGATTCGGAGCCAATCAAACGAAACGAATGCAAGAGGTCAATCACTTCGAGACTCATTGCGGCCATCATAGTGTCCGACAGACCGCAAGAAGATTGAATCAAAAAGTACAATGTGGATAGTAGGATTCGAAGTTTGACGAAGAAATAATGCTGTACAGTAGGATGATGAAAGTAGTAGTATGCCGTCTATATATATTTTTTAAATCCATTGTCATGGTAGCTTTATTGCGTGATCACAGGCGTCACAGCTCGTTGTTAGGCTCATCATCGGAAGTCATTTCCCCATCTAGGGACGCTGCCTCTTCTCCTGCATCTTCCATGGGAGCCGTTGCTGTTCCTTCCAATGCTCCTTCTTGGACTGTTAGCAATGTTGGTATTGGTCCTGCTTCGACAACGGTTGCTGCTGCTTCTGAATCATCTTGGGCTGGCTTGACTTTGTCGCTTTCTTCCTCCACCTGGGACGGCGTGCTATCTTGTTCTTCCCGCAAAAGTTTGATTTTGGAATTAATGTCACGAATGGCCTTGTCAAGCATGTCCACCTCCGTTTCCACAGTCGACACATGTGGCAAACCTCCATTGGTCTGCGCATTCTGAAGTTGTTTCAAACGAATAATGTACGAGTTGGGCGTCGAGAGCTGCTGCAAATGACTGTAAATATTTCCGGCATCCATGGCCATATAGGTGACCGAAAAAGCAGCCCCCACCAGTGGAATCGTTTGCAAGCCACTATTAATCACTTGCGCATAGCCAGCTCCCATGGAAGCCGTAACTCCAACTCCTGTAAAAGCACTTCGAGTGACTCCCATACTACCGACCGCCAAGGTCGACCAGACATCTGCTTCCTTTTTGTTGTTCTTGATGGAAAAGTGACCAAAGGTGGCCGACGCCGAAAAGTGCTGACGTTCGGCCAGCAAATCCCGTCTCAATTGTTCCAGAGACTGCAGAATGCCACAACACAAGCCTTGCCAGGCAATGAGACGATCGGATATTTCATGAGTCACTTTCGAGGAAAAGTACTTGTCGTATCCTTGATGCGTTGCCTGTAAAGTTCCAGAGGTGGCTGATGTGGCCATGGCCGCAATCAAAATGGCGGGTCCTGCCGGTGTCAACATGGTGGCGGCACTGGCCACACCCAAGGCAGCCCCCACAAATCCAAGGCTGGTATTGGCCAGACTAATCTTGGCATTTTTGCGTTGCTTCTGAAAGATTTGACTGCAGAGTTCGGGAACGTAGGGCATCCAAAAGGAGAGTTGCAAGCACATGCGTGTATACAACAAGAGCAATCGCTCCAAGGATTGGAGTACATTGGGATGGTAGGGATTCAGTTGATGTTCCACTTGGTTTAGGTCGTAGGAACAATCGACGCACATGTGAAAGTGATCCCCTCCTCCCTTTTGCTGTTGACGATCATGAAATTTGCAGACGGGATTGCCACAGACATCGCATACCCAGAGATGCTGTTTCTTGTTTTTGCGAGATTCGTCAACGCGTTGTTTGAATCGGTTCCATCTGGATTGATTTTGATTGCGCTTGACCTTGTATTCGGGTCTTTCTAGTAGACAAGCGGTGCAACCATCAATCTGAAGTGGAATGTTTAGCTTTTGACATTCGACGGCAAAATGGAGCTTTCGAACCTCATTCAGATGGTCCATTGCTTCCTGAAACTCCAGTTCCGGTAGTTTTCGATGAATATTTTGAAGTCTTGTACATAGAATACCCCAAGGCAGAGCAATCTTGTTGGATTCTCCCAGTTCCAGTAGCTTTCCTTCACCAAACGGAGTAATGACCGTGTCGCCCACTCGTAATCGCGCAATCTTTTCCACTTCTTTCAGCGTCTTGTGAAAGATAATGTTGAATTGATCCATTTCGAAATTGCTGGGTCTCCTCATCGCTTGAGGAGTTAAGATGGCATCCGACGAAGACGCGGTGGACGATACGGAAGACGTGACATCGGATGCCGAGTCATTCAACTCTTGAGGAGTCTGAAGCAAGTCGTCATTCAGTTGATTCAGTTCTTCCTTAACAATTGTGTCTGTATTAGGAGTAGACAATGACTCTTGTTCTTGCTGCTGTGGTAGCTGTGACTGAGGTGACTCAGCGGCTATAGATTCCTCTTGTGGTCCTGCCATGATAGTCGTGCTATTGGGCTGAGCCAAAACTGGGGGGTTGGTAGATTGACAGTTCTGATGAACCGCCATTTGGCAATGAGAAAGAAGAAACGAGGAAGTCGGAAGTTTGGACCTCATCCTAATCCTGTTTTTCACCTCTTGCGTGCGGTCTGCCGTCCGTTTGGTCTTGATATTTCTCGTGAGCCGGCAGTCACGTGACACTTTCTAATTGACCAACGGTATTCATTGTATTTTCTTGGTTTTCTTGTACTGTAGGTACGTGTACGTGTACGGTACCTGTACTTGCCCACCTACCTCGAAGTACACGCCGGACGAGCCAAGACTGCCAGCAACTCTTCAGTGAAATATTTTTCGTCGACTCCCACAAGAATTGAATGCATCGCATAATGAATCATGCCGGTGATGCCGGTGACAATCTCAAGTACAAGTACGACCTCGGCAGTGCAATCCGAATTTGAGTGTCACCATCCGCCGTTTGAAAGCTACGAAATTCTTTGTAAGTGGAATTGCAAGAAGCAAGTAACCAGGAATCATCCCAGTGATGTTTAGTACCAAAAGAAACCTAGTTGCGATACTTGGCTTCGAAGGGTCGTGGTGGGTAATGAATGTCGTTCAAGCAGGGCAGTAGTCAATTTGTCTCAAGCTTACTTGACATGGCGATGGAGAAATCTAGAGGACTGAACGGATCCAAGAGATAGATGTTCCCTCGGTATTGGAGTGACCAATCAAGGAACAACTTGCCCATCAGAAATGATGAAATCAAAAATCGATGGCACTTGTTTGAAAGAGAAAAAAAGCATCCCGGAAACTGGTGGTATATGAAGCGATGAAGAAGATATATTGTTCAGTGGATTTATATTTGCGGTGAAGCTTGATTCATTGAGTACTATCATTCCAAATGCTCGTCTCCTGCTGCTCGTTTCCCGTTTGTTCCATTCCAAAGTACCCAGGGCATGGCAGCATTTGAAGGTCTCGCTGCTACAAATTCTCTTTAAAGTGATCCTATAGGCATGAAACGATCAATCTTCTTGCTGAAGGTTGTCGTAGTTACAACTCCCGTTGATACGAACCTCGTTTGGGTACCTATACTCTTGCGCGCATCTGATGTGCTTTTAAAAATTGCTTTTAATCCTAATTACAACCGAAACTGCCACAGCACATTCCACCCGAAAACCCCATCACATCCCATCACAGGCTAAATGTTCACAATAATGGTAATAGGGTCGTTGCGGAGCCCACGGTCCTTCATGGTACCGTAGTTGTGTGTTGTTTTGTGCGGACTTTCTCGCATTCTTTCTGAACACTATTAGCGCGCGCTTCTACAACTACCGAAAACGAGATTGGTTCAATGTTCTTTCTATAAGATCCGTTTTTTTAAAAGTAATATAAGAGAGGAAGAATGTAATTAATGACTATAAGGAATCCATTCACGGACTATTGCCATATTCAAACAAAGAGTCTTCACTAAACAAGAACACAGGTCTGTAATACCAATCACATCCATAGTCTTTCTACTTTCCACACATATTCCACGCACACATCACGAGCAACAGTTATCATATGGAGCGTTTTACGGTTGCCATTTCAACTCAACTGAAGGTGAAAGCTTCTGCCCAACGAGCTTGGGTTCGATTGCACGAATTTGAAAATTTGCACAACGTGTTTTCCTCGGTTCACTCTGCGGAGTCAGTCGGTAGTCCATGGGTGGTGGGAAGCAAGATCAAGGTCACCCGAAAACTTCCCACAGGACACTGCTTCTTGGCGACCTATAACATTGTGAAGCACGATGAGGAGAATATGGAGTTTCAGTTTTACTCAGAAGACATTGCTTCTCCGGGAGCTGCCACTGTATCCACTAGTTGGAAGGTCGAGTCACTAGGAGGAGAGGATAGCTGCATGGTTACAATCTCGATCGCCGTTGCTCCGCGAAAGATGTTTGTCTCTGCTGGGCGATTGATCTTTGCTCCTCTTCTCAGAAGAATGGTGAACAAAACCATCAATCAAGACTTGAAGGATTTGGCTGCTTCGTTTGAAACCGAAAAAGAGCTCCAGAAGGCGCTTCTACAACATACCACCATTGCGTCCCGACCGGTCAGTCTTGCCAATGCTCGAAAGTTCAAAGAGCCGAAAGAAGCGATGATGTTCCCAGTAATAGTGGTACTACACTAACCCCCGCTATCGACTACACTAACCCCGGTATCTGAGCTTTTATATGCGTCAGGGACAACGGCATTATTGGGAAGATTAGGTTATTTACCGGTAGAGGAGTTTGCCAAGTTCGAGCTGATCCGCATGTATGGAATCATGTATCATGAAAATACGACCCAACTGAAGAACCGAATCATGCCAGATGCCAGAAGTGCATATCGACTCATTGAATCGATCGATCGATCGATCAATCGATCAATCAATCTTGACGCTCTGTACTCTGACATAAAAGAGCAGGGGCCACAGTGAAGTGCAAGGGCTTGTTTGTTGGAGTACTGTAATTCTGAAAGAGTTGTTGCAGCACCAGCAGGATTTCCTGTGAAGAAAATGATACGAATATCCTGTGGACTACATGAATAGACTTTTTTAAAAGAAAGAAACTATGGATATGAATACTACTACCTTGTTACAACTTAATTATAATTCTGAGACTTACTGTATTCTCCTCTTTCCATAGACTCCCTCATTTTTAGAGGCACGCCCTAGGAATTCCTTGCAGGTACATGTACGGCACAAGATTCATTGATGTGTCCTGAAGAGTACTTACAACCGAAAAACTTCGCTCCAAAATGAAAGCACCCCGTATTTCGCACCGTTTTCTTCAGATTTCAATTGCACGTAGATTTCATAATATCTGCTATTGTACGTGTACCGCTACGGTAGTAACGCCTGCACCTGTCTTCAGGTGGGTATGGTGTATGGCATAAAAGTACGGGTACAGTTTCCATTGATCGGTAGGCAAAAAGATTCAATCTATGAGACCTCTGTGTGCTGCATCGGTCAAGCTACAATTCGAAAACTCATTTAATGAAGTGAAGGTCGTCGTCCTGTCCTTGCGTATCTGATGTTACATTGCCGCCGACTGGTCCTAATTAATCACCGCATCGCGGCATTTTCATTTAATAAAATCCTATTTTATGGCAGTAGGATTATTGGGGTTCATACCTTTGTGTGTTGCATGGTGCGGACTTTCTCGCATTCTTTCTGAACACTACTTGCGTCGCTCTTCTACGACCACCGAAAATGGGATCGGAAAAAGGAATTCAATGTTCTTTCTCAGATCCGTTAAATAATAGGGCGGCGGTTGGCTAAGCAGGAACGAATGACGAAAGAAGGTTTTTACAAGAAGTAAAAACATCGCACTCACGAACTAATCTCCACTGAGCTCGAAAATAACACAACCATTGGTCCTATAGTATCAATCACATCCACAGTCTTTCTACTTTCCACCCACATTCCACACATTACATCACGAGCAACCTTTATCATATGGAGCGTTTTACGGTTGCCATTTCAACTCAACTGAAGGTGAAAGCTTCTGCCAAACGAGCTTGGGTTCGATTGCACGAATTTGAAAACTTGCACAATGTGTTTTCCACCGTCCACTCTGCGGAGTCAGTCGGTAGTCCATGGGTGGTGGGAAGCAAGATCAAGGTCACCCGAAAACTTCCCACAGGACACTGCTTCTTGGCGACCTATAACATTGTGAAGCACGATGAGGAGAATATGGAGTTTCAGTTTTACTCAGAAGACATTGCTTCTCCGGGAGCTGCCACTGTATCCACTAGTTGGAAGGTCGAGTCACTAGGAGGAGAGGATAGCTGCATGGTTACAATCTCGATCGCCGTTGCTCCGCGAAAGATGTTTGTCTCTGCTGGGCGATTGATCTTTGCTCCTCTTCTCAGAAGAATGGTGAACAAAACCATCAATCAAGACTTGAAGGATTTGGCTGCTTCGTTTGAAAACGAAAAAGAGCTCAAGAAGGCACTTCTACAACATACTACCAATGCGACCCGACCGGTCAGTCTTGCCAATGCTCGAAGGTTCGAAGAGCCGAAAGAGGCAAATTCAGAACGTACTCGATCGACTATTGCATCCTACGATGATGTTCCCAGTAGTGGTTCTACCTTAACCGCAGTATCGGAACTCTCATATGCATCAAGGGCAACACCACTAGGAAGACTGGATTATGCAGAAGAGTTCACAAACATTCGCCAAGTCCGAAGTGATGGGCGTGTATGGAACCATGCATCATGAAAATACCTCTCAACTAAAGAAATGAACAATGAATGAGCCAGTGAGTACCATTCCTCACTTTGCGATGGCTAGGACGATCCTTCAAGCGTTCACCAACGGCTCACTTCTCTCGGAATTTGTCAGATGCGTCTATACAGAAGAACCTACTATTTTCGATTCATTAATCCATCCATCGATCGAGAGATCTTCTTGATCAAGTGAAGGTTACGAACAACAAGTCCACAATGAAACGCAATGGGGGTGGCTATACACTGTGTACTCTGACACAAAGGTGCAGGGACAGTGAAGTAATCCACAACGTACAAGGGCGTGTCTCTAGGCTACCTCGGTTGTTGGAGTACTGTAACTCTTAAGGAATTCCTGAAGGGTGGAGTACCTACAGTGAAGAAATGATACGAATATCCTGTGGACTACATGAATAGACATCTTTTAAAAAGAACGAAACTATGGACATCAATACTACCTTGTTACAACTTGATTTCAATTCTGAGACTTTCAGTACTGTAGTCTCCTCCCCACAGACTCTCCCAAGGTTGAGGCACGCCTTAGGATTTCCGTGCCGGCGATTTTTAATTTATCGCACTCGTAACATACCGCGGCATTATTGGTACAGGTATGAGGAGTGCGAAGAGTGTACCGGTACTTATTGAGACGTGTCATCTAATGCGCCAAAATGCGCGCTTTTGAAAGACGACGGCAGGTCTCATCATCAAATTCTTTTTCACGAAACGATCCGAAATCAATAATGCACAAATCTTTTTTTCTGTCAATATAAGCCATCGTTCCGATAGTCGATAGCTGAAAGCACAACAAGTATCAACTGCAAGCAAATCGTACAGTCATGGAAAGCATCCTTGACTCGAGTGGCACACCAGGGGTGAGTTTTGATTTGAATACATTGGCGGTTCCATGGCCAGCTTCAAAGAATTAGACTTCATGTATGATGAAACCCGCATCACACTTCTCAATTTTCTCATTCTCTTATCACAGCCACCGCCATACCTTCAAGATGTCCTGGAAGTCATGGAGGAGGGAACCAAGAAGTCTATGAAGAAGGATTTTGTCTCGCTCGACGACTTCATCAGATCGACCTCTCAAAAGGCTAAGATCTTGGAGAATCATGAGGATACGAACACTCTGAAGAATGATTTTACCTCGCGCGCAAAGATCTTGAAGGAAATTGAAGAAGCTTCCTCTTCTGGTGATTCTGGTCAATCAGAGAGTGACTCGGAAAGCGATACCTCAAGTGTCACGAGTGGTGTTTCTTCTAGTGATAATGATTCCATGTCATTCAAGAGTGCTTCAAGTGTTGCAACTTCAGATGTCTATCTGCAAGATTCAGCCTCGGAAGTAACCAAACCCAAGACCACTGCTGATCCTTGTGCAGGAGACATTGATCATTGGGCGGGAGAGACAAAACTAATGGGAGTTACCGAGATGGAAATCGATCTTTCCGAAACGACTTTGGCAGACGAGATGAATCAATACAAGGCTCATGACCAGGACGATGATAACTGTTCCTCCAGTGACTATTCTTCTGCTGTGAGTGATGTCAGTGACGATGACAGTACTTGTTCTTTTCAATCCAGCGTCTTGGATGAAATTACAGATGAGGACGAATCGGTACAGAAAAAAGAATCTAAAGTGAGGTTCATCCAAAAAGTAAAGTTTGCCGAGGATGTCGCGACTATCGAGGATGCTGACAAGTGCTTCCAATTGGATTTTCTCCGATCCAAGCTGCAGTTTTCAACTTTCCAAGCCTCCTTGCTGGAGACGGCATTCAAGGGTATGAACAAGCGGAAAGATCAGCGTATTGTTCAGTTGGAGCAGGCTTTGGCGGCTTCAGAAGACATGGTTGCTGGCCTTATTGATGAGGCAAACTCCCAAAACAATGAGCGAGAAATCGCAGAGTCGATGTTGGAGAATGCTCGAGAGCGGATTGCCAAGCAAAGTGAAAAGATTGCCAAGCAAAGTGAAAAGATTGGTAGCTTGAAGTTTGATATCATGGCGAAGGATGATGTCCATTGTCACTTGCTCGATGCCTTTGATAAATACGAATCAAAGAATCAAGAAATTGCTTCGCTTGAAGAAACTGTCGACCAGTTGAAGGCCAACCAGATCAAGAACGATGCAGACAATGTTGAAGTTGTGGGCCGTCTCGAAGAAGCTCATCAAGAAATGAAGCTTCTCACTACCGAAAATGCCTTCCTGAAAGACGCCATGACTAGTCTCCAAAGTACCGTTCCCAAACTCGAATCAGATTACAAGATTCTGAAAGCCAAGTACGTCCTTCAAGAGCACTTGGCCAAGGTGAACAACCGCAAGCGTAAAGAGACTACTGCCCTCTTTGGCCTCATGAAGCGACGATTGGTCGAAAAGGTCGAATCCTTGGATCGCCAAAGCCATGTTCTGACCAATCGCCTCGAGCAACATTTGGAAGAGCAAAAGAAGGAAGCTGTCCAAAAAGAGCTCTTGCAGTATCAGTTGCAAGCCGCAAACGAGAGGTTGCACCGTTTCCAAAAGGCAGCAAAAAAAGCTGCAAAACATTCTGAGCAGGGTGTCGAGAAGCAAGTGATTGCCCAAGTCGTGAATAAGGAACGCGTTAAGAGTGACCTGAATTCCTCCGAGAAGGTGACCAAGGCCCTTGAAAGCAAGTTGGAACAAATGAAAATGCAAACCAAGGACAAGGAAGTCGTCTCCTTGCAAGCCAAGCTTCGATTTGCCAACGCCAAGGAATCGCTTCTCAGCAAGGCGTTGTCCATCAAGAACTCGGATAATATGGAACAAGAAGATCGATTGAAGGAAATGTCTGAGAAGCTGGCTTCTTTGCGTTCAAATCTATGCATGAAGCTTTCTGAGAATCAACTCTTGGTGGCCAAGCTCCAAGAGTTGGAGGAGCAAAAAAAGGAGCATTCAGAAGCTGTTGTAGAAACCACTTCCAATCCTTCAGAATCCGAAAAGAGCGCTGACAGCACGATGAAGCCAAAGAGCTGCAATCGCAAGGTCAACAGTTTGGAAGCCGAACTCAGCCTCTTGCAAGTTCCCGATGTAATTATCGCAGATGCTACTCTTGTTGACTCTTGGAGTGTCGAGGAATCCGAAAAGATTCTCGATGATTTTGATGACTTGATCAAGACAAGTGTCGCAAATGAAGAGGCTGGACTTGCTTCAAAAGTCAAAAACGACAAAGAAGAGGACGAAGAGGAGTGGGACTTTCTTTCTCATTCTTCCCCTATGGAGCAACAGGAATTGTGGTGTTGAGTATACAGTAGTCGTCTGAAACACAATGGATAGTTGAGATTGACGCGGCACTCGTGTCGTCGTGTGCAGTGCGTGGGATGGATGGATGGATGGATGGATGGATGGATGCAGTCGATCCTTGCCCTTACTCTTGTATGCCACCACACACATCAATATACATACATATATAGCGCTCTTAATTGTGAAAATAGGAGCAGCAGCGCATGAAATTGTATGCTTTATTTCTTATCGATAGCGTAGATAGTGAAAGCATATATCTGTCAATCTCATAATCGTGCTCATGCCCGGTTTTCGCCCTTTCCAATAACCTTTCCTACGACAAAGAGCACCGCATAATCTTGCTTCTTGCAGCCTTGAACCGGTGGCATGGCGGCTCCTGGTGCTACTGGAAAGTTGGAAGGATTGGCTGTCAAGGGAGAACCAGGGGTCGAACTACTACTATCTGGAGTGTACTTTGCTGATCGACATGGCAAGTGCGTCACGTCGTACAGTGCTCCTTCATCCAGCTTCCAGCCCCCTTGGGCATCAATTGTCAGACCAGTGGTGGTGGTCCGACCACCAGTGACAAGATATCGCCCTGGTGAAAGTGGAAATTCGGGTGCTTCCATAATCAGTCCGTGCTCCTCCACCCACCAATTGTTGGGATCAAAGGTCCATCCGGCAGGAGCCACGTTGTTTTGTTGAGCCAATTGTGATTCGTATTGCTTCAGCCAGACTCCTCGTGGACCAGGATCGACTCGCCAAATTCCCCAATCTTGAGCTCCCTTGCCTTCTTTAGCTTTTGGGTCGCCGAGAGCAGCAATGAACTGTGTTGGATAGATTCTTTGAAACCCATCTGGTGTGTACACGTTGGTCTTGTAGAGAGATGCCGAAGCCCAACCAGAAGCTCCCAACAGTCCAACCCCAACCGCATTGATGATCAAATTCCTTCGGCTAGTTCCTTCTGGTGTCTTTACATCCTTGTCATCCATCCATGTTTCATCTTCAGGTGGTGTGGCAAATTGGATTACCTTGTGGTCAGCACCACGACGACGACGATTACGATTTTGTGACTGTGTGGAAGGCATGTGAAATGCGGAGGAAGCTACAATCAAACTTATCAAGCACGTTATCACATAGGGCTTCATCGTCGGAAAAAAGTACTGATTATTGTGGATGTGGATGCTTCAGCTTCACTATTGATTGTACTGTTTACGTTGTTGGTTGCTTTACCGCGTACATATTCTTTTCAAAAAAGTCAGAATACCACGTCATTCAACGTCGGACAGAAACAGAACTATGCACGGACACGGACGCGGACACTTTGTGAGTCCTGTAAACTCGCTGAAAACTCTCAAAGCTATCAACGTTCACAAGATCTATAATAAATAGATTGCTTCCAACCTATGATGATAGATACCACATTTGTATCAAGGCAATGAAGCCACCGGTACCAGTAGCAAGATCGTGTTTGCTAGGTGAAAACCAAAAAAAAGACTACCAAGCCTCACAATACCAATCGGTATCATCGACGAAGCAACTTCAAGAAGGAGAACAACAGTTTTGTCACCAGATTCAAACATCGTCGCCAAAGGGGTCAAGACGTGTGACCCCGATTAATTTTGCACTTTCTCCTCTCTACATGCGATGAGCAGTATAAAGGATCAACAGGTAGAAACCCACCAAGTCATCTTGTCCGAGGAAAGCATACCGCGAGCAGGATCTGGAGGAATCAACAATAGCCAGGTTATGGAAAGGGTCCGAATGGTTGCCGAGGTAACAATGTGGTCGACGCATTGCTCAACATTGCTGGTACACGATGGTGTCTGTGGTCTCTCGGTCATATTATACCAGAGTTGCATTGTATTTGGAAGAGACTGCTTCGACTGTTGGTGCTTCCTTTGTCATGACCAAGATTATGACGACAGAGTTACCTATCTCCAATGGCGAGAGCAAGGAAGGATGGATGCCGCATTGTCATGGAAGTCGCTTCTGGTGGACGGTCCCATCAAACTTGGACTGAGAGTATATCCGACGATTGTAGATTTTGGAAAAGATACCCTCATACCCACGACAGTTCAACTCTTGCGTTTGGTGGGCGAGCTATTCATCCTGTTATGTCAATTGCTCTTTGGCATTATCATTACTTTGACCCCATGGGCTTGTGCGCTCCTTTGGCCGGAACGTCGTCACAAATCATCAGCGAGACAAGAAAAAAAAAGGGAGATTGCCGCGTTTGGTGGTGGTGCTGGCCCTCGTCCATGCGACGTGGGTCATTCCTTTGGATATCACATTGACATCTCTGATATTGATGCGAATGGATACCCATTGAGACATGACGATGATATGACCGCTGTGTCCGAAATCACCAATGATGAGGCCATTCGATCGCCAGCTGGAATGGTCCGCGCCTTGCGAAGCGTGTCGGTTCCAGACAACGTCCTCCTCCTGTTTCCACTCAAATCAGGCTCGAGAAAAAAAAAGTTGGAATTGCAGACACCGACCATTTCGTCTGCAGGACCATCTACTCAGGAAAATACTCCAAAAGATTGTACACCGACTGTGAAATTATTTCAGAGGCGTTCGATGGAAACGATCCGATCCAAATGGAAAAAGTCAACTCCTGAATTGAAAGCCAACGTGGTAGCCGTGTCCACAAAACTGAGAAGAAGTCTATTGAAACAAAATATTGTGTGATGTTATTTCAATAAAGATGGAATCCAAAAGAGTAGCTTCGATATGAGAAGGAATCCAATAGAGGTAATAGATTTAACATTTACAGAATTTTGCTTGGCGAGCATTATAGCTATATTGCCGAGGAGAAAGAATCGATGATGATCATGCCGCGCCGGCAGCATAGACTTGGGGTCCTTGGATCGGAATCAAGTTGCGAAGAAAGTCATAAGCATATGGCATCACGGCTGTGTCCCCACTTTTCAAGAGCTGTGATAAAACACTGTGCAGCAACTCGAAGCACTTGTTAGCAAGGGCGGATTCCCCAAACTCATTGTATATTAGAGCAATATTGTTTGTTATTGCGATTGCCATTAGACCAGAGCGAGATCCCCCAGCAGCAAGATAGGTATGAAAAGCAATTTCATATAGTCTGGTGGCGGTTGACAGTATGTGTCTTCGCGCACGATGGTCCGTCTGAATCTGGCTTCCCTGAAAGTGTCTTGCAAGTGCCAAATTGAAAACGACAATGGGCGCCACGCATTCCAGTTGAAGTGTGTCTGGAATCGAGCAAGCACTGTAGTAGACAAACTGGTTGTTGCTCTCGATCTTCATATCATCGTTCCAACACTCTTGCTCTTGAATCAAGCATGTATTGATGACAGACTCTTGATCACATATTGACGGGACGGGGACACTGCTTTGGCCACTTTGCATTGCCTTGTAGCATCGGACGGCGTGAGTTAGCATCTCGATGGCATCTTCGGGGTGAGAATTCTTCATTCTGCACACAGCAGTGTTGTTCAGATCGATCACTTGTTGCAGAGACATGTTTTTTATTTTTTTTGTTTTTTATGATGCATGTTGTTTGTGAAACGTGAAAAGCGAACATCACGTCGCTATCACACGCTTCTCCATCATTTTGTACCGTCCGGTAGAGAAGAAGGGATCGCATTTCAACCTACATTTGATGTCTTCTTGTTCTTTCCTAGAGAAGAACAAACCAATTTGTCTGAGTATAAATCTGCGTCTAGCGCGTAGGAGCAATATTGAAAAAATCCCGAATCTTCAGTCACGCCACCAAGAAAAGCTACCAAAATTGCTTACAAGAGAATAAAGGCCTCTCTCAAGTGCTCCGCTGCCCTCCCAGACATTTCGGAACGCATTACAAAGCTTTTTTGGGCACCAAACGCCGCTGTGGTAGTCTGGAAATCAGAACTGGGGCCTTTCATGGCAATTAATGACGGCAATGCCGTCCATAAACTTGATGGGATCTTTTTAACTCCAGCGGCGCGTAAATCTCCCAATACCTTTTTCAACGGGTAACAGGTAAATAAAATAATCGTAACAGTACAGCAGCATTTAGTGCCATTTGTCACAGTTCTTGTCAATCCTATACGAATCAATAACCGCTTCTCACTTCACGCACCTCGCATGGCGGGAAGATGCGCTCAATGAGTGACATATATATGGCTTGCTATATTCTGAAAGAACAATGTGCATGTTTTAAAATATTCTATCACTACCAGTGCTTGTACCGGCGGTTGAACAATCATCGCCCATCGTGGGGGGAGGTTTCATCCTTTGTGACGCGGTCCACATAATACCGTGTTACAAAACATGACCTAGCTTACTCTTGGACCAACAAGAGTAGGTCGCGGCAACGCTGTTACCACTACCGGGTAGCCAATATGGGACTGGTACTATCTGGTACTCTCAATTCATTTGGCTGATCGAAAGTCACGCCACATTGTAGACGCACTCGACCCGGACCCGTACCATAGGTGCCAGGTGCACACAGCAGAAGTTGCGACAGAATCCCCGACTGAAGCAGATGTCAGCTGTTTGCGAGTTTTCGGTTCTCTTCACAAGGATGTGAAAGAATGTGTATGTAGTAGTCCGTACCTACTACCACGCATTAAAATTTTACACCGGTTGAACAATCCTCGTCCGTTCTGCGCTACCGGTACGAATGTCAATGGGGATGTTTCATTTCTACTTCTTTGTGACTGACTTTGAGCCACTGCAACGCAACGAGCAAATAACGACCACGAGTAGATATTATTAGCACTTTACGACTAGGGGCATTTTAAAAACCATTGTACCGGTTGAACAATCATCGCCCATTCGTGGGTATCGTGAGGGGAGGTTCTATCCTGTGTGACACCGTCATGACCTAGTGTACCGGTAGTTTGCATTTCTCGCACCAACGTTCTTACCACTACCACTACCGGTACCGGTATCATGGGACTGGTTCTCTCAATTCATTTGATCGGAAAGTCAGTGCGGCTCCGCAGTCCTGCTGGAACTTGGTAGCTCATCGTTGCATTTGCATTTGCAGCCCGCTACAATATAATAAGTGTCTTTTAAAACTCGTCATCAAACCCTGGAACTCGATCACTGTTGAAGAAGATCGGTGTCCATTTGGCAGTCTGCATTTCTTCGCGGTCAGATGGTGGCAGCCCAAGAATGTATCCCAACTTTTCAATTCTCGACCGCTGATCCATGTTGCCATTGATGCAGTTCTTGCGCACGCAGAATGGAGGCGGTGGCAAGGTGACTCGGGCCTGGCATTTGACATTTGCAACACTGTCACTGAAAACAATATCAATATCATCCAAAGAAGATGGTGCCGTGCCAGGAACGGTTAGATGTATATATTTGGAGTTTGGAATTATTTCCGCAACGGAGAATCCACTTTTATCATCCTCAGATGTTGACTGCTGAATAATAAGATCCCGAACAGCTCGTTGAAAGGCTGTTTCTGGATCCCTCACAATCTTGAACGGTGATACATATCTGTTGGGTGGCTCTCGATAATTACTAGAGACGCAGTTGGTATTTGGTTCACAAGCTTGTAATCTCACAATTTCGTCATTGATTGTTGCTTGTTTATAGGAGGTCAAGGCTTCCAATGACGAGTCTGATGATGATGATGAAGATGATGATGCATCAGGAGTGATGGATATGACTAAAGCACCACGACTCGTCGTTACCAACGAAGCCAAGGGAAAGAAGTACTGTGGCTCACCCTGTAAAAACGCCCAGAGTGAGAGTGATGCTCTAGCCAGGATCATAACAGTGTTCCAAGGTCAGATTCAATTGCAACGGATAGGGCAGGTCATTGATTGTTGTATAATTTTGATGACTTTTTTTCGAATGAATCGTGAACACTATCCTAGTCCTATCACTATCTTTTCACGATGAAATTGAATAATGTGCAGTCGATGTTCTTTCCGCCAGGGACAACAAATTTACCATCATTGGTGTTGTGTGATGCTTGAAACCTTCTCACCCATGTATACCATATGAATCAAGCAAGGCGTGCATGTTGTCAAGCGGATCGTATTCTTCACCACCCCCATCATATTCAATATATACATTCATTTCATTGGTGATTACTATTTACTACATACACTATCTGTAAGAAGCAGTGCGGGTTGAAGTAGTTCTTCCATTATTACACTTGACCTCGTTGCGAACCCTATATATTATATATGTAGTGTATGTATGACCTCTCTTATTTGCGAACCCTACACCCCATTGCAGCGATCTACAGCAATATTACTCCCAATATAAAATAATACCTACTGCTGTACTGCGATCATCGCGGTCGAACCGAACCATTCGTGGATTCATTATTATTTCCCATGTTTCAGTTTGTGGTGGTCATATTTTAAATATGCCATATATATATTATGTATATATACTGTATATATATTATGGTACTGGTGCTTTCATTATTGTGGTCGCTATTAGTGTTTCTATCTTTTGTTTCTGCTGTACCTACTTTGTTTGCTTTTGCTTTTGCTTTAGATCATGTGGGCGGCATTAATTCCCCTCTAGCTAGTGGTAGTGTACATGATGACACTGTACTGTGTATATATCTACTGTCATCCAATTTTAATATCCGACATTTTGAGTACTACTGTGTGTAGTAGTATAGAATATTGCACTGTACCAATATATATAGAAGCAAGCTATACAACAAGTATACGTGTCCTAGTAGTAGTAGTATTTCAAAGTAGGTAAACTATAAAATTATTGATTTTTTAAAATAACGTAATCTATTGGTACACACACTCATGTTTCTCTATGTTGTTGTTGTTGTTTGTTTGTCGTTGTTGTTTTGGATTGCAACTGCAGCACTCTTCAATTCAAGGTTGTTGCATTTATTCCTCCTTGCACTTGTTGTTATCTTCGTCCAAAAGTCCTACCGTTTGGGAAAGGTTTCTACTGCAAGACAACATGGAAGACGAACGTCTCAAGACTTCCATCGACTTGCGTCGTCCATGTTCGGCATTGGCAAAGAGGGATTCCCATTCTTGCGTACTGATCAATGACATTTGCAAGGCCGCGGCGGCAGCCATTAAAAAGGCAATGACCGCAAAGGCCGATTGATGAGTCACCTTGGTAGTCATAATGACCGCCAAAGAGACTTGAACATTGACAATCATTCGTGGTAGGGCCATGATGGATGCGCGGCAATCTTTGGGCAAGTAGAGGGAACGAATGATACCTTCGCAGGGCATGATAACCCCCACGAGGAATTCGTAGACCAACAAGGCTCCAAGGGAAATGGCAAACGAGTTTTCATCGGTAGGATCCATGACCACTGGAACAAATAGCAATCCTGCACAGATAATATATCCGAGAGAAGCCATGAATTCCACCGCCATGGGTCGGACATGTTCTTCTTCTCCATCTTCGGTGAGGACCACTTCACTCTTGGCCGCTTCCGAGGACATGGGAGTGAGTAGGGCCGAAATGGCGCGGCGCAAAAATGGGGAAGAGAGTCCTCCAAGGACCCCTGCCGCCATGTAGGCACCAAAGATTAGTCCATAGGCTGGTTGACCATTGCTGTCCAGCGCTTGGGAAAAGGTCGATGTCTTGGCAAATTCCGCAAGGGTGGGAGACCAAAGGAAAATGAAAATTTGCAAGCATCCCACTGTAAATCCTTGAATGATTCCAACTCGAAGGACTTTGGAATCATTGCGAAAGACGGAAACAGTCTCTTGGACGTAGTCTTTGAGACTCTTTTCTTCACAAGCAGCAGGCTTGGGAGAAGAGGATGTAGATGATCCTTGCGCTTGTGGTTCTTGTTCCTTGGAAGAATTGTCACTTCCGTAGTTTTCAGTCCACAGGGTAGCCACCACAATCAAGGCAAGAGAGGTACAAGTGACGGCCCCCTTGAAGGGTCCCACGGGACCGTAGGATTCGGCAAGGACATGTGCCAGGTATCCACTGGCAATGGCCGCAAGGTTGCTAATAATCACCGAATCTCTCATGATAATTTCATATTGATCGTCTGGCAATCCTCGTTTGCGGTATTCCGTGTCCAACCAAGCCTCAAAGACGGTGGAGAGCAGATTCGTTGTGATTCCACCCACCATGCGACTGATAATGAGTCCCCACAAAAAGGGATACTGCTCGAGCTGGTTAATGCTAATTTCGAGAATGCAGTAAATGATGGCCGACCACTTTCGTCCAAACTTGTCTACTAGAGATCCAGTGAGGGGTGTGGTGACGGCTCCCGTCAGGAATCCGAGTGCATAGAGGGAAGCTACCGAGAAACCGTAGCCTTCGTATAGGACGTATAGATGGGTTCCTGCAATAGTTTTTGGAATGATTGATTGAATGAATGATTGAATGAATGAATGAATGATTAGCAAACACGCAAGCAGCAGTGGTATAGAGAGATGTACAGATGCACAGATGCACAGATGTACAGATGTATTGCTTACCTTGCAGACCATCCGCCAGCATGATGGCTAGAATCACCATTAAATAATTCAAACGCAAGCTGTTGAAGGACGATTCCTTACTTTCCTCCTCCTGATTATCTGAATTGCTGCCGGCTGCTGGTTTCTGTTTCAGGTCCAACACGGAATCCAATTCCGACTCGACGCTCGAGGTGGCAGAGGTTGTGGATTGATCGCTGCTGTCCACATCTGGTTCGGAATACTCTTGGCAAGTCTTGTTCAAAGGATACATGGTTCGTGGAACTTGTGTTTCTTCTTGTTGTTGTTGTTGTTGTTGTTGCTGTTGTTGCTGTTGTTGAAACATCATGATGTGTGTGTGTATGTGTTTGTGTACCGTGTATTGTGTTTGTGTATTGTGTTTGTGTTTGGTATTCAATGTGAATGTAAATGAGAATGTGAATATAGAATGTAGCTGCTATATGGGATTGCTTTCCATAAGAGAAGATTGGATGGGTGGGATGGGAACGAAAGAAAGAAGAAAAGAGAAAGGTTTTGGTTTTGGTTTGATACGTAAGTAAAGTGAGTTGGGGCTCGCATCTCAAGAAGGGTAAAAAAGGCCAGTCGTATTTTTGCAGTTTCAAAAGGCACGTGGCATGTTAGGCGTGGTGCTCTTGTGGGCGAAAGTAGTACTGACCACTGTACGATCCAACGATTGGCGATCTGGCTCAACGTATGGACATAATAGCATTGTCTTCCCGCTTGAAAATGCCTCGACATGACCCAACGGATACACAAGTGTTGTGTGTGTGACTCTTTACTTAACAATACCGCGCATCGCAAGCAACGAACTGAAATTTTCAAAGTCCCCCAGTACTGGTCGGCTTGGAATGGCTCGCTCGATATCAGTATACTCCCATCTCCCATCCAATCTGGTGTGGTGCCGTCGCGATCAAGCAGGTTCGATGCGTGTGCAGAATCCATAAGGGACAAAGAGAGAAGAACGTGTCTATTTATTGATCGTAAATCCACAGATAAAGTACCGTACTCTACGTGGTGATGGAAGAATCTGAAAGATTCAGTACCGCCTGTTACCAACGTTTTTAGGACATGAATATCCTTTGATCCACAAACCTGTTTCCAAAATGCCGGTCCAACAGGAAGCACTTGGGAGAAGAACACCCATAAGGTAGACAAAGAAGAACGTGTTTGCTTATTGCTCGTGACGCCTGATACGAAGTTGAAGGAAAAATCCTGCAATCTTTTTTAAGAAAACAACGTTTCTCTGTGGCCCGCTACCATATTTTGGGAAATATCCACGTATGGTTTTCTGGGACAAGTCGCGTCCAAATGCCGATCCCATTGCCGAGCTGGCGTGGTGCCCGAAATACCGTTGGCAACGGCATTATGTAGCGGACGGTCGTGCTTTGGCGACGTTGCAAGAAAGTCCCGCGTGTTTTTTGTCGAGTCAGTCAAGGGTATGGAAGCAAACAATTTCAAATTTATCATTTTAGTACTTGCTTCGATGAATGACGGATGACGGATGGACTGACTCTAGATGTGCCCGACCGCCGCACCATCAAAATAAAAAAATATAATATCATCATTCTGATGAAGAGGTGAAGGAAATAATCGAAAACACTTCAGCTCCGGACATTGCATTTTCACAAGCAGCATTCATTGCACCGTCACCTCCTACTTCTTCTACCACAATCTTGCCTGCTTGCTTGATTACTTCCTTCGTTACTATGGGAAATGTTCAGGGGCAGCATGAGACCACTACTACTACTACTACTACTAGTACTACCATGAGGGATTCCTCTCCTAATAAGCAGCAGCACAGCCGACACAGGAGTAGTAGTAAACGCAACAAGCACAGAAACAGCAGACATAGACACAGACACCATCACTCGAACGATAATGACAGCGAACATCAAAGTACCGAAGATTTGGACACTCTCATCAAACAGGCTAGAAACGAGTTGAGGCAACGCAAGATTGAAGGAGTCATGACGAGAGATGCCCAAGAGGAAGAAATATACGCTCTGCAAACACAGCTCTATCAAAAACGAAAGAGGCTGTTGGATCTCGCACGTCGTTGTCAGGATGCCTTTTCGTTTTCGGATTACATCAATATTATTCAAACCACCTACTCGTCCGACGACATTGCTACCATGCCGGTGAACACCATCATTCCAGAGGATGGACAACAATTGCAGAAGCAGCAGCAGCAGCAGCAGCATCACGAGAGTCCCAAAACAAGGGAAATGGTCCCCCAACATTTCACATTGACCTACACGATATTTGCGTGGTTCGAAGCTTATTTGTTAAAGAGACTCCACATGGCCATGCTGCAACAACGACAAATGAACATTCATTCCAAAACTTGGAGTGGGGTCGTGGCGGATTTGTACTTTCAGATCCCCCTCCTGAAAAAAAATTTTGAAACGAACATGGGGAGTCTCTTTGTACGGAAACAAACCGTGGCCATGGAAAAACATCAAAAACAAAATGCCTATGCGGAACATGTACGATTGCAAGCCAGGACGATTATGAAATTGGAAAAGGCTTCGTGGGATGAAAATGAGGATGAGGTACAACTAGTTCCCACCAAATCATCGTCGACAGGCCCAAAAGTCAAACGAACCTCCTTGCCCGCCATGATTAACATTGCCGACAATTCGACCCAACGAAGTAGTGGAACCAGTGGAACCTTTAGTCCAAGTACGTCGGGACGAGACTCGACCATTAGTGCCTACACGGAAGTATCGGATGGAGCGACGGAATTGGGCAAATCGCTGTCGCAAATCAAAGAATCACCATACAGTGCACGGTCCAATCATAATCATACTACTACTACCATTGTGGATCCTCATGGGTTCGAATCCGATATCACCGAAAGCAGTGACGAGGAAGACTCGGTTTATGCTTCTTCCATAGACGAACATAGCGTTGATCAACAGTCGGCCATTGCCGTCAAAGCGCTCAATGCCCAACCACAACATCGCATCAGCGCCTTGACAGTCCCCAAAGATTTTCATTGGCATGCCGAAGTATCGGAACAACAACGGGAAGAAATGCGAAAGCAAGCGGAAATTGAAAATGCACGATTGGAACGAGAACGATTCCTGCAAAGGACGCGGGAGCTCCAGGCACGGAATTCCTTTGACAGCGGTGGTCCATTACTAACGCCACAAGAATTGGAACGAGCGGAATCGGGAGAATCCAAATTATCCAAGGAGGAACTGGGCCGATTGAAGAGACTGGAACAACAGCGAAAAGACAAGGAGCGCCAACGGAGCGAACGGGCGGCCTTCAAGGCCGCTCGGCTGCGAGATTTGCAAAATCGGTTGGAACGGACCTCGGGACACTCGGCGACCTCATCCTCCCCCTTGTCGTTTTTGTCAGGCACATCATCGGGGAGTACTGCACCTGCCAGTGCCACAGAGGGAGGAGAAGGAGAAAGTCCGAGTGCGGTCAATGTTGTGAAACGGTTGTTGGAAAAGACTGAAATTGAGGTGGTGGATACGACGCCAGCGGTAGTAGTTACGACAAAATCGAAAAAGAAGCACAATAAGCACAAACAGAAGAATGATGAGAAGGCGGAGCAGGAACCAAAGAAGGAACCAAAGAAGGAACACAAACACACTACGAAATCCAAGAAAAGAGCTTCGACCGATGATCGCAGTGTTGGGAGTCGATCAAGTATGGGGTCACGCAAATCAGCAAAGCGGAAAAGTGCCATGGCGGCGGAGAAACGAGCCGAGGAAAAAATGGCACAATTGAGTCAAATTATGGCGGACAAGGACCTTGAATCCTTTGTTCAAGAAAAGGAAGCCAAAAATAAAGCGTCAGGTGCTGCCGATAATAATGATAACAATAATGTACCATCGAGTCCTGGTGGTTCGGTATCCAGTCGGGCAAGCCGACAAAGTCAGAGGAGCCTTCGACTGGAACAGACGATTCGGAAAGCGGAAGAAAAAGCTGCTAAAAAATTGGAAGAACTTGCCTTGCTTACGGATAATGACCAATGATATAATGGGGGTGCATCCATTTAAAATCGAAAGCATTACTTGAAAAAATGCGCACTGATTCACATGCGTGAGAAGGTTTGAAGCAGACCGATGGTGGGGGATTTGTTGCTGGCGGCATGGATCAATCAATTCAATCAATTCAATCAATTCAATCAATTCAATCAATTCAATCAATTCAATCAATTCAATCAATTCAATCAATTCAATCAATTCAATCAATTCAATCAATTCAATCAATTCAATCAATTCAATCAATCAATCATTCCTGAAATTGAGACGACAAGGAGGAATCAATCCAATTGACGGCTTCTGCCCTTTTCTTGAGAATCTTGGTGACTGCAATCGAACAGCTGAAGAAGTATTGGTGTATGATGGGAATACTTGGGGAGCTATAGCAGGTTGAATAACATTCCAAGGTGGTATGAAATGTGGTGTCGGCAGAATTCAGAATAGGCTATGGATGGAAGTTGATTGATTTAGGACTAGGATAGTTGTTTTTCGATTCATTGGAAAAACGGTAACTCATTGATTGTTTGTAGTACCAAATAATAGTCCTACTGTAGTATTGTTGTTGGTGTTATAATTATATAATAATGCAACATTTATACTAACCCCGCCTTGTCTTGAACCTTGGAACTCGCCTTGTTGCGTTTGAAGAGACTCATTTTCCGTGAATGTGAAGACTGATTATCGTCTCCTGTCGAAGAGGAATCCTTCATTTTCTGGAGGCCACTCCCATTTCGGGTATTTGCGGGTGGTGTTGCTGCTGATGGTGGTCGTGCCTTGGCAGCAGCATCCTTACTGTAAGGATCAAACATGGCCGATTTGGGTGCTCCTTTCAAGCTGCCGAGGATAGGTGCTGTCGAAGCAAAAGGAGACGCATCTGGCAAAATGGCAGGAACCCGCGGTGGTGGTTTCAAGGCCACATTAGGCATGGACGGCGCATTCACAGGTATGCGCAATTGTTGTTGTTCTTGTTGTTGTGGATAGGTTGGGGATGATGATGATGATGCACCACCGCCATAGGCAGTATTGGTTTGATAATTCGAGGGAGGAGGATTAGCAGGATTAGATAGATTCGTAGCATAGGAAGGGGGTGCCTTCATGGTTGGCGCTGCTGTTGCTGGAGTCGATGATGAAGTCATAGCAGCAGCGTATTGAGAAGCAGAAGCAGCGGCTGCCGCATTGGAGGATGCTGCATATTGGTTACCGGGATGCTGATTCGAAGCCGCAGCAGCAGGTGCGCCAGCATAAGGCATTGATGCAAACTGTTGCTGTTGCATTTGTTGCTGCTGAAGTTGTTGTACCTCTAAAAGCTGCCGTTCCATCAGTTGCATTTGATACATTTCGTCTTGATTGACTGCTGGACCGGAAGCTGGCATTTTTCTATCCTCAATCGATGCTGGAGTGTCGAATGGATTCATGGGAGGCGGTGGTCCAATGTTGAGCAAATCTCCTTCTCCGCGCTTGGTTTCCAGTTTGGATTGTTCCATCACCTGTGCTAGTATTTCTTCTTCCGTGAGAGCTTGATGGTGATGATTCCGTTGTGTCGTCGTCCCTTGATGCCCTTGTGGTGCCATCAATAATGGTTTCTGAGAGGTAGCAGCAGAGTCGTCATGTTCGGCTGCTGACAAGCTGAGCGCATGTGCCAAGGCATTCTCACTGGCTTCCTGCTCGGCGGCCGACATGCTCAACGCCTGTGCCATGGCCATTTCATCATCCAAAGAAGACTGCTGCTGTGGAGGAGGCTGAACATAGGTCTCACCATTACTTTCCGCAATGGAGGCTGCAATGGCTTGTTGCATTAGCGCATCTTCTGTGTCATTTTGTGCTTGTTTGGCATACATTTGGGAGCCTGGTTTGTATTCAATTCGTCGCTTTTCCTTCTTTTTGTCAGTCTTTTTGTTGCCACTAGGTAGACCAAAGAGTTTTCCCATGAAATTACCCTTTTTCTTATCCTTCTTTTTATTCTTTCCTCCTTTCTTGACAAGATGCAGTTCTTCCAATTGAAGATTAGCCATTCGTCGTACTTCCTCATTGGCGGGAATGATATTGGTGGCTCCTGATGGTGGTTCGTCCCAGACTCGCTCATTCGTCCGACTATTTTGATAATAGGATCGAATCACCAAGGTTCCTTTTTCTTCATTAGATCCTTCGGGGGCCTCACAAACGGCCATCATTTCTTGCCAAGTGTCTCCGTCTGCTTTGATTTTGTGATCCTTGCCCAAGCGATTGGTGGGTCGCGCTTGAAAGGAATCTTCCATCAAAGATGAATCAGGAGTGGATGCGGCTCCTCTGTGATTGCCTTTGGTGTTATCATGATGATGATGGTGACGATGATGATCGCCATGTTTCTTGTGTTTTGAAGAAGCATGTTCGCCCATGATTTCCTCTCTCTCTTCCGTATGAATCAATGAATCAATGAATGAATCAATGAATCAATCACTCTATTATGATTGCGAAAAGCTTCAGCTGATGTCTGATCACCTGAGAATCCACTTGGAGATATGAGATGCAAGTTGATTGCAGCGGTGTATCCTATAGAGCCAAGTATTGAAAGGCAGAATTCCCACCAATGGATTGCTAAAGTCTTGAAGGGTTGGCTTGCTATCCAAGCAAGACTAACGTTATCGGAATGAGACGACGACCTCTCACTCAAAAATACATTATTCCCACAACGGTCGTGTTTTCCGGCAAAAAGATGGCGACCACGGCCCAGAATTTGCAGTCCCCCTCTTTTTGAGGTCCTCTTTTCGCATTATTTTGGAATTGTCCGTCGTAGTGACGTTTATTGGCCAGATTGCAAAAGTACCAGCACCCAGGTACTGGTACCGGTACTGGTCCCCACGTACGTGTACGGTGGTGTTTTGGGGCAAGCAGTTGTCGCGTCCATCCGTCGAGCGCAATTCCAATGACATTTTTTCTCCACTTCTCCATACTGTAGTTTTCACCCTCCATACCAAGACTAAAAAAGGAGTTGCAATAAATCGGCAGTACAGATGATTCATAATGCAGCATGATTTAAAATGGAGGCTTTCGTGGTTGACTCAATTATAGGGGACAATGACGATATTGAAGAGTTCACTGACACAAGGACGAATACCTACGGTATGCCTTGCAGTGATCTATCCTTCATCCGTTTCATTTCATTTCATTTCCTCCTGAGGAACGACCATGATGCTGTCAATCCCTAATAGTCTCTGTAGAAAGAGGTACAGCATACCAATATCGTGTCAAGCCTCTAGCGAGGCGGCTCTATTTTACCATACAGCATGACTATCCAAACTCTGTCCCTTTACTACATCAATCATCATACCTTCCTTCGCCTTTTTGCAATCCAATTTTTGTGTGTTCGGATTCATTGCGATTCCAAATGAATGTCGTTTCAAATGCAATCCATGATCAGCATCTAGTGCCTTCCAAGATATTACATAAAACAACAAGAAGCATTGGTCCTTACTTTTTGGGTGCGGTAGGAAGAGGTTCCAACTTGGCCTTGCAGTCCTTGATTTCCTATTTGGATTGAATAAGATTGATTCATGGTCGATTCGTTCATTCGAGCAAGCAGAAAGAGCGGTGATTGATTTATAGTATCAGCAAAAGAATAGGAATGGAAATAAAAGAAGATAAGTCAAAGGTAGAAAATCGCCAAGAAGACCAAAGTCTCCTCCAAATTGAAGTATTGTACTGTCATCATCGTTCGAAACAGCCTCCTTCCATCGATCGGTAGGCCTATCATTCATTCCAATCTAATCTCCTCCATCGTTCTCGATTTCTTGATGGCAATTCATTAAAATGCAGGCAGATTCCACAAACCCAGCGAACGCCAATACAATACAATACGATCGATTCAATACAATGCAATGCACGATGATGGTTCTATAACTTACTTGTTCGGTCTTGGTTCGAGGCTTGCAGTAGGTCTCTGCTGATCTGACGGACTTGCATTTGTCCAATTGGGCTTTCAATTGATTGGGGACGGGGAGAGCTTCAGTGGCCATGCTGGTGTTTGTTTATACTGTAATGTGGAGTGTACCTACTTGGGGCAAACAATATTCAATATGATACTGTATAATAGTATTATTGTTTGCGTTGACGTTGTGAAAATGAGGTGGGGGAGTGACGTACGGACCGGACCGTATCAGAGATTCTATGAGTTTCTTTGACCTTACATTATCCTCCACCTACAAGTACAGTACCAAAAAGGTTAGTAGTTAGGTAGGTAGCTCAGTTAGAAGAGAGAAACCACTTAGACTTTTAACAAAGCATAGCATTATTTTTCAAATTGTACACTCTTGGAAAGAAGAAATCTATTCAGAATGAAAGAGAGAATGAATCAATCGTTCGCATTGCTTCAGTTCAAGAACGTTCCAGCCCAGCAAAATATTGGTATGCCTCTGCTGCCAAGTGATAGGTCTCGATGGTATGGGAATCTTCCTCGTTTCGCGAAATCATTGGAATCTCAAATAATACTACGCTTGGCTTTTCTTTTCTTTTCTTTCCCTAACGAGTCCTCGCCTCAGCAGAGTAGAACCAATATAGAGTAGCTGCGATGAGACAGAGAGCGAGTCCAACCATCCGAGGAGCTCTGCCTGATAGGGCATGTGATCACAAAATCTGGTGTACTTTGGACATTTTTAATCTGCCATACGTCATCTTTCATCATCATCCTCTTGTTCGGGCCGTCGTGGTGCCGTATTTGGCGTAGCAGTACTATTGGACAAATGTGGGAACTGTTGTTGGAACTGTTGTTGGAACTGTTGCTGTTGGAACTGTTGTTGGAGCTGTTGCTGTTGTTGTTGGAACTGTTGTTGATTCTGAGGAGGACGAGGAGGACCCGCCGAAGGAGGAAAGACCGCATTATTCGTGTTCCGTAGTCGTGCTCCACCTAGGAGAGAGGCTTGTGAATACAATGCAGCAGCTCGAGAGTGTGACTCTTGTTGCAGAGCATTCAATCGTTGAATCGTCATGGCATTTCGAATCATTCGGTCTTGCTCCATCAGACGATTTGCCATGGCGGCCATGTTCATTTGTTGTTCGAACGGAGTCGCCGTGGTTGGTATGGAAGAAGCGGAAGTCATTGGTAGCGACGACCGATACATGGAACTGGCTGCTGCGGCTGCTGGTAGCGATCCAAATAAATCCAATGGTGATGATGATAATAAAAGTGGATTATTCATTGGCAACCGAGCAACTTCATTGCCGAAAGCCAAGTGTTGTTGCTGTTGTTGTTGTTGTTGACCGTGGCTGCTCCTTCCAAAAGAAGAATCCACGGATCGCTGCGACATTGCAAGCTCTGGACGAAGCGTAGCCTGCTCACTCGAAAATGTTGGAGTCGTCTCCTGAAGATTACTACGCTTTTTGCTTCGCAACACATTGCTCACTTTCTGCAAGGCAATTTCTTTGCCAACGACAATGTATGCATCCTTATCCTCTGATTCTTCTTGTTTCAGTAGAAACCTCGCTCCATTTTGAATGATTTCTTGGTACACAGTCTCCACAAGCATGCGTTTGTGTACTCGCTTGGAAGAGTGATACATATTCCTGTACTTGTGCACGATGCGTCTCATACGAGTATTGCCAGGCAAGTCCTGAAGTCGTTTCCCTCTTCCTAATACGATGTCGAGAGATTGAACAAGACTGACGCGTTCGGCATTTGGATTGATAGCGTCTTCGAAGCGTATCCGATGACTTCGGAGAGCATTGGAGCGATCTGCTGGAGTCATGGAGTCAACATCAAGTGGCTGATTACGATCATCGCTTTGCCCGTCACCACCATCATCATCATCAAACGTTTTGGATGGATCTGACGATGGTTCCATTCTTATTCTGCTTGAGACTACGATTCAAAGAAAAATCCACTTGTGCCTCAAACCTTGCAGGCCTTTTTAAAAGTCAGTCGACCCTCGCATGCAATGGGACAAATCTGCAGATGAGCGGTGGTTCAATAATCAGAATGTGTGGCAACGATATATTTTCCAAAAATCAGAAATTTTCCCTGAGATTCTGCTGGTTTGACATATATATGTTGAATATATATATTGGAAACGCGTTTTTAGTCGTAATCGTATATCACGAACGGACAAGCGTACCGTACCGCATGTTGTGTTGTACGCAAGTGAGGAAGGAGAGCGAGGTGCGAGGTAGTGCAGGTTCTCAGATACCGTACAAGTATATTCACAACATCGAGAACATCGGGAGCAGCAGATTCTGCCAATTCTCTTCCTTGCCGAGTCACCGTATTTTGCCAAATCGCCATACAATAATAGTACATTCTTCTCGAGTACCTATTACTCAAAATATAGTGAGGGAGTCGAAGGTCAGATCCTTTCCTTGACGTTCCATGTGTAGATCCAAGATTTTCATGGGGAATCATAACCTCGTTTGCAATTTGCAGTAGCTTGCACACTGGCTCGGGACCATACAAGCATGTCCTCCTCTATGATGGACCAAAGGCCGCGATACTGGCCTATACCATGCTGTCCTAGATGCAATTTACAAGGTATTCGTTGGGATGTATGTAACCCAGTGCATAGATAAACTTGTTGCATCGTCTCCAATAATAGTCGACTTGATGAGATCGGTCGCAGCAATGTGTATTGCAATGGAAACGCCGTCAAAGTTTCAGTGGATTCTTCTTTGATGACAACCACACCTGGACATGGCCGAATGAATCAAGTGGCTGCTAGTGGTGCTCATAGTGAGTTCTCCTCCGCTTGTAGAGAGAGCCATCGTTCCGATAGTCCATCCTCCGAAGACATATCATAGTGTAGATTGCGACTCACTCCATTGGGTCGATGGATAGTAGACTTGCATCACGATGGAAATGCCATCAACATTGTCAGTGGATTCTGGAAAGACGATCGACTGGCATTTCATACACTCCTGTGAGAGCTCGTGTTCACAGTGTCTCGTCTGTATTAGCTAGACGAAGCAATCTTTCCAGTATACCAATCGAGCCTTCGAAGACACATATCATAGGCGCAGATTAATCTCTGCTCCCTCAATTGCTGGGCAGCCATGAATGTATCGCAATGAAGTGCCAACAACGTTTCAATGAATTTCTTTGATGACTCCTACCCGGGCAATATCAAATGAAATAATCACCACTTTCACAGTGTTAGTCTCGTTGCAACGAAACAGTAGTGTTCCAGTACTATATACTGCTAGTCCACCTGACGAAGAGATGCCCATTTGCATTATAGGATGTGGATATGCACAGGGACAATATCAATGTGAGCCACTCCACACATTTTAAAAACCATTTGCTGATTCGAATCCGTTCCACTGTCTACTAGGTATATATGCTCATGAGCTTTTCCTGCATGATTTCGCATATGAGGTGCACGTTTGCCAGAGCGTAGTCATCAGGTCAACAACAAGAACTTTATTCGATGCAATCGACCAATTTCAGTTCATGTATGCGGCCGCGTCCAATAACCCTGCAAGAAGATCGGTTAAGGAATGATGTGGCACAGTTTCATTGCAGCTTTCGAGTAGTAGTTCCAGCAGAGGGGCGGATAGCAATAATGCCGCGTATGCAGGACAGGAATGACTCCTGAACCGATGCATACATATCGCCGATTCGAATGTTATCTCTGTTGCCAGCTCGGATAAAAGGCCGAGGGATGAAAGTTCATCGCAACTTGAAATGCACTAAGGTTCTTGTTTCCATATATATTTTCTCTTCATGCATGGCACTATACTTTTGTCATACAAGAAGATGCTGACTACCTACATTTGCAGCAAGAACAAAAGAACGAATAGCTTCATTGTGATCAATGCCGGCGTAAAATTCCCAGATGTCTTCACCATTGCTCTATCATAGGTCTGGAACGTAATTGTTGCATGAACTCTTTTTTTGAAAACAAGCTCAATTAAAAAATCGTTGTGGAGTAGTAGTATTGATGATAAGCAGCGACGCTGCCTATTCATTCAAATGTGGCGTCTCTTCTCTCGTGTGTTTCCTATATCGGCGGCTATAATATGTTTTGACAAAAGAACTATTGACCCTCCTTGTTTGAATGGCGGATGCAGAAAGTTCACAGTCATGATATAAAAAATACCGGTAAAAGATTGTGAGAGAGTATATTTTTCCGTGTTCTTCTAGGCAGAGTGTACGTGTATGGTAATGAACACGAGCGTACACAATATTTGGTACTTGAACCATGTTCAGAATTTGGAGAAACGTTAACGGAAAAAGTTATAAGTAAGTGTATTTAAGGGAGGAATTATGTGGTTTCCGCACGCGAGAAGAAAGAAGCCGATCTGACATCATGAGGAAACACGCTTGAAGGAACCACACTCGCGCGCGGTATGATATGTAAAAAGCTTTCATTTTACTGAAGTTGATTTGAGCTGAGCGCTGTATTTATTGGATCGTCCTTCTTCTCAGCTGTTTTTTCAAAAATACGGTGCCGGCGCCATTCTGGCATGATGCCTTTCCTTTTATATGTGTTTGAAGACGGTTGTTCAACCCTATGGCAACAGTACCAGGTAAACATTGTTTACCTGGTACTGTAGTGGACAGTATGCGGTATTATAATCCAATGGCGCTTCATCATACCAGTACCAGTACGGTAATGTTGCATGCATAGGACTTGGTTTAGTCTGATGGATCAAAAGAGGCTCTTCCCGTTTCCATTCCAGTGGTGTCCTTTTCACCGGAGGGTAAAACAGACCGCCTCTCGAGTCAGTCTCAAGACAGTCGAAGAACTGTCATAGTTCGCAGTCATTCGTCAAATACCGGCAAGCTTTTTTATTTTCGGAAACCGATTCTTTGATCAGCTACTTTTTTGAGCTATACGGTACACATATCATCTCCCGTATTGTACCGCTATTGTATTGCGCCGACCCGACCTCACCATTCCAACACATCGCAAGTGTTACGTGCTTCCAGGCCAAAAAGAGTCCGGGCTGGTACAACATTAATAATACCGTCTACACTTTGAAAAACAAAGGACGTGTGTTGGTTTCAGAGTTACCTAAAAAAATCAGATCTTAGCTGTCATCATTGTTCTCTGAAGTGTCAGTGAAGTCTTTCACCTGTTGATTTGATTTCATTTCATTGGTTTACATTGGTTTGCATCAGTTCACTTCTACAAACTACTACAACTGCGACCGCTGCAGTATACAGTATACAGTCTACACGTACGACGAATCATCCGAAGCTCCGAAGCTCTGACAGAAATCAACTCTCAGGAGCATGATTGTGCCAACTTCATCTCATTGTCGCCTGAGACGACGGGCATTGTATTTTCTGATTCTGCTGATCACTGCCACTACTCCAATAGTCAATGCTCAAGAGGCCTTTATTCAAGTCAAATTACGAGTCTTCGAAAAGGTGGATCGGTTCCTGAATTTTGCCGTTTCGGCCAACGCTGTCCTCGCTGATTTTTACGATTTGCGGGGCTTTCCTCACGATCTCGGAGCGAAAGATCGGGATACCATTGCGCATCAGTACTTGTTTTCCGTCGTATCAGCCTTGGAAGCGACCGGCCTAAAGCCCTTTTATGGATTGGAAGATGGGACCTTTTTGGGATATCTGCACAATGATCTCAATCAAGTTCCTAAATTGGTCTATCGAGAACCTGGGAATTCAGGTTTCAACAATTCGGACCCAGTATTGGGAAAGTATATGAACACTTGTGTCAATCCGCTGACGGGAGATTCCAAAAAATGTCTATTGACAGATGCAAGTGGAACCTATGTTTCCTGTGTCAATGATTGCGAATACATTCCATGTCCTGGCAATGGCAACATTTTGTGCCAAAACTATGATATTGTCAATTATTCTTCGCAAGCGGAGAATGCTGGCGATGATGATCTGGAACTTGGATATGTACCAAGATCTACATATTGCATCAACAAAAATGGTGACTTCTCCGATGCCCAAGGTGAAATTTTGGTGGAATCCTTGGATGGAGTGATTCGAGATGGATCTTGTACGTTTAAAGATGGTTCTCCGGTACAGCGGCGAAATATTTCTGGTGCCTTTGCGAGTTGCCGAGACCTCTATCAAGAAATTTGTTTGGCGGCAGAAGCACCTGGGAATGTTATTACGGATACAACGACGACAGGTCCAATTGTATGCGACACCACATTTGCCGGGGCCTATGATTCCACCAATTATGACCCACGATGGAGAGGTTGGTACATTTCTAGCCGGGAGACGTTGGTGCCACGATTTTCGGATCCCTACATTTTCTTTTCTCTTGGGGTGGTTGGGATCACCTACACTTTTCCAATCTTTATGGAGAATAAGGGTTTTGAAAAATTCTTTTCGGGAGTCTTGGCCATTGATATGGAATTGGACGATGTTTCGAATTTCCTTGCGGAGTCCTTTGTTGATACCTCCTTTGCTGTTGCCATTTACGAAGATGAAGCACCCCACAATATGATTGGGATATCCACACAAAGTGATGTCATTTCGTGGTGGCTCATTGAGGATGACACAGTACCTTGTCCTGAGGACCAAATTGGACAGACCCCACGCGTTTGTCTTGCAAGACAATTGAACATTATGAACTTTGAATCTTCCATTGATGATAGCATCCTTCGAAAGGCCCACGAGGCCTTTGAACTGGTTGATTTTGTCGAGGATGTCACGGTGGCAGTCCGAGAAGATGACGACGATGTGTCGACTCCATCCTACATTGCCACAACAGTACTCTACGACCTCCAGGATGCCAATCTCAAATGGCGAATTCTTGTCACCACTCCCATTGACACAGACCCGGACAACATTATTGTTGTGGGAGACAGCATGTTCCCATTTATCATTGCGATTGCCGTGCTTGGATTTTTAATCTGCATTGGATTGTTTCTTGCCTACTATGGTCGACGAAACGAGAGGGCGGTCCAATTCTCGGATGTTCAGTTCACATCGGCATTTCTGCTGGCATCCGCGTTATTGAATCTGAGTACTCTTACCTTGCTCGGCAAAACCGATGATGAATTGTGTTTGATGCGAATGTGGGTATTTTTCACCTTTTCTTCCATGATGCTTTCGCCACTCTTTGTCAAGGCCTACCGAACCTACAAATTATTGGGAAGTTCCGTGGCATCTGCCATGTCGGTCAAGATGAATAATGTTCAGGCATGGATCCGGACACTCCCGATTCCAGCCATTCAAGTGCTGATCCTCTTTATCTTCACCTTTGCGGATCCGTGGATCGGGAAAGAAGATATTAATTTGGCGGCAGCGATTCCTACCAAAGATATCCTCTGTCGGAGTCAAACTGAGGGTCTGATGTATGCGCAAGCGATTTACGACTCTTTTCTCCTTTCGATTGGGTGTATCTTAGCCTATCTGACACGAAACATTGATCCACGATTTGGAGATGCCAAGGCCTTGCTGTTTGCAATGTACAATATTGCCTTTACTACTATTATGATTGCTCTTGTCATTGGCACAATTGACACGCATGAGAGCGGAAAGCACGTTTTGCAAGCGATTGGAGTATTCTGGGGCACCGTTTTCAGTTCTGCCGCATTCGTCGTGCCCCGGCTGGTAGAAGCACGGAGGGAACGAAGGAGATTGAAGAAGCATAATTCGAAGCTTCGCAACACCTTGGAAGAGAAACGAAAGGCAAATCGAGTATCATCACATGTATCTGCAGTTACCTATTTGCATGATCAAGAAGATGCTCTCAAAGTTCTGGTTTGTACTGGCAACCTTGGAAACGCCGAACCGACTCTGAACTCCATGATGTCATGGATCCCAGAACACGGAGAGTGCTCACGGATCACCCCACTTGATGGAAATGACATTGACACGGACCAGTTTGATTTGATTGTCGTTGGTATGCAAGAAGCAAAGTGGGTGGTGAAAAACGCAGCAGCGGTTGCCGAAAAACCTGCCGAACCTCGTCCAACTGGACGAAGAAACCGACGGGGCTCCTTTTTGACTTTTGGATCAGGATTCATGCAGATGGATGAAGCAAGGGCGAAACAAGATGCCTTCTTGGCTGCTGTGGAAGGTGCCGATGTGGTCCAAATACGACAACTGACTCAGCAAATTCTTGGTGACGATTACACCAATATTTCTCAGGAGACGCGAGGGCAGATGCGTCTTTTTATTTGGGCGCTCAAGGATGTCGCACCAGGAATTCGGGATATCAAGGTGACTGGTGTCAATACTGGTGTTGGTAACGTGCTTGCCAACAAGGGTGGGATCGTGGCTTCAATGGTTTTCCACGACACAAGACTGACCTTCTTGTCAGCTCATTTGGCGGCCCACGAAGGTGACCGCTATTACAATGCTCGGTGCAGCAACATGTTTGATATTCTGAAGGGCTCCAAGACATTCGACTTGGGCAACAAACACAGCATTGATACCACCATTAGCAGTCATCACATGTTTGTCCTGGGTGATCTGAATTTCCGAACCAAGTTCCATGATGCGTCCACTGCAACTCATGCAGAGAAGTTTGAGCGTGCGTCCAAACTGATAGAAGAGCAGGATTGGAATGGACTTTACCGATACGATGAGTTGCACAAGGGTGTGCGATTGGGAGAAGTGTTGGTCGATTTCGATACCTTACCGTGCAACTTCAATCCTACGTTCAAGGTGGAGCGAACTCATGGTTATGACTACAAGGACCAGCGCATCCCCAGTTATACGGACCGCATTCTCTTCAAGTCTGCTCCGGGTCTCCGAACAAACTTGAGGCCTCTTGGTTACGAACCTTGCGAAGATTTCATCACGTCTGATCACAAGCCAATTCGTGGCTCATTCTCCATTGTCCCCAATGACATGATTCCCAACAACACTATTGAGGGCAGATACCGTTTGGAATTTAAAGAACTGGAATGTTCGGAACTTTTGGATGGCGAAGGTGGTTCTTGTAATCCCTTTGTAAGATTCATCTGGGATTCCATTGGAATGAAGGAGGAAGGCATGGTGAAGCTTGACTTTTGGCGAAGAAGGCACGAGTTTCCTACTACAAGTACAAAGTACAAGAACCCCAATCCACGATGGAAGAGGTCATATTCGTTGGTCACGACGACTCAAGAAGTCAGAGGTGACGCTACATTGTTTGTGTGTGTATACGATCAGAATGTTGGAAAAAGTAACTCCATCCTTGGATCACTTGCGTTAAACTTGCAAAGTGTCTTTAAATGCAAGCCTGGGCAGACCAGCAAAGAAATGTATTACGACAAGCCATTGCAAAGATATGGAAAGCCAGCTGGTTTCATTCGATTCAAGATTGAGCTTTCCAAGCTCGTTGGTTGAGCACAATTTATAATTCTGTGTGATCATGCCGAGGGGGAAGGGATGGGAACGCAAACCAAGTTGAAAGTGTCCAAGACCGCATGTTCTGGAAGTGGATGGTTCGATTTTGTAACTTACCAGTCTAATAGATTTTTACATGTATTTTAATAACTGTCGCCATTCTTCCCGTACCAATACTGTACTACGATACTATAATTCTGCACGATACTATGATTCTGCCCGCCACATCTACTGTACCGGTAGAGTAGATGCAATGATCTCTCCTCCCGATTGGTGCAAATTCAAAGAGGATTTCCTTGCACTCCAGACACTTTATATCTGGTGTGATCAAGATCCAACGTAAACAAGCATCAGAGATGACTGAAGCCGAAAAATTGGCTTGTAAGAAGTTGAAGAAAGTGGCTCCTGCAGGGAATCGTGGAGCCGCTGGTGATGGTGCTGATGACGAGACTGAAGAATTCGATTTGCTAACTCAGCTGAAACAGCTAGCGGAGCAGGAAAGATCCTCGGCTGCAGGGAGCAAGAGATCATTCACTCACATATCAAGAGATCAAGGAGACGAATATATCAACGCTGACTTTGTCCTTGGTTCAGCATCAGAAGTTGAGCGGCAATGGTCTATTGCTGGGAACCTCTTGGCCCCAAACCGCTCATAAATGGCGCCAAAGCTCTTTGAAGCCATCATGATGCTCAATTATAATGAACGGTTTTGGTATAACAACGTTTCTTTGGTAGGAGAAGCAATGGACATGGCATCCAGCACCAACAAGAAAACTGACCGAGCTCAGTCAATTTTAGGTGCTGTAGCTGCCAGCAATAATTGAAATTGTGTCAGCGTTCAGCTGCAATTAATTGCAAATAGTGAATCATAATCTATGTCCAATAGAAATTAATTGCAAATAGCTGGTCAGCAATTACAATGAATTGCAAATAGCTGGTCAGCAATTACAACAGAATAATTGCAGAGATCTAAAGAAGTCCTGCAATTTCCGACTAAATTGAATTTGGATCAATTATAGAATTGGGAATCCCAAACAATTGCAATTCCTAAAAATGATGTTTTTGGAACCCCTGCCTCCCGTTACCAAAAGTTTGGCCGCAGCAGAAGACCAATGACCGTTTCGGTTTTTCATATGGATTGCGTCACCGTGCCAGGTAGCATGTGGCCAATAATAATATATAATACCGACGGTTGCACATCCGGCACTCAATGTGGAACTGTACGAAATTAGCTTCGTCCGAAATCACGCTTCCTCTCAAAGGCGTCAAAAAGAAGAATGTCAAAGATAAATGCTCAATCTGAATGTACGACAGGGACTCATTTACTTAATATTCGTGAAACAAAGGGTGCGCAATTGGCCCTTCAGCTTTCACTTTTTGATATCTGCGATCGGTTCGCCACACTACCGTAGCAAATTGACTCTTTCCGAATCATGATATTCCGAACAAAAAAATAAAGTTTCTATTCAACAAAACAGTAGGCGCTAACCATGGTGGAAGATAAGGACAATAAAAAGCTGATAATATTGAAGCGGATTGTCATCAATGATACTCAAGACGAGGACACACCACGGTGAGTGCCAACGGTTTTGTAGGCGTAGCAAATTATCAATTTTTTCGCACTTTCTCACTCACCTGAATTCCCCTAAACATTTGTTTATCTGACCGTTGAAATCAAAATTGAAATCCAACTCTCGTAGCGAAACAAAGGAAGACTTTGAAGGAAAGCTAGACCGTCTGACAAAACTGGAAAATGCAGCTTTGCTGATCCAAAGGAATGCTCGGTCACGAATTCCTGCATTAGCTCTTGCTTCGTTAGGCAGCAGCCGGAGAAAAGTTGGGTTTGGCGATGATGTAGATATTTGGAATATTGATGAAGAAAGCACCTCAGACGGCAGCAGTAATGATATGACAGTGCACGAGAAAGAAGAAGAAGGGAACAGCAGCATGTTTACGCTTCTTTTTGTTGCCTGTGGGTCGATCATTATGATGCTCTATTCCTACATGGGATGTTGCATGAAATCTTGCTTTGGAAACAACTTCGAAGATGATGAAAGGGATGGTTACATGATGGATGCTGCCGATTTAACGGAAGTATCAATGAATCAGACGCAAAATGCAACAACTTCACAGGCGGCGGCTCAGGCAGTCACCCCTGGCGGTGCTGGAGGATCGGGTGCTGAGTCTGCAGCAGCCAACTCAGCTGCTGCGTCTGTTGCTAGTGGGGTTAGTTCTGGTATTGCAGCTGGGGCTGTGGCAGCCAGTGCAGCTGGAATGATGGGGGGAACAGTGGTTGCAGCGACTACCACTACCAAGATTGTGACTGTTGCAGTAGTAACAGCAGCGGCCTATTCAACATATCAAGGGGTGGAGTTATTGACACCACCGGAAGCTCAAATACCTCTAGCGTTCTCCTCACGATGTGGGATTGAAAATCCAGAATCAAGATCGGGTGACTTTACCTTGTTCTTTGATGGGCTTGCAAGAGGGATTACGGAACGAGAGGTTGCTTTGTTTGAAGGCCTTGTGGTCGGTGCTTACAACAATCTCACCTTTGGGAGTGAATTTGATGAATCCACAGAAACCTACAGATGTGTCGATGAATACCTTCGAGAAATGAAGGAATCTAACATGATTGATCAGATCTATCAAGAAGAGCAAGGGAACCAATCATCAGTGCTACAAATCAATATGGAATCCACGATAATATGTGAAGGCTGTCCTGCGGAGCTTCCGATTTTTGGGACCGTGGAGGAAACAGCACCACTCCCAATCGAACGCTATTTGAGACGAATGTCCACCACTGGAGAAATCTTTGATATTTCTTTCATTGAACAATACTTGCGAACAATCATTGAATCACTCTTTGAGCTCATGAATGAAGGAGAGTTGCCAACAAACTTTTCTCCTTCCAAAATCTACTTTCGTGGATTTTCAAGAGGCAACCAGACGGATGGTTCAGAGAATCTTATCTTTGACGAACAGGCGATCGAGGTGGACATTCCGATTGGAGTCTATGACGACAAAATCAGCGGTGCCATTATTCCTGTCTTCCCCACCGCATCTACCAATCAAAATAATGGTATTGATTTCCATGAAGGAAATTTTAGCATGTCCTTGACTGGAGTCAGTCTCTCGCGGCCCTTCACTCCCGAAGAGAGTATCATGCTGGAGAAGTTGTTTGTGGAAGCCTACAATGAGGTGACTGCTGAAGCCGGTGCTGAGGGAGGAGAAGCATCCTTCTCGCAGCTTCGTGAAATGGCACGTGCTTCCCTGATAGGACAACAGCTGATTACCGGCGACGATGGCCTGCCAGCCCTCGAGCTAACGTTCAAGGGATTCGTAACTTGTGAGGGCTGCCCAGCAGACCAATCACTATTTGGAGATATCAATGGTGAAGGGCTCGACCTAGAGTTGATCCAAAAAGTACTCCAAAGAGTCATTGTAGATGTGGTCAAAGCAATTGAAGACGACGACCTTCCTGCCGAGTTCTTGCCCGCGGAGCTGTCTGTCGAAGATGACGCTACCGACTTGGACTTGGTGAATGTTCCCATCTTCACTGAGGTTGGAGAAAATGGTACTATCAAGGTAGACATGCCAGATTTAGGATTGGCACCACAGCAATTTGAAGACGAGTTCTTCATTTCATTTCGTGGATTTGATCGAATCTTTGATAGCGACGAAGGAAAGATTGTCGAGGAATTGCTAATAGAAGCATACAATTCGTTTACGCTTGGATCGAATTCCACCAATTCCACCAATACCTACTCGCGGAAAATGGTGGATGCGGTGCTCAAGGACCAAATTCTCACAAACGGGACTTCCGAAGACGGCGACGTGTCGACGCTTGACATGATTCTGGATGTGACTGTCCTTTGTGATGATTGCACAAGCGACGAACCTGTATTTGGACTTCCAGGGGCCCAAGGACTCCTTGATTGGACTTTCATTGAAGGGGTCATGATTAATGTCATTACTTCGATGATGCAGAAGATCCAGGAGAAGGAATTGTCAGACAGCTTTGTTCCTGACGAGATTACCACACATACCGACGATACTCAAGACTTTTTTGTGAGCATTCCCATGGAATCTTATTTCGATCCGGAAACTGGAACATGGGTCTTCGAGCTTTTACCAACAATTGTCGAACTTCCAAGTTTGGCACCTTCATCAAGTCCATCTCCATTGCCACCACAGCAATTTGAAGACGAGTTCTTCATTTCATTTCGTGGATTTGATCGAATCTTTGATAGCGACGAAGGAAAGATTGTCGAGGAATTGCTAATAGAAGCATACAATTCGTTTACGCTTGGATCGAATTCCACCAATTCCACCAATACCTACTCGCGGAAAATGGTGGATGCGGTGCTCAAGGACCAAATTCTCACAAACGGGACTTCCGAAGACGGCGACGTGTCGACGCTTGACATGATTCTGGATGTGACTGTCCTTTGTGATGATTGCACAAGCGACGAACCTGTATTTGGACTTCCAGGGGCCCAAGGACTCCTTGATTGGACTTTCATTGAAGGGGTCATGATTAATGTCATTACTTCGATGATGCAGAAGATCCAGGAGAAGGAATTGTCAGACAGCTTTGTTCCTGACGAGATTACCACACATACCGACGATACTCAAGACTTTTTTGTGAGCATTCCCATGGAATCTTATTTCGATCCGGAAACTGGAACATGGGTCTTCGAGCTTTTACCAACAATCGTCGAACTTGCAAGTATGGCACCTTCACTAAGTCCATCTCCCAGCAGTATGCCATCCGAAGCTCCAAGCGGAGTGCCATCAAATTTTCCAAGTTTCAGTACAACTACCGCTGTCACCACTGAACCAAGTGATGCACCAAGTTCCGCGCCATCATTGAGTCTCGTACCAACACAACAGCCAACGAAGCGAGCATCTAGAATGCCGACTCCGGCTCCAAGTATCGCGGGTAGTGGAGCTCCTTCCTCTACACCAAGCAGCAGTCCAAGCTCTTCACCAACTTCCAGACCATCTGCAACACCCTCGATAGTTTTCAGCGGACAACCAACTTTCACACCAAGTTCGAGGCCATCGCGAGTTCCATCCACTATGCCCTCGAAGTCTCCAAGTGCATCTCCTTCCATGATGCCCTCGACTGTGCCATCCATATATCCCACTGTATTGGAAAGCGTATCTCCAAGTGCCAGTCCATCGACATCGCCGCCTACTGATGGTCCGACCAATGGGCCAACACCGGCAACACCCGAGCCCACGAAATCACCAACATCTGGTCCAACCAACGGGCCAACGCCAGCAACACCCGCACCAACATCCGGCCCAACTGACGTGCCAACGCCCGGAACACCCGCACCTACAGATGGCCCAACCAATGGGCCAACACCAGCAACACCTTCCCCGACGAGATCACCAACATCCGGCCCAACAAGTGGTCCAACCTTTATGCCTACCACAAAATCTCCAACATCCGGGCCTACCTCCGGACCTACAAAGACACCAACCTCAGGACCAACTCGCTTTCCTACCAGCTCCCCAACTTCTCCGCCCACTATTGGCCCTACGGGAACGCCAAAATATTGGATGACCTGTGGTAATGCCTTTACGTTGGCCCCCTGTACAGGTATCACAGCTCAGTTTGTGGACCCTTTAGCCATCGGCATGGACGATGGTACGGGATTCGTGATGGAGACTGGTGTCCGTTGTTGCGCCGATTCCCCTCCTGCCAACAACTGGAGAATATCCAGAAACTCGGTGTGGGCCAATGACGGCGATGCTGCTACCAACTGCCCATATGCCATTTCTCCTGGTTCCTGCAGCAAAGCACAGAACTTTTTCCAGGCGGAAGCAATCTGTGCTGCGGCTGGTGGACGATTGTGTTCGAGAGCGGAGACGGAGGCTGGTTGCGCAGGGGGTGCGGGTTGTAATTTCGATACTTATCCTATATGGACCAGTGATTCCAATATCGGCCAATAATAAATACACTAATAGAAGACATGTACTATATATTCCAATCACGCTACTGCACGAGTACCAACTTTTCGAATTCTTCCCACAAGTATTTGTGTACTTGTCCAAAGCTGGTACTAGTCACGGGATCGCCCCAGCCATAGATCCACCCGTCTCTCACTTGCATCATAGTTCTTCGTAGCTCTTGCTTTTTCGCCTTATCATATTGTGAAAAGACTTGTTGGAGTACTTGATCTCCATGGAGTGTAAACTTGGATTCATCGACTTCAGGAAAGTCCTTCCAAGGTATTCGATCTGGAAAGCAAAAGTGTGGATACTCTTTGCCAGTTGCCGCCCAGCCAAATCTGGCTTGACATGGAGGTTCGCACAAGCCTCGCAGACGAGAACCCACCATGATTGGGATGCAACCTGATACCCAAGCAGATGCCAAACTACGAGAGGTGGGCGTGTCGCCACACAAAATCAGGCAATACTCGCTAGTAATCATCCGATGATTGTATTCGGCTTGATCCAGGCGATTCTTCTTGTCGACAATTCGTACATCGACATTGGGCAAGGTCGAGTTTTCTTTCAGCGGCAGTATCATTTCTTCGCGATGGCAGCCAGCCCATCCTTGGGCATTCCGCCGTGCATCGCCCGCATAAAAGACGGAGTTCTCTATTTTGTCGGTGAGGCTCGACTTGTCGTTTCGTTGTTCGAGGGATTGCTGGACGACGTATGGAATGGGTAGGATGCGGTTTGGCGGCAATCCCTGCCAGCTCTTGTTTCGTTCAATACCGACCGACCACATGTTGACACCATCCTTCTGCAAGGCATCTGTCAAGGGAGCCACTCCTGTTTTTTGACTCCGTCCAGGATTCCAAGTCGGTGTCAAGAGTAAGTGTGGTTTCGTCTTGTTGACAATCTTGTCCTTGTACAATTGAATCATCTCAGTTTGATTGCCCAATTCCGGTCGCGGAGGAGTGGCCAAGTTTAGATGAAGATATCCAGCAATCAAAAAGACATCTGCTTCCGACGGGTCAATAGTATGACCTTCTTCATATATCAATTGCTGAAAGGCTCGGTGCAGCCAGATTTCGGCACTTTCTTCATTTAAAGCAAATTTGTAGTAACTATCCGAAACTCCATTCTTGTCAGTTAGCAGACTGCTCGTGTATTCAGGAGGTTCAATAATGAAATACTTGAGCGTAGGCTTTTTGAATTCAATTGGTGATACAGTATCTGCTAACAACGGAGTGTTATGCATTCCATTGTCATTGCTCGTTGAGCTCTCGCCATCTGTTCCGGCAACCGTCATATCTGCTTCTGCTGATTGCACGGCAGTACTCTCGCGATTTGAAAGTAGTTGAATGAGTACAGTGCCATTATTCTGATTTCTTTCATTTATCTTTCTCTTCGCTGAAGAAGAGACTGAATATAGTGTAAACTGAAAGGCTCCGAAAATAGATAGAGCAAAGGTAATGGCGAGAGTGAAGATCGTCAATCGACAGTCCATTCGCATTTTCAAATTTTCTGATTTCATATAGTTGCGTGTGGATTTGAAATTGTCGTTTCTCTATTCCGCCAAATACCCGACACCAACCATGATAAACCCTTGATTTGAGATTATTCATTCGATCTTCCGGCATCTTATTCGTGAAGTTCTCGTCACACTCATTGACATTGACATTTTCCCTCCGATTTCCCGTAAGGCCTCTTTCCGAAATAAAAAGCGCGCGAGCCTCTGTTCGGTGCCTTAAATCTTTCTGACGTCAACTATTCCGAAGGGTCACAAAATAGCCGGATCGCAATTTTTCTAATTCTCTGGTGGTAGGAAATGTCAAATTGTACATCGCCAAAACCCCGAAGATAACTTACCCAACGGGACAACGTTGTCACATAAAAAACATATCATATACACACCACACACAATCAAACGAACATGAACGCCACACCCATTACACTCAATGCTTCCCTCAGTAATCTATGCATCGATAGTGGTCCCACCATGGCCCAACACGAACGCATCGTTCGATTAGACATGCAACATCGCTTGTTGGGAATCGTACAATCCAAGTTTCCAGGAGCAGAGAGCAATCACTCGGCGGTTGCCAAGGCTTTGGATATGATGCTCTTCCGAGCCGCACCATCCTTTCAAGACTACAGCGATCTTGCAACACTCGAAGAACGCATTCGAGTCGTTGTCACCAAGAAGCTACAACAAAAGCAACACACATTCTTGAAAAGGAGCAGAGCAGGAGCACCAACAACAAATACTACAAAGAAGCAATGTTCCCAACAAGCCATGAAAAAGACTATCCGCAAGCAAATTCTGCAACAAGTCTTGAAGGAAGACTATGAAACAGCTCAAGACTTGGTCCGAGACATCAAACTGGCCAAGAACCGCAAGGTTGCCACCTTCAAATGCTTTGGTGGTGTCTGCGTTCGCCAATCTCCTTCCTTCCAAGATTCCTCCTTTCCAAAGGAAATCAAGGCCCTCTTTTTCGGAACCGCACTTGTGGATGCCTTTGATAAGGCACCAGTTGACAAACTTTCCTCCCTCAACTGGAAGCATTTGATTCAAGTTGCCCAATCCAATTTGGATACCTATAGGGCCTCTCCACATTGCCCTACTGCTAGCAGCACTCCACCTTTATTTAGTGCCTAATTTTTGATACAATATGCGCTACATACATACATACATACATACATATCATCACAATGAATATAAGATTTTAAGATTTATAGATTATGATGCTATTATGTTTACTACTACGTAACTCTTGAAATGAATGTGAACAAGAATTATTGCTGACGAGGCCTGCCTCATCATGGTTTGGCTCGTCCTTGTCTGTATTCCTTGTATGACAGCCCTGATTGTTCCTTTTTCGAAGAGACGAATGCGTAGGTACCGGTAGTATGCACTCACCAAGCAAACGTCGAAAGTATACCATAAATTCAATAGCATTTGTGTTTAGTTGATGATTAGTCCTAGCTAGTAGTCGAGCCGTTCGATTTAGTAGTCTCCAGCAGACATATATACATATTTACTTGTAATTGGATGGTAGACGCATCCCTCCTGCAACATCGTTCAAGGCTTCGTCCAACTGTTGACGTTGTCTCAATAAGGAATCGACCATTTGGCTTCTCACCAATTGCTCCAGATCGCCACCTCCTTGTTGTCCGCCTTGATGATTATGATGATGTTGATTGTGATGGGCGGATGGTCCACCACCGTTTCCGCCGCCACCATTTTGACCCGCTGCTTGTGGATTCAATCGCTGCATCAAGTTGGGATTGAACATGTTGGGCATGAGACCAAAGGGTGGCATCAAACCATTGGCCATGAGTCCCATGGCAGCAGCATCGGGAAACATGCCAGCACGTTGCTGGAGAAACTGTTGGTTATAAAGTGAAGCCATTTGATTGGCATCTCCTGGTCGGGAACCATCCGGCAGAATGGGCAAGGGACCTTTTTGGCCAGCCGAGACATTTGGGTGTTGGTTGACTTCAAAGCCTTCGGGGCGTCTGACTTTGGAGCGCAAGGCATGGCTGACCTTTTCAAAGCTAACAGAAGACTCGACTTCTCTCCAGTATTCTCCATGATCGATCCGCTTCAAAAAGCGAGCCCCGTGCCTTTGAATAATGTCGAGGACTTCTTCCACGATGGCTCTTTTCTTGTCCCGCTTTTCGCTCAAATAACGTTCCTTGTGTTCATCGACAATTCGGAGCATGCGTTGATTGCCGGGATGATTCTGAAAGGGCTTTCCGCGGCCCAAGAGAATATCCGGATTGGAAGGCTTGCGGATGCGACCTTCGGCATCCTTTTCGGATTCTTCAGGACGGATTTGTCCATCTTCAGCTGAAGCAGGGTCAGAGGAGGTGGCAACGGCAATAGCAGGAGCACTTCCTTCCTTGCCTTCGGCTTCTTTGACTTCCGAAGGCCCTTTGGTTTCAGGCTCTTTCTTTACCTCTTTGGGAGTTTCTTTCGGAGCCTCATCTTCCTTACCGGTAGGGGTTTCCTTACCTTCAACAGCGGGCTTTTCAGCTGCTTCTTCCGACAGTTTGGCCTTCTTGGAAGGCTGTTCTACCGTTTCGCTCTTGCCCTCTACGGCGGTTATTATTTCCTTCTTGGCTTCTACCTTTGGTTCTGCTTTGACGGCAGCAGCAGTAGTTGTAGTAGATGTAGATGTAGATGATGCAGCAGTGACAGCACTAGGAGCGCCAGAGTCATCCTTTTCTAAAGGACGCTTGTTCGTGGAAGGTTCAACACTCATCTTACACAGTTTGTTTGTGTGTTTCGTTTGGTGGTAGTGTTTGATAGTATCGGGGAGATCAATTGAGATGCTTGTGCAATCAAATCTCTTACAACGTTGCTGGCGGAGCGACGACAAAAGGTTGCAAATTCGGCCTCGTAACATTCGCCTTTGCGTGAAAATGTACCAGGTGTCTACGGGGCCACACTTGGTTGCTCGGCACCATCCATCGCTCAGGATTCTCGTTCGCTGTTGCTCACGCGCAAGCAATGCAGTGGCGTAGCGAAATAAGTAAACACAAGTAGGAATGGCCTGCCATTAGGCTGTTTCCATGCGAACCGAATTTCGAAAACCGAAAAGATGCCAAATCCAGCCAGAGATTTTCGGTTTTGGAAAATCAGATGGGTAAAAAACACGTTTCCACGCAAAAACGAAATTCGGCATACGGATTCTACCCGCCTCAGCCAATCAGAAACTGACATTTTTCAACCACTTTCATTGGTCTAGAACAGACATGAAATATTTTACCGCACAAAAGTTTTAATCTAAACGAAGGCTACAAATTTAACGCGTGAGAAAGGCTATTCATATTTATAGTTAGGCCAAAGTCAAAATACATTAGTTTTATGTCGTGCTATTTCTATTTCCATAATAAAAATTCGGATGTCAATTCTTGCTCTTCTACTCCTACTCTTTTCTTCCCTGTATTCACCACTTCTATTCCAATCATTGTCGACTTGATCAAAGTAGCTGTAGGGAATGCCAAACCTTCGTCGAAACCTTTTAGCACGAGTGCTGTCTTTGTCCCAAACTGAATCAATAGCTGCAATAGCATCTTCGTTTCTATGCTGATGGTGGTCGTCGGAATTCCTGTTGTAGAAATTGTAAAATGGAGAGTTGTAGACATCCTTTTTGACTCTTGGCGCTCTTGGGCCCCGTCCCCTCATGTCCACTGATGATACTGACGAATCGCCTTGGGACGAACCCTCACCATCAATGACACAATTGCGGAAAGATCCTCAAATTGAGGTCAAAGTCTTAGAAGAAATCAAAACCAATATCAAATTCAAATTGGAAGGGTGCCTCAAAGGTGCCAATGGAGGTCTTGCTTAAGTCCTGACTGCCATCACTCAAAGATCTGCTGTTGGAGTCGCGACTGCTGTTGCTGTTGCTAGTACTGTCGCTACCACTGGTTGTACTGCTGCCATCATCACTATTCAAGCTCATAGGTTGGTAGGACGAGTGGTCCATATTGTCGATGTTGTTGGAATCCAGTAGATTGCTTGATATGTGGTGTTGGAGGCACTTGGTTGTGTCAGAACCTACGCATTACAATGGTTGTGGAAGATTCGGCTGAGACAGGCAAAATCCGGCTGTCGGTTTTCGGCGCCGAGATATTGCCCAAATATTCGGCCGCCGACCAACCGAAATCCGGCCGCCGACTCAGTTTTGGAGGGAAAATGTTCGTGTGGACGTGTTTTTTTTACGAAACCGAAAACCGAGAAACGAAAAAGACCCAAAACACTCGGTTTTCGGTTCGCGTGGAAACAGCCTTACCGGAGATATTTGAAAAGCCCCAAATTGAAAAATGCCGATGGAAATGCGAAACGAAGAACAATGGTATCTTATCAAAATCGAACGAGTCATAAACCGTGGTCGAGGAGTCAACCACCGTTTTTAAAAAAATAATTACAGTAGTTTGAAACACCAATGGCGTTCCTTCAGATCAGATCGGTACCATTATTGTTAGAATAATACAGTATCGACAAATGTGAAAATGATCTCATGAGATCTCGTCTCTTGACATCTATTTGAAATTCTCGGAGATTATGGTGATCACTATTTGTTCTCCCAGCGATCTTCTCGTCAGCAACGGCGGAGGACCACAAGGAAGAGTGCTGTCAAAATAGTATTCCAGCATAATACAGCACTCTTGGCATCAATTCTCATTGCAATGCAATGCATCGTGATGAATGCATTTTAATGATGGAAGTATTAATATGACTCAAACCATACCAAGTGCACTATGGTTGCGCTGACTCAATCGAATGGAACTCAGTTTGACCCGAGTGGACCCACTCTTGGTGGACCCGCCGGTCCAGCTGAGCACCAAAATGCCATCTTAGTCGGGGCGTTGTTGCAATTATTCTCAAGAACACAGCGACCTGAAAAGACTTTATAACAGTGCGGCGCAAATCCTATGACACCACAGAACATGATACCTGTTTCCAGTTGATATATAAACAGGAGGTGGGACCGATATTATACAAATATAGGAATGGAACATAAATCTAAATCTTCAAAGAATGTTCTCACAAGATCTCTTCTTTTGCAATCCTTTCGGTACAGTGTCTTCAAGTTGGGATCATCGTCCTTTTCCCATCTTCTTCATCTTCGCTCTACGGTACCAGGCGATCGTCGAACCTTGGAGCACCACGACTTACCAGGACCTGGGGGTGGTGGAGAGCGGAGATAACATATTCCAACATTACCAGCAGTAAAAGTAAGAGAACAAGATATTATTTGGCGCACTACTCTTACGAACTACCTGCATCAAACCGACCAGTACGGCACGGCCATGCCAATAGCATAACAAGAGCATTCCACTCACTTAGACGACTACTGTGACGCTTCTGCTAAACCCGCCGCGTCGACTGATGCTACTGCACGACCTGAACGGGTTTAACCCGACTGGACCCGGGCGATTGGACTCACTCCCAATGGACAAAACGACGCATTGTGAACTCACCGAAAATGCCATCAAGGTTTTTAAAAAAAGATTGTCGCCAATACTCGAAAGTCGAACCGTTTGAGCGGATTAGAAAAGCCTACCAGGTGGTAAAAGTGCATGGGTATTTTGCCGCACCTCGGAAGTGGAAAACGAAACTGGTCAAGTGTCATATATTCATGTGTTAACGTTAAACGTAGAAAACCTTCCGGACTCCCACTTCTGCACAGGAGCTTCATGCGTACTAACGTTTTTCAATGGGTTCGAAACTCGGTTCGGTGAAAACTTGAAGTGGATTCGCTGTGGCTCACGACTTCATAGAGACTTAGGGATAGCGCTTTTTGGCAAGACTTCCATCGAAGGAAAGGTCTTTCGTTTCTCCCGGCGACTTCAAACGTTATCTGGCATTTAAGGTCTGTGCAGTGTTGCCGGTACGGTGCCGCCATGAATCCTAAAAACTCGTTCCTGCTCAGGTCAGATACCGCATACGCTGCGTCGATACCGGTAGGTACTGTAGGTGGTAGTATCAATAAATCAGATGTAATCCCGGGTACCGGATTGCAAGCTGGAACGGAACGCATGGTCAAGGCTAAAGTACTATAGCAAGTAATCAAGCAAGTAGTTACCGTAGATACCTGCTTGTTTTGACTGATGATGCAGAGCAATGATTAGTGTAGTGCAACCAGCCAGCGATGAATGGTGTAACGACGACGGTCTATCATAGCCAAATATATCTAATAGATGTGGTTTAAAAATGCTTGTGTTATTCCCATGGACTGGTTCTTGCTTAGGCTACTTCTTTTGGTGATTCGGCAGCAGCTTCAGCAGCAATCATGTGTTCCTTGGTGAGAAGTTCTGCCATGCGAGCACGGTTCAAAATGCGTTGGTGGAGCAATTGCTGTTCCATGCGAGCAGTTGCATAGGCACTACTCGTGAGAGAGCTTGCAAGTGGATCAGTTGGTGGGGCACCACTAGAACGTTCGGCAGCAACAAGATCCATGAGTCCTCGGGTTGACAAGCGTTGTAGCTTCATGCGGTAGTCCAACTCGGCCTCTGCCGCAGAGATTGGATGGCCCGAGCTGCCGATGCCAGATGGCACGGGAGGGGTTACCAACCGTGACAGCATTCCTGGTACTCCTAAGGCACTTCGGAAACTTGAAGGCGGCAGCATGCCGGCAAAGGCTGAGTGAGATCCAAAGAGTGGATCAAGTGATGCTGTGAATTGTGTCAGACCCAATGGTTGGGTATGAATAGGACTGGTCCTCTTCAAGGCCTCGACTCCAGATGCACTCTTCTCAAGTGCACTGGAGGAGACTACAGAGGAAGTTGGGGCCTTTGATTCTTGAGAGACAGAAGAAGGAACTTCTTCAGTATCACTCTCAGTCTCACCAACACTGCTGTCATCCTCATTGTCAGATACAAGAGTCTCGTTGCCCTCTTCAAGCTTGCGAACAAAACAGCGAAGGGCATGGCTGACTTTGTCACTGGCAATTCGATCATCGACTTCTTCCCAGTAGTTTTCGCGACCAACACGTCTCAGGAAACGAGCTCTTGTAACGCCCTTTGCGGCCCTCTTGACTCTGCGGACGGCTTCTTCAGCGACAAGCTGCTTGCGATACTTTCGCGAGTCCATGTAACGCTTGGTATACCTGGAAACCAAACGACGCATGCGGACATTGCCTTCATGGTTCTGAATTGGAGCACCCCGGCCACACAAAACGTCGTACTTTGTTGGCCTGTAAACGCGAGAGTCTCCGGGTTGCGGAGTGATTTGCTGAATAGGGTTGTTGGTTTTGCGTTCAAAACCAGTCACCATTTCGGTTGTTGAAAGATACTTTTGTCTCACCATTGTTGGTACTGTTGTTGTTGTTGCTGGATGTGTTAAAGAAATATTGTTTTATGAGAAACTGCGTACCGTACCGGTCGCTATTTTTTGCAAAAAGACTGACGCAAAGTTTGGCTAAAGCGAAATTCATGTTTTGAGTCGCTTTTTGAATGCCAAGCTATCGAAAAAGCGGTCAAGAATTCGATTACGTTTGCAAGGAGGCAATGGCGCAGAAAAGTAGTTAATGACCACGCCAGTGATGGTGTTTGGCGTCTAAACAAATGGCAAAGATTTCTGAAACTACGCTTCGTATTGTGGAAGAAGGACATCAATAAATGAAAATCAAACCGAAAAAGTGACACTTATGGGTCATGTTTGGAAGTGGCGAAAGGATGAAGACCGCTTCTGACATTAGTGCTCCTCCGGGTCCACTTTTTGATTTTGAGCTCCCCTTAAGGCTATTTAGCGGGAGGATGCGGCCAAACAAATGTTTTTCTCTAGGCAAAACGTTTTCTATTGCTCTCAATCTCCTTATGTGAAACGCAATCACTGCTAAAAAAAGATTCCAAAAGCGCTTCTGAAGAATGTCGCGCTTCGCCACCCGCCAATTAATTTTGAAGAGACAGTTTCGAAAGTGGAGGAGACCAAGTTTCAAGAGAAAAGGGATGTACTACCGACCGACGGACCGTTTGTCACACCACACGGCGGAGAGACTATTGATTCAAGATTGATTGAGATTGATTCATTCATTCGTCCATTTTCCATTTCATTTCAATATATCGCTGAGATTGCGCGCATGCACGAAAACCATCCCATCAACATTCTTCGACATCATCAAAACATCAAATCTTCTCAGCTATCTGGCATCGCACCATCACATTGGCAATGAAGCAAAGTGCCCTCTGGATACTCCCTCTATTTTTCATCTACACCTTCATCATGCCCAACTACGCTCAACAAACCATTGAAACGGAACCTCTTAATTCAGCAAATCAACAAGATGATTACGACAAAATCACTATGTTGAATCCATTGGACGAGACGGAAATTGAGTTTGTTCCGACCACAGCCTTTGGATCAGCAACCACTTGGACTATAATGAAGAATCAGTTCCAAATAATTCCAGATAAGAGTGTTGGCTTTGTCGACCCAACTTCAGTATCCGTGTTGTGGCAGGCTGTGGACCTTCAGTATCCAAGCCTAAGATTAGCCTTGGGGCTCCACATTCGCAATGGACAAATACAGCATTTATTTCCAACAATGGATTTATTCTACGGGGATGGTGATCATCGTAATCGTGGATTGAATACAGTGCCTCGAGCCCACACGTGGCTCTCCATATCCAGCAAGGAAATTGCTTCCGTGGATGTTGTATCGCTTCTGTCATCCTTTCAAATGACGATGGCTACTCGAAACTTCAAAAAGGGCGAAACGCAATGGACGATTCAGGTTAATTCGATAGCAGTCAAGGAGGCGCTAGAAACGGCAATTTATGCGCTGGCGGAAGATCCGCCTTCTATTTTCGGACAAGGATCCCATTTTCTTCATGTCCCATTGAACGAGGTTTTAGACTGTCCCAAGGTTGGTCAAGAAGTCCGAATTGAACTTCATGGTCCTCAAAAGATGGAACATTCGACTGGAGTATTACAAATCAAAGTGCAAGCGACTCAAGCTGGAAGCAAATCAGAGCACATACCAAAGGTCTATGAACCACTCTTTCAGAATCCCAAATATCAACGAAAGGAATATTTTGCCTTTCAGAAAAAGAAAGAAAGCCGTATACAAAAGGAAAAAGAGGATTCATCGAGACGAGTAAAAGAGCGAAAGGAAGCGGAACTGTAACAGAAATTCTGCTAGCGACTGGTAGTCTCACGGTTTGCGATCCTTTGATTCAGGTATTTTGAGCAACTAAACGCAATCGAGACAAAACGTCTGCTGGCCTTTGGTGATGCGAATGCGATTGGTTGTTTTGCTTCTAAGAGCGAAATCGTCCAATGTATCCCTTTCCTCAGTCGAAATATGATACTGGCATCCGCGGCGATTTGCAAAGTCATCGAACCAAGTCAAAGCTAAAATGGAATATAATAATAGACCTAGCGAATTGTTATCTTATCATTGCTTACTACTCTTTGGATTCTCCTCGTCTTGTTGGCTACGATGACCCCGTGATTTTCTTTCCCCTTCTGCTGAAGCAGTTTCCGTTACTCCAGCGACTTGTACCGCAAGATTCGCCGCTGGTGCAGGCATCTGCTGATAGTCTAGTTGTCCGAATCGAGCGGCAGGCGCTACGTATGCCCCTAGAGCACGATTCTCCAAGGCTAATGCTTGTCGCTCGGCTCGTTCTGCTGCTACCACTCGTATCAAGTCCCCAGTCGACATTTGCCTCAGAGCAAGGCGGTGTTGTAGCTCTGCTTCAGCGGCGCTTTGACTTGTTGCTGCAGGGGGGACACCATAGTATCGTGGAGCCATTGCTCGAGTCAAGCCACTGGCTAGTAGCGACGATTTGTGAATCAGTGGACTGCTTCCGTGGGTAGCATACGCATCCAATGGACTTGTTCGTCGAGCTGGAAGAGAATGACTTTGTGACAAGCTGTCAAGACTAGCCCTGCGCTTTTCAACCCCGTCATTCAAAGAGCCACTGCCCTCCGAAGCGATCGACGCACCACTCCCTCCTTCCATCTTCCGCACAAAGCTTCGAAGTGTATGCTGAACTTTTTCGCTTGCAGCCTTGTCGTCGACCTCCTCCCAATAATCTTGTCTGTCGACTTTTCGAAGGAACCTGACTGGACTCTTATCGTCAGTGTTCTTTAGAACCATCAGTGCTTCCTCTGCAATGAGCTGCTTGCGATACTTTCGAGCCTCCATGTAGCGTTGAGCATACTTGGAAACAATCTCTCTCATTCTTACGTTCCCTTCATGGCTCTGGATAGGAGCACCTCGTCCACACAAAACATCGAGCTTTCCTGGTTTCAGCACTCGAGTGGACCTTTCTTTGAGTGCGACTGAGTCCCTGGCGTCGATCTTTCTATCCAGTTCATCGCCCATGTCGCTCGCAGATGTGCAGTAGGTCGTTGATTTTGTTGGGGTTTGTGTCAAGTCTACTCTCATATGTGTGCGGAAAGGTCAACTGGAAAAGTGATGAGATATAATCTTGATGGGTCAGTCATTCCCCGCGTATTCGTAATTGTCACAATATATAATCTATATATATCAGAATTATTGAGACGAATGGTGCGTTCCTTAATCGAAGGAGCCAGTGAGACAGCGTCACTTATATAAAATTACCGTTGAGACGAAGGATGAATGTAAAGGACATATGTAGAACTGCACAGAAACGCTAAGCCAAGGTCATCCAAATCTTTTTTTAAACGCTTTTTTGGAGAACAATCCGCCATGCAGTAATTTGACATCGGCCCACGATTGATTCTCTTTCATCGTGAAACAAACGCGCCACGTGGGATGTGTAGTGTACTCGTAAGTATAGATGACTAGAAGACATTACTTCGCAGTTGAAGGAGGACAAAAGATCAAACATAGAGGATTAGGTTACTTTTCTAGCCCACCAACTGCGAGATTTCAAGCTTGAACTTGATTCTTCCAGCGAACCTGCCACATCTCTCCAGTGGGCGATCGACCATTATTTGTTTGGTTGACTCCCGGGGCTTCATTGTTACGAGCTGTTGCATGCTCAGGGGCAGGCTTCCAAGAATGTCATCATCTGAAAAGAAATCATAATCGTACACGGACAAGTACAGGATGGCATGTACATTCATCTCAGTACCTGAAGTAACAAGTGTCATGGTCTTGTCTTCCCATTTTGGATTCAACGTCTTGCTTTTGTACGGAGTTCTCGGGAAGCTGACTTTCCGTTGCCAAAACTTGAAGTTGATGGCTTTGCTGTCTTCTGCCATGTCAACAGAGTCCCAGATAAACTTGATGTAGGGGTCCGAAGTTCCACTTACATCAGCTTGCGGAAGATCTGAACACTCGAGTTGACTGAAAGTCAATCGGAATTTGCCTTCAACAGAGCGAGGGGTGATCACGTCATTTGGTATGAGGGAGAATGCACCACGGACTGGCTTGTGATCAGAGGTAATGAACTCCTCACACGGTTCATAGGCATATTGCTTCACAAGATCAGGAAGATTCGGAGCCGACTTGAACAGTATTCTGTCGGTATAGCTCGGAACGCGCTGATCCTTGTAGTCATAGCCTTCCACTCGATTTACCTTGAATGTTGGATTGAAGTCACAAGGCAATGTCTTAAAGTTCACCAAGAGATCATCTCGTTTCACTCCGTGATGTAGCTCATCGTAACTGTAGAGTGCATGCCAGTCCTCTGCCTTGATTAAATCTTGGGCCATCGCGAACTTCTCTTCATGAGTATGCTCGCCATCAAATTTGGTGCGGAAGTTGAGGTCTCCGCAAACAAAGATATGGTGACTCGAAAGGGCTACATCGATATCATTCTTACGGGCAATGTCGAACGTCTTGGATCCTCCTTTCAGTATGGCATAAACATTTTCACATCTTGCCTTGTAGTAGTTGTCGCCTTCATGAGCAGCCAAATGTGCCGAAAGGAACGACATTCTTGTGTCTTGGTAAGTCATAGAGACTATAATACCACCTTTGTTTGCAAGAACATTTCCGATTCCAGTGTTTTCTCCACTGATTTTCACGTTCTTTATGTATGGTGCTATAGATGATCTTGCCCAGACTAACTGCCGCATTTGTCCTCTTTGTTCCGACGCGATGTTGGTATATTCTCCTCCAAGAATCTCTTTGATCATCTTTCGTAGAAGGACGGTATCAGCACCTTCAATTGCAGCGAGGTAGTTGTCTTCTTTAGCTTGAGCTTCTTCCAAGCTGATTTCATCGTCATCCAAAACAACATCGCCCTTTATGGACGGTTGCGAAGCAAGACCAGTCGCAATTGAAACCTGATCTGCGCCTTCCGCCTGGGCTTGCTCTCGCTTCCTTTGCTTTTTGGATCCCCAAGTTGCTTCTTGCATTCCAATGACGATTAGATCGAAATGATCCTTCACGACCAGACTTTCCTCAAACGGCGTTACTTCGTAGGATGAACCTAACTCAGGAATCCAAGCTTTCATTGATTCCTCAGTAGGCGGAGCATTACCTGATCAGATTGGAAAAGAATAGATGATTTAGATGCAATGTCAAAAATTAAAGAAAGAAAGACGATGCAAGGAAGATAGACGTACCCATGTTTGCAGTACAGACCAATATTTTGATCGCGTCTTCCGTCTCATGAAGAGCATCATCGTCAGCATTAAATCCACCGACAGAGGAATCGCCCCGACTTTTGCGTTGAGACTCATACTTATTGAGCAGTCGTTTCTGTCTTTTTTGGCTTAGCTTCCTCTCGTTTTTAGCTGCCATCAAACGGGGGATGACAAAGGCAGCGGAACTGAAGACGGTCGCCCAAAAGACACCAATGAATTGAAGGGATACTTGTCCCGACTCTGTAATGTCAACGAAGACAATGATCAGCGCTAGCATCAGCGTCGTAAACGCAATATTGTAGATGGCAAAGAAGAGTGCCTTTGCGTCACCAAAGCGTGGATCAATGTTCCGAGTCAAGTATGCCAATGTGCAACCAACGACAAGCAGAAGGATATCGTAGGTTCCCTGCAAGATAGCAAACAGATATGTCTCCGTGTCGCAGCGAATGCTCTTCTGGGGATTCAAATCGTCCAAATCCACTATTGCCTTGACCTTTGGTGGGTCTATAACTGTAACGATCAGTAAGATGAGGGCCTGGATCAAAATCATTGGAATTGTCCGCATCCAAGCTTCACGATTATTGATCTTGGCATTCATTGCTTTTGCCACTGGTCGACCCAACAGGCGATAGATACGGTAGGCCTTGATAAAGAGGGGTGACAATATGAATACAGTCAGCATAAAAAAGACCCAAAGTCGAGTCAAACAAATCTGATCGGTTGGTTTTCCCAAATAAGCGAAAACTGCCAGGTTAATGACCGCAGCACCCAAGATAAAGGCGGACGTGAAATATAAATCGGCAAATTGAACCGCTTTTTCATTCTTCCTTCGGTAGAATGCCAAAAAGAGGAGAAAGCAAATGATGCATCCCACGCTGCCAACTGCAGCCAATACGGCGTACAATCCATCGTCCTCCTCAATGAAATCGTCCGGATTCTCCTCCACTGGAGTAGTAACCACAATCCGCCACTTCAAGTTGGCTCCAGGTAATTCGTACGTAAGACTTGTCGCAACGTAGGAAGTTGACGCAGCATCGCCGTCATCCTCTTGAACAGCTTTCGCAATTTCGTCACCCTCCAGCTCGAGCAAGGCATGATGCGCCTTTCGTAGAATCATGTCGGGGATGGTTCCTTCGAAATTCTCAATGGTCATTCGCCCTTCCTCGCAGGTACTGGATTCTTCTTCTCCGGCTGGGCACCGTACCAATGGGTCATCCACCAGGACACTTCCCATGGCAGCACCATTGGTCGAGGTGGCAATGATGTAGTAGGGTTCTTCGTACTCATACACGGCAACGGTGTAGTTGGTATCGATAAAGGTGGTTTCCAAAAAGTTTGTCACATCCGAAAGTTCCATATCCGCCGCTAGGACTCCATGAAAGACCTTTTGGCCATCTTCTGAACCATCGACGGTGCGGAAAATTGGATGAGTGTAGGTGATACCAATGGCTCCAAAGTTGAAGAAAATATAAGGATCCGAGAATTGTGGGACTAGGGCCTTTTTGCAGTCAATGTACCATCCACGCCATCTTGGATCATAGTTGATGTAATCGTTGGCCCCAATAAAGGCAGTCGAGCAAACCTTGTTGTCAGTTGTAGTTGTGCCATTTCCTCCTTCTTCTGTCGGACCACAGGCGGCAAACGGACCTTCCAATTCGCGACTGACCAAGGTTCCATCCATAAAGGTACAGTCTCCATCCGGAATCACTCCGCTCGGAGATTCCACCAAGATTTCTCCGGGGGTTTGTGAAAATTCCCCATCTTCATTAATACAGTTCATTGTGGTTGGAACGTATCCAAAGTTTTCGCCCTCTGATAATTCCAAGATGTCATAGTCGGGACACAAGACTGCACCATCACCCTCACAAGGAACTAGTGCACACTCATTGTTGCAAGATGTATACAAGGGTCTGTCTGGTGTAATGGCACATGTCGAGTTCTGTCCATTGGTGGCATTCAAACAAACATTATAGTACTTCAACAGGCCATCCGCAGTAGCAGCTGTAGTAATGTTGTCGGTAACCTCGTATCCACTATTACCAGGTTCTCGGTAGGTCAAAATGGGCACTTGATTTTGTGATCCATGCCAATATCCCACGAGGGTTCCGTCTTCCAACCCATAAAAGGGCTTCAGGCCCGTATCTTGCAAGGCAGCAATGAGTGAATACATGTAACGACGCGACTGGGCACGATCTGCCGCTTGCAATTCATTCTCAAACCCTCCTAGATCGTAAAAGTCCGCAAATACCGCCAAGGTATCGACTGCAGAGGCCAAGAAACGATCAATCTTTTCGTAGACTCGAAGTTGCACCTGATTGAACTGTCGTGCGTTGGCATCCGTGAAGGAAAATGACAACAGCAACAGAACCGGAAAGAGACTGCTGAGGCAACGATGAGAAGATGAAGTTGGTCTTCTCATATTTGGGCAATGCTTTGCAAGATTGGAAGATTTTCAGGCACGGATGAGAATTTCTTCAGGCAATGACTCTTGATTTTTTAAAAGGTTCAGAAAATATTCTTCCTCTTCCTCTCAGCAGAATCTTCAATGCAAAGATAATGGATATCACTCTAGGATAGCCGGCGATTGCTTATATTCCAAACGCTTATAGTATCTGTTGGTCTGCATGAAACAACAGCCACAATACAGTATAGTTAGTACGCGGACACTTTGGTTGCTTGACGCTCGCTCAACGCCAGAAGAATCAAATCCCAGACTTAAGTTTCCGGCGTACGATGACCTACCAAAAGGGAGTAGGAGGCTGGTGGTACATGGGGGGAGGTCATTTAAGTATCTTTCGTTCTCGCCGTGGGAGCATTTATGACTGCCATGAGTCATCATTCTCTTTCAGTCACGATCGAGCCTTTTCGTCAGACTGGATCAGGATTATTGATTGATTCCTTTGACACACAAAAGTGACGTATACAGTACATCACAATATAATTTCCCATACAGATATTGAATATATATTATACGGTAGATTGCATCCTAGCATCTTCCTCCGTCCAATACCTTCAGCACAGCAGATTGATATTGTCAATGTGTCAATAGAAGCAGTTGATCGTTTGTCTGTCAGGAATAGAGAGAAAGAAGTAAGAGGCGTATTTCTATCATTATTGACTATCCGATCATCGTACCTGCTCCTTCAAAGATCATGATCATGAACAAGTTTCGGGCATTGGTCCCAGTGCTGATGTTCATTCACTACAATTCTGTCAGTTCCTTCTCACTTGCTCGATACCCTCAAATCGCAAAAAATCAAAGAGCATCAGTCTTCCCCTTGAATCAGGAGCAGCGCAACGACGACAACGCAAATTCGAAGGAATCTGAGGATGATGATGTTAATGATGATGTTAATGGTGCTAATAATGACGACATCAAACTTGAAAATGACTTTGATGTGGATCAAGAAATCAAAGATAGAATCTCATTAATAAGGCAGCAGTCACCAATGAGCTCCCAAGGGGATCATAGTAGCACAAAGAATGACTCTGACTCGAAAGAAGACGTCGCAGCAGGAGCCGTCGTTCCATTGCCAGAACCGAACACCGGTGCCTCCCATATGATATCCGAAAAAGAGGAAGCTTCATTCCGCAAACAAGAGCGAGAATTACTCTATGAGCTCTTAAAAGGAGATGCTGCTGTAGCCAAACTGCGTCGGCTATGGTTTTCCGAACGAGGTCCAGAAGTGGAGGCACAACTTCACGTTGCGGAGGCTTGCATTGGCAAGGGCTCGCCAGAAGATTGGGCCAAGGCGGAACTGGTCCTGTTGGGTTTAGTGGCCAAGGATCCCACTTTTTTGGAACCCTTTGTCCGACTTTCCAAGTTGTACACCTTGCAAGGGCGCTTTGCCGACTCGCACCAAATATGTTTGGCGTTGGTGGATTTATGTCCGTGGCACTATGTGTTATTGGAAACCATGGTGGTCAATACCATGGTGCTAGAACATAATCAAGACTTGAAATCATGGGCATCCAAACGACTGCCACCTCCTTCGCATACGGAAAAGCGATCGGCGTGGGTGAAACAGGCGATTGCCGATTCCATTCGATTGGAGGAGGAATCGTCATTGCTTAGGATGGAACACAAGAGGAGACAGAATGGACAAGAGGACAATTTGGAGTCAGACGGGTCCAAACGAAGTGATGATAATCAAAGTCAAGATTGGCAATGATAACGGCACGCATCGTGTTTATGTTGGATTCCGATCAGCATTCGAATTATATTGCTACTTGAATATCTGGAGCAACCATAATACAACAACAGCTACAGAAAACTTAAGACACGAAAATCGTGTAGACGTTCAACTTGAAATCGATTCATTCTATTGTACATTATTTCATTGGAGTATGCAAAGGTTGAGGACCAAAAGATAACAACCACCATCACTCTTTCATTGGGAATCCGTCCAAGCTAGCTTGTGTTGCTGCTTCTTTGGAGTGTATCAAAATTAGGCCAAGACACGGCGACGAAGACGATCGCCACTGACTGGGCATCTCTTCAAAGTATACTTTTTGACAAAATCACCAACGACACCGTCCATGGTGCAGTCTCCGTAGTCGAGAACCTTAGTCTTCTTTCCTTCCATCGAATAGCAGGTCAATCGTGTCGTATTATCGTGAGAACCAGTGTAGGTTCCTTCGAACCCTGGAATCTTTGGATAACAGCGGCACGAGTCATCATCCTCGGCATAAGAAACCGAAAAGGCCACGGAATCGTGCTTTGTGCACTCGCTGCGGCACATGCTCTCCAAATTGTAGCGCATTTCATCGAGGCAATGATCTTGCTCTTCTTTTGAGGTTTCTTCTTGCTTTGCGCATTGCTTCAATACCAAATGAGAAGACCCTGCAAGCGCACTGCCCCCAGCAAGAGTGCAGTCACCATAACCAAGCACTCTGGTCTTGGGTTCAGTCATCGAATAGCAAGTCAATTGAGCCTTGCGATCGCCATTGTCACTGTACTGCTGCCCTTCGGTCTTTGGGAAACAACGGCACGAATTGTCGTCCTCGGCGTAAGAAACCGAAAAGGCGGCTGAATTGAGCTTGGAGCATTCGTTGCGGCACATGCTCTCCAAGTTGTAACGCATCTCATCGAGACAGTCCACTTGTGCTGCTTGGGCACTGGGCATAAAAAGGGTCGAGGTCAGCAAAAGGATGCTGGAGGAATACTTCATTGTTTATAGAAAGGAATGGATGGAAAATTTGTCCCTTAGTAGTTTTGTACTGTATGGGGTTTAGATCGCAATGAAGGATCGATGTTTATTTTGTGAGACAATATAATGCACAGAATTTTTTCCACTTCACGCAAGTCTTTTCCAAGTAGTCGAATATATCGATTCTGGTTCGTGGACTCTGGTACATTTTCTACACCAAAGCTAGATCGGGGCAACGTGAACCTTTGGCCACTGTGACTTGCGAAACGAACTGTATTCCGGTGTCATAAGTAAAGATGTTCCGGAGACTCGGTTTTTGTCCGTACATCGACCGTTCAGGTCATTTCCCGGCGATTTTCAAACCCGCAGTACTTTCAACAGTAGTATATTACCACAAATTTGACCCTATGGTATGCAACCCAGAAATCTCAATTGAGGCAACTCAGTACACACCAATTTCAAGGCAACGAGGGAGAAAAAGTTCCAACAAATATTCAGAATTTGCCTGATTTGTATGTACCGAAATGGTGAGTTTTTGTTGGAAGTGACACTACTACTACTACCCAAAAGCTTGACCAAGATTGGAATGAAAGCTTTTCATTTTTGTAAAAAAGTTTTTTTGGAAATCAAGCTTTGTAACGAGGTAGAATCTATTGGAGATCACGCATTTGCGAGCTGCCACCTTCTGGCTAAAGTTGATTATTTTCCTCGTCGTTTCTTTCGGACTGGTATCATATTACTCTCGTTGAGTACTAGCCGATGGCCTTTTCTGAAGCTTTTTGCTTGATCGGTATTGTCGCTTCAAATTGGAGACCAGCATCCGCTTCGTCCGAATTCTGCTTAATAATGTAGCTTTCACACAAAATCATCATGCTCACGCTGTAAAAGTGCTGATCTGAGACCCCCAAGAATCTCTGTGCCATTTCTCGCTTTGCTTGTTTTATGCGATGAAGTGAGCACCTTTGTGGATGGAGTCAGTGCGGTGGACTTGCCATCCATTAGAACCAAAAAAAAGGATGGAACAATATTTGTTGGAATATCCCTAGAGTAGGTATAATCTATCTTTCTTACAATTGAGTGTGCGCTATAGTAATATATTGCACATTACTTTACTTTCTAGAAGTCTTGCTCTTCAGTCATCTGTTGCTATGGCTGCATTCAGCTCACTTCTCCATATGTATTGATAATGTGCTTTCCTCTTATCGATACCCCCTACAGGATTGTCAGTCATTATTCAATCCTATGCAATTGCTTTCTTTAGTGCCTCTTTGCCTGTCCCCGCTTATCTCATGGACCCGCTTATTCTCGTGGACCCGCTTGATGATTTATCCTATTACTCTGTTGTCCATCTGTTGAGTTCTCCATTCTCCAAATATCACAAGATACATTTTCAACAATTTGTAGTACAGTATATACTTCCAATAGGTACTCCTTAAAAGGAAGGCCACAAGCACGGCGTTAAGCTGCGTTCCCTGTCCAAAACGTGAGCAGAGAAGATCTCGGCCGGCCAGCACTTGGATGAGAAATTGGTCTTGGTGATTCATTCTTCTTCTTCTTCTTGACACCCCGCCCCGTGGTCACTAGTACCGTATTGTACCAATTAAAAAAATGATTATGCTGTATTCATCCATAGGTAGTTTCTTCAGAACTGGAAGCTTGCATCTTGGTCTCAAATAATGCCACAATGCCGATTATTCTTTGATGTACCGGACCAAATGAGTACCACTGTATGATGCAAGGTACGGTATTTAGGTTCATTTATTTGGTTCCGTTCGTATAGTTTGACTCATTCGACTCACTACGCAGAACACGTGTATATATACACCGGATTGAGGTCTATATGATGATTCATTGATTTTCATTCATTCATCCACTCGATAGACGCGTACCGCATAGTACGGTATACCTTCATATATAATAGCTTCCATCTATTAATACAACTACTGTATAGTGCTACAGTAAATTCCTATTGAAATATATGAGATCACCCAATCGCACCACAGCTGTGGCAACTCGTCAATTCTTTGCTTGGTTGGAAGCCAATCATGGTGGATTGCCCATGCTCCAAAGATACACTCCGTCAGAGCCGACTTCATCAGTACCGGTAGCGCCTTCATTGGTGGTCCAACGATCCAAATTGCAAGCCCAAGATTTGAAAGACTTATTTGAGCACAAGATTGTCGCCCTTCACGTCCCATCTTTTTATCCCCGTGCTTCGGCCATTAGATTGGGTCAGGCATTGGCGTTGGAAGCCCAATCCGATAATAGCGACTCCTCCTCCTCTTCACACGACGATGATGGAACAAGCGGCGGAAGAAAAAACTGGAAGATCAGCACGGCCCGTGGATTGGAATCCTCCGACGTCTTTACCTTGGGTGCTCACATGCCGTGGAACATGGCGGTATCCCAAAATGCCATTGATGATTATCTGAAATACGTACCTGTGGAATTTCAAAATCGAAGGAGGCGAAAGGAACAACAACAAGGCAAAGGCAAGCTGTTGTTGTTGGCGGATTCCATTTGGCCATTGGATCAGTTGCGACTAGAACTGGATGAAGTTTGGCCCGCTGGTGCCAACCTTTCCAAGTATCAAAACCAACATGCCATGGGCGGTGGATTGCCTCGCATCATGATGGGTCCCACAAGATGGAAGAAGGGATTGATCCATGTGGACGAATTGGGCCCACTCAATGTCAATAGAGGAACCTTTAGCGCCAACATCTATCTGCAACTACCGAATCACCAAGAGGATGGCGAAAATGAAGCACCGGTTTTGGACATTTGGCCATTGGACATTCGATCGAAATGGGATTGGTATCGAGTAAGTTTTTTTGTTTGAATTGGCCGTATTATAATGTGAGGTGTGCAATCATGGAGATCATCAAATGCGCACATTCATGATATCTTTCATTATGGCATTCAATACATACATTTTATTGTTTACCATACACCGCACTAACCCACCTTCATCAATCCAAATCCAATAGAATGCCCATACCTTGTCCGAACTGACTTCACAATCGGCCGAAGGCCAAGTCAAGCTGAGGAATGCCTTGGGACCTCCTCAACGCATTGTCGTCCAACCGGGCGATTTGGTTTTGCTATGCGTCCAACGCCCTCATGCAGCTGTAGGTTTTACGCAACCAACCACTCGAGTCTCGCTCCAGACCTTTTTGCAATTCGAAGGGAATGGTGATGGCATTCAGATTGAGACTTAATCATGGGATGATGGTATATTGTTATTATGTTAGACTATCATGATGGATTAGAAATAGTAGGCTACTATTTCTTATTTTCAAAAATACAATTATGCTACTGTATAGCATATACAAAACTGTTATCGTTCACAGCACTCTTTCATAATTCACGCTTCCGGCAGAATGACTTCAATTCTTCAAAAGCCTTCGCGGTGTAATCACTCTAATGAGATGGTCGATTCTTGATGGTTGAGTTCCACAGGCAAACTTCTATGTTTTAGCCTGTCACTCTAATTTGTCGATTTAAGGTGGTTGCTGTATCTTCAATCATTATGTTTTCTTTGCCCGACGGAAGCAACTGTTTCACATTCCGAGTAATCGACTCGATGGTGATCTCGACAAACTTGCTTTTTCTTCTTCTTTTCGATTTAAAATGGTTGTCATCCGGCACATTCTTCTCTTGTAAACGAAATACTGATTCCTCCCTTTCACTGTCTGTTATTTCTGTGATATCAAGGGGATGATTCGCCATAGTAGGTTCCGAATCCTCATCAATACCATCTACTTCCTGATAAGGAGCATGGTGGTCATCTTCAGCATCCTCCTCATCTTCCTGGATTGCTTGTAGATGCAATCCACCTTGTTTGTTCCTACGATGAAAATTTTCTTCAACTCTCTCTTGTTTCAGTAATTGTAACCTCTGTGTTGTTCTGACATGATTGCTGGTCTTGACGATGATGCAATCGGAAGAAGAAGCAGTAGTACTCGTACTAGTAGTAGTAGGAGAAGAAGAAGAATCATCATGACAACAATCATCATCGTTCAGCGAATGATCCAGCAGCAGTTCTAATACCCGCAAGGCAAATGGATCGTCAACATGGTTCGTAAAGAAGGAAGCGACTGCCGCATCATCCTTTCGTATCTTTCGTTGACGTTTCTGTAGGACCAGGAGTGACTTGGAGGCTGCAAACTGCCGATCCTCACTGTCGCTAGCAACAATCATGCATCCATCAAACATCTCTTGTTGGTTCTTGTGAATTAGAATGAACGAATCGTCGATGGTCTATACTTCCATTGGCATGCGCAGTAGTAGAATAAGTACGCGATGAGTATAGCATGAGAATTTCTGATTTTGATCTTGGTATTGACACCACTTTTGTTCTTTGCGGTCAACGGATGGACGTTTCCCGCTAAAGTTTGTGATTGATTCATTGATTCATTGATTCCATTCCCGCGTAGATGGGTGATGATTCATTCGACCGAAAAAGGTCGTTTCGAGTTCAGAGTGATGGTATTGTGAAGTCTACCTATTATGTAGATGAGACACACAATCATACCATCATACTTTAGTACTACCTTACCTCCTGGCCTACTACTGTAGCCGACTCGCATCAATAGACAATTGGAGGATACAGTTTCTAATTTACAGTACTACTATATTTTCTGACTTCGTCGCCTGCTATGAAATTGGATCATCCACGATTGTCCAAACAGTTTCCTTGTGGTCTTTCTTCCTCGTTTATACCGCCCCCTGAGCACCATTTTATTTACTTGTTGTTCTGCTTGTCAAGTTCCGACTTATAGAAAGTAATGTATCCTTGAAGAGCTTCATCGTACGGTGTGGCTTCGACACCAAAAGTCTTGCAAAAGTCCGAGTCGTCAACCGAATAATCATTGAGCCAAATGGGCATCATATCTTTCATTTCACGCATGAACGACATGAAAAATCCAAGAATCTTGACAATGGTAGGCCCAAGAACTTGGACCTTCTTGGCTTTTTTGATAAGTTTGTCACTGGCACCAGCACCGGCGAATTGGGCTATATCTGCGGCAATTTCAGTCATAGTCTTGTTGTGTATGGAGTGGGGACAAATCCAAAATTTACCACTCGCCTTGTATTCCGTGCCGGCAAGGTACAAGGCATTGGCAAAATCAGGAACATAACAAAAGTCATGAATCTTGGATGCGGATCCCATGGCAAGGGGGGTTCCCTTTTTGGCAGTATAGATTGTTTTGACAATGGGTTTGGTGAAGGTATCTCCCAAAAAGCCTAGATCCGTGACACCAGGTCCAAAAAAATCGGCTCCTCCCACAACGGAAATGGATTGTGGGTGAGACTTCATGCGGGCCTGAAGCTTTTCTCGCAAGACGGCACGAACACCAGGCTTAGTCTCTAAATTTGCTTCCACAGGTTCATCCGTAGGCTTGATATCCGTTTTGGCCCCGTAGGCATAAAGATTGTCACAAAAGACAAACTTTTGTTCTGGTCCTTGAGACGATCCGGCCAAGAGATTGTCGACCACGACAGGCCAAGTCTCGGCCCAATATTTGGTTTCATACTTGGGGAATCCAATGCAGCAGAATACAAGATCCTGGCCCTTGCACAACTTCATGACGCTCGACTTGTCGGTAGCATCTCCAGGAACCACAGTGACATTCTTCAGGTCATCAAACTTGTCAGCAGCCGAACGAGCGACGGCTGTGATTTCCCAAGCGGGTTGCTTTTCACTCAAAATTCCAACCAAACTAGTGCCAATAGCACCGCTGCTGCCGAAGACAATGACTTTCTTGTTGTTATTTTTGGGTGTGAATGGAGGCATGATTGATTGATTGATTGATTGATTGATTGATCGATTGATTGATTGATTGATTGATTGATTGATTGATTGATTGATTGATTGATTGATTGATTGATTGATTGATTGATTGATTGATTGATTGATTGATTGATGATGATGATGATGATGATGATTTCACTTTTTAATGATGTTTTTTTCGCCCGTCTGCCTGTTTTTGATTTGTTTCTACTTTTGTTGTGCGTTGAGTTTATTTTGGATATCGCAATACGAAATCTTGTGCACGTCTGACGTCTGACCCGCCCAGGTGAACGTAATATATTTTATACAGTACCTGGTGCCAGTACTATACTGTAGTATGTCAACCCGCCCATCATGCCAAAAATCACTTACTGAGTAGACTTCGTGTGACCCGCCCTCCCGAAACACTTTTCCTGAGCAGTAATATACAATATATAAGATTCTTCACGAGGTAGTACGTGTAGCATACTTCACAGGGTACCGTATCAGTTTATCAAATTCTTGTCTTTGCTTGGGTGGAGTAGTGCCATTGCTCTACTGTAGTTGAATGGAAATGGGGGGGGGGGGGGGCGGACAAACCAAGAGGAGTAAAAGGTAGTAGGGTTGTTTTTATACTAGTACAGGTATATACTGTATGTACCAAGTATTGTTCTGTCTTGCCGTCCATCCGAAATTGATGGAAGTGCCTCCCATGAACTTCATTCTCATATATCAATATATACCGTATATACTGTACGGTAGCAGCGTAATGCACGAACAGAAGTATCGTAATCTACGTTGTGCCCGAGATGAAACAAGCAAATTTCAAATTGGCAGTAGATTGTTTTTGTAAAATAGGGACGGAGATTGGCAGGAGCGGCCTGTAACTGGACCTACACGCGCCGAGTCAGCTTTTCGGGGGTGTCGTTCGGACAAAATGATGGGAATAGCATAGTCTTCAATTTTTTACACAAGTTTGGTTGACTGGCGCGTCTTTC